ACCAATAAATATTTCAATGGCATGGCACATGCGGGATTGTAATCGATGATATATTAGTTTACAAGAGAAGATATATGAGTATGGAAACTAACACAAACGTGTATAGATCATATACACATACGGACTAGGGAGGGTAAGTCCAAACGGCATGTCATTTACGAAAAAGTAGCCGATCATTACTTCGTGGCAGCAACTATAGCGCAATTTGTTTAAGATACCAAAGACTAAAAATATTTATCGCTCATTTATTAACAATAGAAAAGTGGATCGATATATCGAAGGATTACACTGGAACGAAAATGCTAAAGAACAAAACTCAGACACATTAAAAGATTATTTTGTTAATTTATTCAAAGACATTTATGAAAATCAACTCAAATACGTAGCACAAAAAGGAACGTAAACAAGAAAACCAGTGGTTTACTAAATAAATTGATGAATTGAATACAAAAAAACTAAAGCTTGACAATTACTTAAGGGTTTTTCTAACAATAACAAAAATGCCCCTTCCCCCCAAACCAAGAAAAAAAGAATAGGAACCAAGTTACAGCGCTAATTAAATTCACAAAAAGGAACTTTTATTAGACTAAGTTTTCTGAGACAAACTACTGCACAATGCTGGACTTTAGTAAACCAAGTGTTAAGACAAAAAAAGAAAAAAAAAACATTGAGGGCACAATGCCACCAAACTTTGGACCAGAACAAGACTTAGAAGTACTAGCAAATGGCTTCAATACGGAATATGTATAATCAATCAAAACCCTTTGCAGCATGGAAATTTAAAAAAAAAAAATCAAATTAGAAATAGTAATTCATTATTTTCCACCGATACGAATCACGTTGATCTGATTGAAATGGTTCAACATTTTAAGACTAATAATGCAGTGGGATTGAACCAAAAGAGAGCTAGAGGTATTAAATGGCATGCCAATATATAAAAACCTGCACTACTACAATTATACAATTGTATATTTTACAGAGGCAATATTACTAAGAAACTGAAAAGATCCATTATTCCCCAATATATAAAAGAGACGAAAAAAAAATTAAAGACGTTTACAACACCCCGTAACGCCAAATTAGAGTGCAGCTCTTGAGGCAGAGGGGGGAAGGGTACTGAGGGGAAGGTATACACCTCCTCCTTCCTCCTCGCCACCTCATCCTCCCTGCTACTACTCCTCCCCTCCTCTTTCCTCTTCCTCCTCCTCCTTCAGCTCTTCCTCCCTCCTCCCCCTCCTTTCCGCATTCTCCTCCTTCCTCCTCCTCTCTTCCCCCTCCTCCTCCTCTCTCGTCTTCCTCCCACCCCTCCTCCCAACCCCCTCCTCCCCTCCCCTCCTCCTCCTCCCCCTCCTCCTCTCCGCGCAATGCATCGTGGGAAATGTCCCACAATGCACCGCGCGGGACCCTCGTGACGTCACACGCGATGTCACGTCACAAGGGTCCCACGCGGTGCATTATGGGACACTTCCCATAATGCACCGCGCGGTTTCGGCGACGGCGACGCCGAAGCCGCTCAAACCGGAAACGGGCGCCTAAGAGCTGCGCTCTAAAAACAAATTATTTAATTATAGACTAGTATGCATATGGTCGGTGATCACTTATATAATGTAAACATATTAATAAAACATTTCGGATCCCTATATTTCAAAATATAATATATGTGAATGAAAATATGGGGTTCTAGCTTTATTCGTAGACTTTAGTGGGTAATTTGAAACAAATAAACCATAATATATTAATAGGAAGATTTCACAGTATTGGTATTCGGGGAAAGAAGCATGACAGATTCCAGAATGATCTTAATGGCCAGTATCAGATAGTACGACTAGGCTCAAAATTTAGCAGAGAAAACAGTCAAGCAGGAGGTACCGCAAGGTACAGTACTCGGTCCACTACTTTTAGAACGCAGCTCTTAGGCGCCCGTTTCCGGCTTGAGCGGCGTCGCCGTCGCCGTCGGCGTAACCGCGGCGACGTTTCGGCATGGTGACGTTTCGGCACCGTGCCGAAACGTCCTCGTGACTTCCCTCAGAGGGTCCTGAGGGGGTCACGTGACCCCCTGAGGTCATGAGGGTCACGTGACCTCACGGTTACGCCGACGGTGACGCCGACGCCGACGCCGCTCGAAGGGAGGAGTAGCAGGCAATATGAGGAAATGGGGAGAAGGAAGGAGGGGTATATCCTCTCCTCAGTACCTTTTCCTCCTCCTCCTCAAGAGCTGAGCTCTAATTCGGCGTTACAGGAAGTTGGAAACGCCTTTCTTTTTTTTTTTCATTTTTACGTTAACAAGATAGCTCAAATTAAATTAAAAAGTGAGCTCTTTCAATTTGCGGACGAATCGTATATGCACATAAAAATTATCAAGTAGCTCTAAGAACGATACAAGAAGCCTTTATATATTCACATAATGATACCAAAAAAAAAATCATATTGTTGTGAACGTTTCGAAAACACAAGTATTATGCTTTAGAGGCCCGAGGAAACAAATCGTAAATGAAACACCAAAACAATGCACCAGCAGAATTGCAATAATTCATCATGCGTTCCGCCCCTTTTTTGGTCTATATGTGTTCAAAGAAGCAGCATCACATCGAACATATCAATATCTTGTTAAAAAAAAGTCACGAAAATGAATTTTAAAACGAATTAAACGATTAGCAAAGAGCACCTGGTGGATGTCGCTAACGCCTCGCTTGTAATGCCCGTCTAGGAACCTTGACAGCTAGTGAAGGAAGTTGTCTCGCCTCCGGCCACGACGAGAGAAGGGGGGCAGGAGGAACTCCCCTCTTCCCGAGAATGTTTTTTGTGTGTCGGAGAAGTCGCTATTGTCCCCCTACAAGATTACAGAAGATTAACCCGTCACTCAAAATTCGTACAAAAGCAGCCGCTTCGGTGGCTGGAACGACTAGGCCATCCTCTCGACGTCATCCTCGCCGTACCTTTGCTCGTCCTGAGATGACCTACGTCACGATTGCATTGGATGTCACGTGGTCTCCGCTGGGCCTTCTCCGAGCGCTTGTCAGAGTGGGCCGTTTATAACGAAAAATACAACCACCCAGGCTTAAAATACAAGCGTGCGATTGTCATTTACGGATATTGTGGGCCATATTCAACCTATTTTTGAACACGACGGGAATATTTGAAATTTTGTTGAAGTATCCCTTTAAATATGCTGACAATGTCAAATACCTAGGGATGTACAGACAAACATATTAAATTGGATATTCACGTAGAACAAATTTGTAAAAAAAAAACAAAAAAACTAAGGATATTAATGGCGCAGATGTATCACATACGAGATCTGGTCCCTCGATCCATACTAATAATGATATAGAATTTACTGGGCAAGTACAGAATATGGAAAAACAGTCTACGGATACTGTGACGTATATCTACAAATAAAAATGGAATCATTTCAGAAAAGGAAAGCCAAAAATAGGGCTTGCCTATGTGAAGAAACCGATCTCCAAAACTATATGCATAGAAAACTGTTGCGTTTTAAAGAGCAAATGAAGTATGATAATATAATAAAACATCTTTTAACAACAAACATAAAGTTGAAAATTCTAAGGAACGAACGTTAAGGCCAAATAGAAAATTTATTGAACCGTTTATTTATACCAAATATAGAGAGGCCACAGGAAATTATTATGTACCCGAGGTTGTTAATGAGTTACCTGAAAAGTTACTCAAGATAAAATTCCCTAAAATAAAAAAAAAATTGTTGAAAACGTGGATACTTGAACAGAGTAAAGGACACCCATAGAAAATTGGTTTGCTTCGATGAGTTGAATTTTAGTTAACTACATGACTAAGTCGTGCCAAAATCCAACGTATGCAGCATTACTGCTGTTTAATGGATTAGTGGAATAGACTAGCTGTATTTTTTTAGAACTAGAAACTTTATTTATTTTGCAATGGAGTGCTCTAACGCAAGTTACACAATTTTCTAATCGAAACAAAATGCAGAGGACTCTGTCGCGTCCCACGCACAAGCCAGTATCGGGTAATATGGGATTCACATTTGAACTGTATTTTAAGAAGCAAATAACGACTGTTTTGTATTGTATTGTGTTGTTTAAATTTACTAAGTAAAACGTTAACTATGCAAGTCCAATAAAAGGTGAATTGTTTTAAATTTAAGAAGGGTGGTGATTTGGGCCAGTTGATTACAGTTAAACATGATGAAACACAGCCTCAGATAATGAAGGACGAAGATTGGGTAAAGAATACGACAGGACAACGGCTGACAGGACAACGACAGGACAGACAACGACAGGACAGCCGTTGTCCCGTCGTTGTCTTTACACGTTCTTCGTCCCTGTTTATCTTAGCCTGCTTTTCATATTTGACTGTTTTTAATTTATTGTTCCTCAAAACATAGGGCCGATAAGAATGACGAATACAACACAAACCCAATTTCTATGTGGTGAGCAGGCTTCACACAAACACCGCGCCACACAGTTAACGCGAAAAAGCGATCGCCGGCTTTTACGGAGCTGTTAAGGGCTAGTTTCCTCAGGATCTTGTCTCCCGCAAAGAAATGAAGACACTGAACTCTGGACACCTACCGCCATCTATGAGCAACGGCGCCAAGCAACGTATCTGGTTGCCGTCGTCGCTCATAGATGGCGGCAGCCTTTCCACACTGGCTTGCCGACTTGCGGCCGGCCATTACTTTCCATTGTACAGCTCCGCAGGTCTTCCTTCTTCACCAGAGTGGAAAGGCTGAAAGTTTTCTATGGTTTATTTTTCAAACTCGTAATACTTCCTTCCATCGAAACTATCAGTGTTGTAAAAATTTCTGATTATTTAGGGCACTAACTCTTAAGCGGAAAAATAATAGAAAAAGGACTAGCCCCTCGCCAATACGCTTTCAAATTAAAATTATAAAAACAACAAAAAGGACGATGTCGTGTTTGCTCTAACAGTGTCGCACAGTGATCATATCGGCATGCGCTTTATGAGACACCAGGTATATCTCAAGCTTCTCTCGTTGCCAGACAACCTCGTTCAGCACAATTGGGCAAACCCTGCACAGCGGAGACAGTCAGCGCCGCACGTGCCTACGGATCCAGCGGGCCGTCCTTTTGGCTGGCCTCACTGGCTGAATCAGTGGGTGGATCACGCTAACCACCCTCGCCCCGCAGACAGAGATCGTCGATTGGACGCGGATCATTGGACCAAGCAAACCAGAAGTAGCGGAGGTAAGTTGCCATGCTTTGGAACCACGCGTTCCTCTCTTGAGATCATTATTGCAGCCGTTTTGAAGTGGGGGATGACATCTCGGGACCCTTTGCAAGCATATAAAAACAAAAAGCCACTGTTTGAAACAATCCAGCTTGGTTCACGGTGTCATCAAAATTTGAAGTTTATCAGTCATAAATGCTGCTAACAAGAATTTCGTTCAGCAAGCGAATGAGATGGTGCACTGCGTTTAATTGTGTATCAGTTTTCATATTTTGGAACATCGATAATTCTAGTCCGTCATCGTGCTAGAAGGTTACCGGCCCCATAAGCTGCCCTGGCTTGCACCGAGAGCAGCAAATGAAGCGACGTTATCTACGTGATTGAAGATGTAGAATCTTGCTCGTACAGTTTCCTTGGAAATTGTTTTCCCTCTCCCTTTCTCAGACTTTTTCAGTGAAAGACTAGACGACCCCAATTTCGTTCCCGACTCCAACCAGAGCCTTCGGTAAGCAGCGTATGGTTGTATTATACAATCTCATATTTTAGTGCGAGCGTTGGGTCGTATGGCGTTACGAGTGACGAGTGGCAAGGCGCCAAGAACACAATATAGACAAACTGAGATCGGGAGTTGGTGGGTCGATGTGGACGTGACAAGGCGGGGTCGAACGGCAGCGCAAGGCTACTGAAATCGTCAAACTATTTACACTTTTTTATCCGCTCTATGATCGACGACATTCTGCACAAGGAGGAAAATCGAGTATTGCGATTGTACTGGAACGCTCCAGTATCGGATACCGGACAAACATCAATATCAGAAGTGTTCTAAAACGGTTCCGGTATTGCAGACCAGGACATATATTAGGCATCGGGATTGTACTCGAACTTTCCAGTATCACAGTTTAGGACACATATGAGGAACTCGAAACTTCTAGTATCGGAGACCATCGACCGTCACCACTGGTCAGGGCCTCGCTTGATCTTGGCACTGACCAATCGCGGCGATCGTCAATCTCGCCGACTTCCTCACTTGATGTCCAACTTAGAGTTCCTGGTGCGTTAGCGTAGTGTGTAGTGTCAGTAGGAGGATAGTAAGTTTGCATAGGAGACTCCGATATCAAGGATCCAAATCTCACTCTTCATGTTTGTAACGCCGCTCTGTCAACGTGAATTCGTGAAGCCACTTCGCGTGATGCTTATTCAAAGACTCCAGGTCAACAGTCGTGCTGGACTGGCTAAATTTCCTCTATGCAAGAAAGACATCAAGCGCCATTGGAAAACTTGACTAACTTCTCGCCAGGGATGGGCAGTATTTCAAATACAAGTACTTGAAATGCGTATTTCGAATACGTCGTGTATTTTGTATTTGTATTTAATTACAAATTGGGTAATGTATTTGACGTGTGTATTTAAATACTAAAACGTGGGTATCTCAAATACAATTGTAATTAAATACAATTTTGTGAGCGAAAACACATCCCTCAAATGTATTGTCACGAATTGGCAGCCTTATTCTGCGCCCTAAGAGGCGTCGTCTTAGCGACACATTGTTCGAAAAGCTTCTGCTGCTGAAGTCGTACTAGTTGAAGCTTCACAGATTAGCACGCATCAAAATAACAATGTACTGAGGTCTCCTCTTTAATGTTGCACTTGCCTCTATTACGTTAAATAAATGTTATTGCCGAAGTTACAATTCTTGTTTTTATGCAAGTGGTTGTATGATATAGTCTCCATCCTTTATTCGGCCATGGGGCTTTTTTCTTTTCCTCTTCCGGCTTTATTTTAAAGGCACTGTCCAGAGCAGGAAGAAACCTGCGTTCTGCACCGAATGCAGTGTCTCTCAATCAAGCACAAGCGTTTAGTGACTTTGTGATTGCGGTGCTAGTCCAGGGCAAGAATAGTGACGAAATCGACGTTCACAGGCAGACTGGCTAAAAAGGGCCTGTGACAACTTGTGATGCTTTCCAGCCTGATTTCCATCCATATTTTTGCCTGAAAGATTCTAAATGCGCGGGTCGTCCAAATTTTCGTAACTGGAGTGAGTTGCAACAATAAATAATTCTCTAGCTAGTGCTGCGCCTCGGTTCTTTGTTGGTCCATGCCAAAATGTAATCGACAAAAAAGCTGCTTGAAGCTCTGTACTTTTTTCACCCATTACGTCCATGCTGATTACATTTTTTTGTTATTATATTTCTATCACGTTACTAGAGCCTCGCACACTAGCTCCCGAGTGTGTGATGCAAAATTAAAATGGGATACCCGGAAACCCGCTGCAGGTGCCCTAAAGTCGCTGACGCAAATTTTGAGGAATGTATTTGGAAAAGTATTTGGAGGAGACCAAATACATTTAATTGTATTTGTATCTTGTACTTAAATGCTTTTTCGGAAATTTAATTAGATTTGTAATTAAATACATTTTTGACGAAGTATATTGTATTTGTATTTCGATACATATTTGCAGGTATTTTGCCCATCAATGCTTCTCGCCATCTAAACCTCTATTGAAAAACAAATTGATTTTGTTTTCAATCTAGAGTTGCATAATATCACACAGCATATTGTACATATGAGTATGCTTGTTATGTCGCCACAGTACATTTTTCATGTCGACTAACACGAAAAGGACGTTTTTATTTTCAAGTCTCTATGGTGGCAAGCTTCTCCACGAAGGTTTTCTCGAAACCAAAATCTCAGGGAGATGGGTCTCTGTGTGCGGCCGCGAGTGGAACCCCAGGATCTCTACACTAGCATGTCGGCAAATGGGATATGTAAGGTAAGTCCATCCTACAGCTGTCTGGCCCTTTTCTATACTCCGTTCACCCCCAAGTGCGGTGGAAGCTAGGAGTTCCTTGAACCAGTCACACGTCTAACTATTGCCACGTGATCACACTACCGCGCTCATATCCACACTCAAAGTGCGGAGTCAGGTGATGAACGGGAGGCCATTGATTGGTCCGGAAAGCACGTAGCTTCCACCGCACTGTCAGCTAAACAAAGTACAACAAAACAAAACAAAGTGTATAGTGACTGAAAAAAAAAAAAAAAAACCATTACGAAGCTGTTCATGCCGAAGCCAACATGAGTGGGGATTTAACCTGGCCAAACCAACTTACTAATAGAAAGCGCGCGTTTTCTTGGTTTTCTCCTGGTATTTTTTGAAGGGGCGGAGTGTATTCCCACAAGAAGCAGCTGGGCCCGATGCCGTCGTCGTCCGTTGAACTCGAGTGTCCCAAAAACGCCGACAGCCTGTCCGGTTGCGGTGTCCGCAGCGTCCCCTGCGCAGGCACGAGGCGAGTGCGCTTGTACTGCCTCCGAGACTACGGTAAGCATCTCACTCTTTTTCTCACTCTCTCTCGTTCTCTCTCACTCTCTTTATGGTAGCCAAGGAGATGTATTTTCTAGCGGATAAACTCTCTTATGCAGACATGCACAAGTTACTGATATACAATACCAAACTAAGTAATGTTACCAGTTGCACACTCAGAAAGGAATTAAGTATGTTACTTAATTGTTACTGCAATTCAGATGAAACGCGGTTTGCCTCAGCTTGAATGTAACGCGTTATCGTCTCGTAACTCCAAATGTGTCGCTTCTATGAAGCAGTATAGCCACCTGCAATATTTGATGACGGTAGTAATTGCTCGCTTTTTAATGGGTTCATTTAAAATTAACTGTGGCTATAAAATGTATCTTGTTCACATCTTTTTTTAGTCTACCTAGCGTTTTTTGATCATGCGAATTACTGTAAAATCAGTGATTTTCACGAACCCTTAATTTTCGGAAATTTTCGCAAATTGACAAATTCGCGAAATATAAGGGCACGCGAAAATTTTGGTCCCTAAGAGTTTCAATCAGGCGTCCTGAATTCGCGAAATTTAGTGGCCGCGATTATGTCTTCTTTGACCGATTCGCGAAAAATAGGGGCCGCGAAAATAAAGAGTTTTACGGTAGTGGCGCGAGCTAAGTGATAACTAGACTGGGTACTTGTGTCGTACACGTTCCTCTCCAAAAGTAAATAAATACCTTTAATTGTTACTTCATCAAACCGTAACAGAAATACGCTACTCGTTCCTTTTTTTAAACGCATTAAATCGTTACTTCGTTAAGAAAAAAAGTCACTAGCTACAAGTAACGCTTTACCCGTAACACATTACGTATGCAAGTCCGGTTTTACGAAATATTCGGAATGAAAAGATTGTAAAAAGACGAGAAGAAGGTTTTTCCGCGTCGGGTTATTTCAACACCGCACTGCGTGTTTCGCGTGTGCATGAAATAACACAATGAGACCGGGAAGAAAAAAACGCCTCATATGATTTATATAATAGCTAGTTTTTATCATAGCGTTATCGCAGACTACCGTCTAGAGCGGCATTGCTACCGGAATTTCACGTTGGGGACTTCGGAGCATGTACTCTTCGGCGCGCACAGGATATAGTACGAAGAGTATAGAACCATCGAGGTTTTAATTAAGGCAGCTTGTAAGGATACGTAAAGACCGCGTGAAATACGCCTTTGACGAAATGGGAATATTTCTTCTAAATATCTTAATCTGGCTTAATCTTTTGACCCGTTCCTGAATTAGCTCATTAGATATAAATGTATTGGTGGAAATAAGAAAATTAGGTGACATAAATAGCGCCGGTTTAATTCGTTATCTGCACCATCGGGCGCTCTGTCAATCCCCTTTTCGATCCAGGTTATTAATGCGAGAGCATTAACTGTCCCATAGAGCAAAGCCGGCGTTGTTTGATATCTGTCGCAGCGAAAAACGGCCCCCAAATACCCATTGGCCGAGCGAAACGGCACTAAATACCCATTGGCTGAGCGAAACGCATTTAAATTCCCATTGGCTGAGCGAAACGGGACATAAATTCCCATTGGCTAAGCGAAACGGAGCATAAATTCCCATCGGCTGGAAAGCAGACGCGCCTCAGAAATGAAACAAAAACAAAAGCACAGCAACGCAGATGCCCCGTCACGGAATCCGTTGTGAAACCGGCGAGGTTCGCCGCGCCTGCGCAGCGGAGGGAGCGTGATGTCACCGCCGGAGCGCCGCGTGAAAGAGGAAGACGTGGCGTGCTCCTTGTATGAATGCGCTGCATGTAGGAATGCTCCCGCATTCCTACACCTAAGCAGTCTTAAGTGTCCCTGCCGAATATATTTTAATTATACATAGATGACAGAGTATACGCCATCAATATTTCTTTCTGTTATACTTGGAATACTCTCTCATTTAGAAAGAAGGTAAAGCTTACATGGTTCATGCTAATACAAAATCTGTAATACAAAAAAAGGATGCGTAAGGAATTAATATTGGCACTTCACGCTTAAAAACCTATAGTACTTCAGAGAAGGAACAACAAACGTGTAAACCCTATGTATACACAGTCAATAGGTATCATTTTAAAGAGGGAATAGCCCTCTTTGCAGCAATTTTGTTCGATTAAAGCACACTCCCGTGATGTATCACTAAAATTAATCACATCCTGTAACTAGTGTTACGTGTGTTCGAATGAATCGAGAAAAAAAAATCGAAAAACGCTCACGGGTAAACTTTTCGTCAATTAAGATTTATCTGAGAAACTCGGAATTTCGAGGTCAGGAAGGAAAATGAAAAGCAAATAAGACGGTATTTTACAATAAATTTTAAAAACGCACAAGGTCAGCGGTCTCTTGAAGAGGCAACTGCAGTCTCGTTTGAAATTTCGGACTGTTGACAAAAGGGGGTTCACCTTCCAGCTAGTCATTGTTCGTTCAGGACAACGGGTTATGGTACCTCTGGGGCACGACCAAATTCATTGTTTAGGTTTATAGTTTGCGTTTTTCATAGAAAAAGAAGGGGTAGTGTCTTTAGAGCAGTGACAGCTATAAACTTGTATATTTAAATGGAGTTGGAGCTGAAGCTTTAATGATTCAAAGCGACTACGGCCAGGAATTTAGTTATTTCAAAGTATCTGTCGTTGTTGAGACAACAGCCTTTCTTCGCATTATTTGTCATGGCATTGTTAGTGGTGACAATGGCAAAGCGCTAATGCCACATGCCAAAGGCAGCTGCAGGAATATCATTCAATACAGATAAGTTCTGATGAATTTAGGGTACGTTTTTGCCCGGCCCTTTTATTTAAACTTTATTCTGAATTTTGAAAATTGAAAACAGGTGAAATTAAACTGAGTAGTATAGAGAATTGGGAATATAACAAAAATAACCTCCATAAACCCTGATTTTTCTCCGAAAAATAAACATGAAAAACACCTTAAAAATTTTACTAGAAATAAACTCCCAAAACACGAACCTTGCCTGTTACTAATTCTCGGATATATATATTTTTTTTTTAGAAATAGTCGCTTTAAAATAATAAACTGAGACTAAATTAGAGCCAATGTATTTCATGGTTCACTCTGCTAGAACAGTAGATGAGTCGTGGCTTCTTCTTCAAGAATTGTAAATTCAGATTCTCCCGTAAAAATTTTAGATCATATTGGCGAGAAGGTTGAAGTAGAGGGGCGCTTTGTCCAGCTTGTTTGCCACACAGCCCGGTGTTTACCTAACTCAAGTGCACTCAAATATTACGTCCTCTATATAGATCGATCGTGGTGCACAGCTTGAGCGCGAGTGCTGTGTAAGCGTTCAGCTAGGTTTCGTGTTCCATCGGTTGCTAACTAATTGAACAGCAGTCCCAGCGAAGCACTGCCTCAAAGTGCCTGAAGTGAACCACTAGGAGCGTGACCGTTTGATCTTCTGGCCAATGGCATTGATATTATAACATTGAGTGCAGTTAGTCGAACATTGTTGAGTAGTAAGTTTATAAGGTGAGCAGATTGGTGAAATTGTACGTTATTGAGAGAATAAACACAGGGATGGACACGACGACACCTTTAACGTCTTTCACAAAGATGTACCGTCATGTATGTCCCTTTGTTGTTGTTGTTTTTTTTCTCTTTAGAAACGTAAAATTGCCACGTAGAAATGTACTGTTTTGACATACATTATGTTATTTATAGTCCAAAATGCAGATATTTATTATATTGAGGCTGCCTGTGTTGTATCTCAACCATAACAATCCGTTATTGTTTTTTTTGCTGTGGACCACTATGAACAATCTCCCTCCTGTAATGACCCCACTATTGGCCTGCAGTATTTGGAAACACAATGCATAAACAAACTTGTGACCGATCCCCCAAGCGTAAATAATGAATACGTCATCCTTCAGTTTCCGGATGCAGCCCTGGGGAGCACCCTTTCATGGGGAAATGTCACCTGGTGGTAACGACTCCGCCGATGTCCCACGAAGGGGCCCAGAGGTTCTGCGCGTCCAGGGGTTCGACTTTAATGGTCGTCGACAACCAAGTCATGAACGATTTTGTCTCCGAACTGCTCTCAACCCTGCACAAAGGTAGCGTAATTTATTACAAATATTGTGAATGGTTGTAATCATCAGCACGTACGTTACACATAAGGACGCGACAAGAATAGTTGACGTTTTAGTTTACATTATATCATGCATGGTTTAGTTATTATACCACGGGTGTAAGCCGAGAAAACTCCACCAAGCTCCTAGAATTAACAAAACACACGTATGGTGCTATACTGGGTAGGTTGTTTCAACAATCCCCTCTCCACTGGCGAACTATCCGAAGACTGGAAACTGGCTCGCGTCATTTCCATCTTTAAAGGTACGTTTATACTCCAACGTAACGTCGACGGGCGCGGCTTAGCGCAGCGCGCACAGATTCTGATTGGACGCATATATCGAGTTCCTGGTTGCCGGCTAATGAAAGGCGCGCGTTCTGCACTACGCTGCGTTCACTGCGCTCAACGTCGGAGTATAAACGGCCCTTAAATCCGGAGATAAAAACTCTTTCAACAACTACAGGTCCATTTCACTAGCGTGCGTCTCTTGCAAGCTTATGCAATATATACTTTCATCCCAAATCATGACGCACCTTTCCAGCAACAACCTTATAGTTCCGTATCAGCATGGCTTCCAACGCGGTCAATCGGAGAGCAGAAGAAAACAAATAGTGCCCTGCTTGATCGGTTAGATGACTTAGAAGATAGATCAAGGCGAAACAACACTCTTTTTTATGGAATTGCTGATAGCGGCATGGAAACATGGGCACAAACCGAACAAAAGATAAGCAAGGCTCTATCTGACTGCTTTGATGGTGAAACTAACTTGTCACTGGACATTGTGCGCGCTCACAGGCTCGGTCAGTATACTGATAATAAATGCAGGCCAATAATCGTCAAATTTGCTTCTTTTAAATTAAAAGAGCAAGCCCTGGTTTTAAAGGCAAAACTGAAATTGATGAATATCGGTATAAGCGAGGATTTTTCCTTTTCGACTCGTTTGGCACGAAGGAAGCTAATTGAGTTCGGGAAATCGCATGGAACTACGTTTAAGCTTAACTACAACAAATTATATTTGAATGAAAAGTGTTACGTCTATGACCGTGAATCAGGAACCGTCACCGAGCTGTTTCGTCCACATGCCTCCAACAGTGGTCCACGCCGTGGCACAACTGTTACTGCAACAGAAGGCGCCTCCGTTTCTACTTAACAATTGCAGAGGGGTAGTGACCACTTGCATTCTTTGTCAAACTTATCTATTCTTTCTACAAATATACGAAGCTTATTAAATAAACGTGATGATTTATGCTCTGCAATTGACTCTTGCGATGCTAACATTATTGTGCTAACCGAGACGTGGCTCTCGGCAAGAATCAGAGATACCGAATTATTCTTAGGACAAAAACAATTCGCTACCTTTCGGCAGGACAGAGAGTTGCGAACAGGTGGAGGCGTGCTAATTGGGGTCATTAAGAGTATACCATCATTTCTTGTTAATATAAACAGTTCCTTAGAAATAATTTGGGTGTGTATTAACGTTCAACATAAGAAATATATATTGGGATGCTGTTATCGTCCACCCTCATATGTCTCTGATTTTGCTGATAAACTACACGATGCATTGAATGTAATTACAATGCGTTTTCCTAACACGCCCTTGCTTTTGATAGGTGATTTTAATTACCCTAACATTGTTTGGGGTCCGGGGGATCCCAACTCTGACCCATTTTCAGCAGACTGTGCGAAGTTTTTAAGTGTGCTTTCTGATTTTCATCTTACTCAGCTAGTTCATAGCCCAACTAGAATAACTGCCACTACTTCAAACATTTTGGATCTTGTTTTGACTACGATGCCCAACCTGGTTGGTCCAATCGCATACCTACCTGGCCTCAGTGACCATCTGTTATTGCATTTTACTTTGAGTGTTCCTAATATTTGTGTTAAAAACAAAAGAAAAGTCATTCGGGACTACAACAAAGCTAATTATGATGCCATTAATCTTGAATTATGCAGTTTTTTAGATACTTTTTGGGGTAACTTCTCAGAATGCTCTGTTGAATCCAACTGGACGCGCTTTAAGGAAAAGGTGATTTCGCTCACTGAGAAATACATACCTTTGAAAACCATAATTGTAAACTCTAATTATCCGCGGTTCAACAGGGTGCTCCTGAGATTGTTAAACAAAAGGAAGCGTCTATTTAGAGCTGTGAGACTCACATCCTGCCCAGTTCACTGGCAAAAATTTTTCAGTGCTGCTCAGTGCTACAAGAATGCTGTACAGTCTGCTAAGTTCAACTTCTTCTTCACCTTACTACCTTCCATGTTAAAAAATAACCCGCGTCAGTTCTGGAATGTGTTGTCCCATCGAGATAAGCCTTCATCTATTTTATTGAAAGCACCTGACGAAACTTTGATCGATGAATCCTTATGTGCCACAATGTTCCAGGAAGTGTTTATTAAATCCTTTTCTAGCACCCTAAGCAATGTGAACCCAAGCTATAATGTTGATCCTTTTCCACTGATGGACCCTATCATAATCAGCCCCGATGGTGTTCTAAGCCTTCTAAACGGCCTAAAGCTGTCATCGGCAACTGGTGTTGACGAAATTAACTCGAAATTTCTTAAAGCTACAAATCAGTACTCCTCTGTTATTCTCGCCCATCTTTTTCAGCAATCACTTGACACATCATTGGTACCTTGCGACTGGAAAATTGGTAAAGTTATTCCTCTACATAAATCTGGTGATAAGCACTTTCCTATCAACTATAGGCCCATCTCGCTAACCAGTGTTCCCTGTAAAGTTCTAGAACATATAATTTATACACAACTTGTTAACTTCCTAGAGTCAAATTCATTTTTTTCCCCAAATCAACATGGCTTTAGGAAATCATTGTCCTGTGAGACACAGCTACTGTCTATCACTAACGATTTTCATTCAGCATTTGATCAGGGATCTCAGGTGGACTGCATATTCTTAGATTTTGCCAAGGCAAAATCTAAGAATAAAAGTCTATGCGATACAAGGTATCGCATAGACTTTTATTACATAAATTAAGTAAACTCAACATTGATTCTAACGTGTTTAACTGGTTGGTATCATTTTTAACAAATCGCTCGCAATTTGTAACATGTAACGGCATGAACTCCTCCTCCGCACCCGTCGCTTCCGGCGTGCCCCAAGGATCAGTTTTGGGGCCTCTACTTTTCTTGATCTATATTAATGACTTGCATGAGATGGTTTCTTCTTCAATTAAACTCTTTGCTGATGATTGTGCTATTTATCGTGTAATAACTAATGACTCGGACTCGCAAAAACTACAACATGACCTCGACTCCATATTTAGATGGTGCAAACTCTGGTCAATGGAGCTTAACATTAACAAATGTAAAATCATGCGCATAGCCCGCAAAGTTAAATTTACTACCGCTTATAACATTCACAACATACCCCTGGAACTTGTGACCTCCTACAAGTACCTAGGTGTGATCTTAAGTGACGACCTTTCCTGGAAACTTCATATTAACTATGTGATTAACAACGCTAACCGAATGCTTGGCTTTCTCAAACGTAACTTTCCTTTAGGTCCATCGTCATTAAAACTGACTCTTTATAAAACACTAGTTAGGCCTAAGCTCGAATATGCAGCTTCCATCTGGGATCCCTCAACCATCTACCTCATTAACTCACTTGAAGGAGTTCAGAACAGAGCTACACGTTTTATACTGGCCAACTATAACCGCACAGCAAGCGTAACGTCAATGAAAAGCACATTATTACTTCCGACCCTCGCACATCGTCGCATGGTTTTTCGAATCTCCCTTTTTCATAAAATCTATCACCATGTTCCTTACCTAAAAGCCCAAATGATAATCCCCCCATACTTTATTTCAGCACGCCTTGATCATCGTCAAAAAGTTGGTGTACCATTTTGTCACTCTAACGTTTATTACGCTTCTTTTATTCCAAGAACTTCTAACGATTGGAACCGCTTACCTGCATCTCTCACATCAATGACTGACCACGCTCTTTTTTGTAATTCTATTACCAACCTCATGTTCCCTATTGTTTGAGTTGTTTGAGATTTTGTTCATTGTTCCTTGTGTATTCTTATTGCTTTTATTTCCCACTCCCCTCTGTAATGCCTTTGTGCCCTGAGGGTAAAATAAATAAATAAATAAATAAATTCCTGTGCGACACAACTATTCGAAATTATTCATGATCTCCACGTGTCTATTCATTCCTTACTTTTCATTGATGCTGCTTTTATCGACCTCGCAAAAGCTTTCGATCGGGTCCCCCATAATAGATTGTTATACAAATTAAGTGCATAAATACAAATGAATTAAATATTAAATGAAAAGCGAGCTTCTTATTGAATCAGTTTCAGTTTTTTATGACTAACAAATATATTTCCTTTCCTATAATAGTAAAATCTGGCGTTCCACCGGGTTCAGTTCTTGGTCCAGTATTGTTTCTTCTCTATATAAATGGTATTTCTTCCAACATAAACTCAAACGTACGTCTTTTCGCTTACGACTACGTCATTTATCGCCCCTTTTCTGGTTCTCAAGATGTGTGCATACTTCAACGCGACCTTGACACCGTAAATAACTGGTGTAGCACTTGTCCCATACAAATTAATACTACTAAAACTAAGGCTGTAACCTTCACCACCCAAATAAATGTCGCCCGCCATACGTACGAAATTGGAGATGATGAGATCGCAAATGTAACATCAATAAAATATCTTAACGTACATCCTTTTGCTAATCTATCTTGGAACCTTCATACTGAATATGTAATTAAAGAAACCTCTAAAACTCTAGGATTCCTCAAACGTTCATTATCTCAGGCTAAGAAAAAAAACATGCTTCTGGCGTATACCTCCCTCGTAAGGTGGCAGTTGGGCTATGCATCGATTGTTTGGCACCCTAAGCAGATATATTTAGCCAATAATATCGAGGCACTTCAACATAAAGCTGCCAGGTTCGTCGCTAAAAATTATTCTCGCACTTCAATCGCGATTAACATAAAACTTTCTTTCAATGTTTCGCCCCTTCATTGTCGAAGACGCATGTCCTTCTTTTACGAGCTCTATCACGGCTCATCTTCTTTCAGACACGCGTACATCCATTCGCCTCATTATGTTTCATCTCCCGTCGACCATCCCTTCAAAGTACGTCCCATCTTTGTCCGCACCAACTAAATCAAAAACTACCCACTTCTTATCGCCACTTGCGAATGGAACAGCCTACCCAGCGATATTGAGCCCGATCACCTCTGCCCAAATGTTCACCACTTCAATAATTAATGTATAACAGCGTATATAGTCGTGATGTATTGTTAACTAGTTTTGTGTGCGAATTTCTGTGTTTGTGTTTATGAACCCTCCCCCCCCCCCCTCTTACTGTATGTAATGGCTGAAAGGGTCTTTAGGGTAAATGAATAAATAAATAAACCGCGTTTCTTCTGAGCCTAAAAATAAACTAGTCAACTGTGAAAGCTCGGACTCCACTTGACTGCGGTTTTGGCGGTCAAGCTGAATTTAGGAAAACATATATATCCTTCAGAATCTGTAATATTAAAAGAAATATTTGATCTTGTCAGCAGATTTACTCGTATTCATGTATTAGCGGGCGTGTTCACCGCCATTTTCTTATTTACGGCTTTTTTTAAATCTATTTCGTGTTCTTTTTTTTTCGCGAGATGACGTTAAACTTCAAAGCTTTGGAATCTCATTCTCAATCGCGGGCTCTAATTTGAACACTTGGCGAAACAGTCGGCGAGGAATCCGGCGGCCGTGATTGGCCGGCGCCGCGCTTGATCTTCACGCCGTCCAATCACGGCGCTCGAATTCTTCGCCGACTTTTTCGCCAAGTGTCCAGACTAGAGCCCCTGGGAAGAGTCTGAGCTTTCCGCCGTGGAAAGTTTATGAAGGCGAAAGCCTGATATGTCTCATCGTTCAGTTGACCTTCGAAGTTCTTGAGGGAAAACACGTCGGCTACACGAAAGGTACCGAACCGTTTACGTGATCACTCAGGCGAATTACAGGCAATGAAACTAAGAAGGATGAGAAAGCGAATTAAGAGGAATCAAAGTAAATTACGAGGAATTAAGGTGAATTAAGAGTAATTAAAGAGAAGAGTAATCAATGGGAATTAAGAAGGACTACAAAGCGAATTAAAAGGAATCAAGATTAATTAAGAGGAATCAAAGTTAATTAAAAGGAATTAAAGTTAATTAGGAGGAATGAAAGAGAACTAAGAGTAATCAAAGCTAATTAAGAAGATTTAAAGTGAATTAAGAGGAATTAAAAAAGTACATCACGTATCTGGCATTAATGCACCGGCGCTTGGGCTTTCGCCTTTCAAGTCGTCTTAGGCATAACATAAAAGACCCTGTAAATTTTCATTAGTACGAGTCACGGTTTGATTTCCTTGGCTGACATCCCGTATACTATGTATTTGTTCTGCGATGTATTCTTTTTTCTTAGATTACCTTGCATTTACTCGCGAATTTTCGTACATAATAATATACTGAATGCGTTATCCCGTACTACATTACACTAAACGTCCTCATTCTAAAAACAATTACCTGTGCAATCCATTTCTTGCAAACACACGGGTAGATGCAGGTGAGCAATCACAGCAAACAACGGAAGTATTACAGCGAATACGAAGCTCAGAATTCAATAACAGCAGGCGATGTGGACAGGGACAATGAACGTGACGTTGCGTTGGTTTTGCAGGACACACCAGATTTCGTATTCATAATCGTATCCTGAGCTTGATCATTTGCTAAGATCCAACCGTTGTTCGCACTGATTGGTTGCCTGGATTTTCTGCAGGAAAGTGAACCCACGCGATTTCTAAAGAGGACATTATGTCGCCTGGAAGCCATCTGTTCATACACATGAAACCGGCGGCTTGATTCTATTAAAAAAAGAAACAAAAAAAAAAAAAAACACTGCACCTAATTTTGAAAAAGAAGACTGCTTTTTACCAAATCCAGCTAAACATCCCTTGATATCTATTTTTACCAGTGGCGACTAAAGTTCCTGGATATGTACAGTGCCCCTCAAACTTAACGCCGCCACTCGGTTACACTCGTTTACGCAAATATTGATCTATTGCAAGCTACCCAAAGATAAATTGGTCGCTGCAGCTCCTCGAACACCTTCCCCTGGTTGGGTTCACCAAGCAGTTTGACCACTAGGTTCAGGAATAGCTCAACAAGTGAATAAACCGGACGATCTAGTGGCGGCGTTAAGTTTGAGGGGCACTGTACAAGTAGCGACATTCTTTGAAGCACCGACCTCGTGGCGGTGTAGGTTTTAGGAAACGAATGGCGACGCACAGCAGAGGACTTAACTGAATGACGCCATCTTGTTCCAGGGGAATGTGCTTTGTCATATGTATTGGTTGTCGTTACTTGTAAAAATAATTATCGAGGGACTTTAGTAACGATAACCAACACGAATGACGAAGCACATTCCGCTGGAACAAAATGGCGTCACTCAGTTGAGTCTTTTGCTGTGCGCCGGCATTCGCTTTTTTAAAACGTGCACCGTCACCGACCGTCACACAGCCGGCGCTTTAAAAGAAGGACGTTACATATGTAGAAAGAACGAAGGGTTCCTCTTATTTATGAATTTCAAATTTAGTGGTTGCGCTCTAAGAAATCCACTGCACTTTTCCTTTTTTCTTTTTGCAGTGAAGTTTTTGGGAGGTCAAGTCGCTGCATTGTGCGAAGCGAGCTCAGCAAACGAGGAAGTTGAAAATAAAAAAAAAATAAAAACAAAAGAGTCTGCGTTCTGAAAATGAGCATGCCGCAAGTATGTGAAACGTCAATTTCGGTGTCACAGAGCAGAGAATTTTTTAGGCCTAAACAAATATTGAGCCTCGACATTCCCTGCGTAAATTGAAGCGATTGACTCTTCCGTGTACTTCGCTAAAACGACGGCATTTTAGAAAGAGCGTAGGATCGTTTCATTCTAGACAAGACGGGACTATGTCCCGTGTCCCTTCACAATTGACTGCTCGACTTGCGGCAGGTATCGACGGCTGGCACACGGATGGCTCAGCTACGGGCGGCCACTGGCGGTGGGAGGCATCGGGCGCCTCCTGGGGCGGATACCTCAAGTGGCACCCCGCCGTCAGGCTCCGCGTCCTGCCGGAGTGTTTGGCGCTGCGCAGGAGGTTCCGCAGCGGGTCTCGCTCGCCGCTCTCGCTGGACCACCAATACATGTGGTGGACCAACGTCCACTGCGACCTCCGGCTGCCCTTCGTGTGCCAGAGGGACGCCGACAGTATCGGTATGCTGTCCGTCTTACCCATGCGCCACTAGAACTCGTCGTCACTCACCGGAAACTACAGGGCCAAAATGTTAGGGCGCAAACGAGCTGGTGCTGGTTAAATTTAACCAGCACCAGCTCGTTTGCGCCCTAACATTTGTCTTAGTCAAATGTTAACATTTGACTAAAAACCCCGAGCCTGGGACAAAAAGGGACGGACAAAGTCTTAAGTCTCAAGAACAGATGAAATTCATTTGACAACGAAAGGGCTGCTTATGTACGCATCAAATGCTACACAAAACACTAGAGACTATAAAGAGAGAGAGAAATTGGGAATCCCGTGCCACAAGCAGTACAACAAAGCAACCTTTACAATAGAACTGAGAAGCAGTGACCTCCTTTATGCAATGAAAAACAAAAGTCAAGCATTTTTCAACACTGTTCACACAGGCAGTGCCCCCAACAAACCCCAAAAGAAAGACGTTTCAAGGATCAATAAAAACGTGCACTTTTCTGGCGAAAGCCGGAACATTAGAAAAGGAAGGACGCAACGCACCAAATGACCAGTACCCAACACAAAACGAACTGATCTCGATGGACACGCAAAAATCATGTTATCAAGAGCTAGAGCTTCTGCGCATGCGCCATGCCAACAGCAGCGCCACCTCAGTGTCGTGACGCAAAGGCTTTGTATCCGTGCAGTCCCGAAGGGAAACGCGCGCAGGGTCACAAAGAGACAATGATGTGACGTAATCTGGTTCCATACAAAACCCTGTCCTAGGTCCCACCTGAACTAAGAACACAACCCGCCCAGGCAGTGAAAGACTAATGGTCATCATTCCCTAGGCACCAATCGAACTAAGAGCCACACCCACCCTATAATGCTACCGCATTTAAGCGCGTTTGACCAAATGACCAGACATGCAGCCTTTTTTTTTTCTTAATAAAACGCACAGACATGTAACCTCAAGTGTGCATTTCTCTGCGCAAGGCTGTCTGCGAACCGGCATCCCGTATTCTGGACCGGCGAACGTGACGGAAAATGGAAACGCCTGCTTGTTTTGGGCTGACGTCGAAATCGCACCCATGGTGATGGCAGACTCGCCACAAGATTATCCGGTAAGCTAAGGGTCATAATATTCCAAATTACTGCTTAACTCACATTTGGACATACGACGGCACCAACGACTTTTCACGTTGACAATGTGCTTATACTTCAAATTTGCAGTCGGTGACGTGTTAAAAAACGCCCCAGTCAGAGTTTTGTGCCTTTCAGAGCACTTCTACGCACGCACAGCCTGCATGGTCTCGGAAAAAGACAAGCTCGCGATGGGGGGGAGGCGGAACTTTTACTGCATTATAAGTCCGTCACCGACTATGCTTTGACAGGGTTTGCGTACAAAACCAACGAAGATCAATTGTTACGACATAGCGAAGGACCTGAGGGATAGTATTCAATTCAATACTTTTCAACATATAAATCTCAATTGCACGGCGCCTGTCCCGCAGTAAGTCTATGCCAAAATGCGGACACTTCAGTTTAGGGTTAAAAACGTGAGATAGGTCGGCTGGCACTGTACCTCATGAAGTGACCGAGGTGACTTTTCTCTCTATAACTGAATGTATTGAACCTGAATGCGTCAGTGTGTTCCGTTAGATTTTCCATTCGCGGCACCAAAGAGCTGTGACGGTCATTGAATTACGTTACCGAACAATCTACTACCTAAGGCACACAAGGGTTTGTGTATCTGCCGCCTGCCAATTAAATTTCGTGTGCATATTTTAACACGACCACACTCGTCCACCATAAAAAAAGACTTATTTAATGCACTTGAAAAAAATAAAATCTTCACATGAATCTAAAGCGCTCCTTAGGCGCGAAAGTCACGAATTCATTGAAATGAACAATTGGGAATGTCGTTTTTTAAATACGACGCCAATTGACGGCGTGTACGATCAAAAGCGTCACTGTTACTGTTTAAGAAGTCAATACAATGTTTTTAGTAGGATTTATTCGGTTATTAAAGGAGCTGTGCCACGATATTTACGTTAAAAAAAATTTCAACTTCTACTTTTGATATTATTTTCTTGTCACAAAGGACAGAAAGCCTATCCCCTTCCTTCAAAATGCTGCGATTCCGCCGCGTAATCGCGAGGCAAAAATTAGAATATGAAAATTCCGAATATTGTGCAAATACCTGCTCGATAAAAGGTAATTTTTCTATATATCCTGTTGTTCCAACCTAAGTATAAATCCGGCAAAAACTTGGTATCATCGACAAAACTTTTATTATACGGAGTTTTAGTGGCGCCATATATCCTAGGTTCACAAAACCGTCAGCTCTATTTGCTCCCGCAAACAGCCGCCAGAAGCGGGAGGGGGACGGGGGCAGAGCCGGACGGGGATGGCCGGACCCAGAGGAGACTTTGCTCTTTTCGCCATGTTGATCACGCTGCTCAAGCACGTAGTCACGTGGTCGCGAGCGGGTGAGTTCTCGCTGCTCACTGATGGCTCTAGAGAGGGAACTTCACCGGAACCCCACGCGTCCCCCATTGACGTCACAGCGCACGGGACTCGGAAGATGGTGAAGGAGTTGAGAGGTCACGAAAACCTCAATCTTTGTCCATTTTTAAGATAAAAACTAGGACATGCAGGCAAAAGCGGTTTTTGTTCTTTACTTCAAAAAGGTCGAGACACCAACTCCCAAATTATTTAAGCAAAACACTGAAATTGTTGCACAGCTCCTTTAATTACGCGGTTGTGGGTAATGTTTGCTGAAGAAGTTACAGGCTACAAGACTTCCCCATATTCCCTTCAGCATGTCGGCTGCAATTGATGGTAAGTCGCCAGGATCGCAACTGTCGATGCAAATTCTGGTGGTGGCGTCACGGGAGGAAACCACAGAAGGGCGCCGCCTGATCATCTCGCTTCCCATTCTTTGCGGACGAAACAGGACGATATGGGTCATCTTATTGCAGATACGCAACCATATAGACGCGTTCCATTTCAGGAGCTACAGGGCCACAACTTTTGCCGTAGCCCGGACGGAGACAGCCGACCGTGGTGCTACGTTACGGCATACGACTACGAGTACTGCGATATCCCGCACTGCCCCGCACACATTGAACGTGAGTAGTAACTCTTTCGAACGATGCCATTCCAGGAGCGGCATAACAACCCACGTTGCTATGGGCAACTCCGGCCAAAACTCAAAATTAAATAAATTACTGATATCGATGTAGTGATACAAAATACGACCCCAGCCAAAATATTACGTCCGTGGGACGCTGCATTCGCAACTAATGCCGATTATAAAAATGCGACCCGCCGCGAGCCGCTGCTCCTTAGCGGGCGGCCAGCGGGTTGCCGATCGCTAAAGCAACATTGGGCCGTGACGTCAGTATCGTTCTCTTTTTTTCCTCCGGTCCGGGCGTTGCGCGGAGTGCGCTTCTTTGAGCCGCCACCACCGCTACTTCGGCTTGTGATTGGCGTGTTTAACCGTTGCTTTTATCTGTAGCCCGTGTAGCTTCGGTAAATCCATTTGTTTATTTGCTTCTGAGGACTCCAAGACTCGTTTTAGGGAGCAAGTCGGTGCGCCCAAGACTACCCAGCTGTTCCTGGAAAAATACCGAGTGCAACATGTAGCGCTGTCGGCTGCTCAAACAACCCGCTGCGCAACACAGAAGTGCTTTTTCATAAGTTTCCAACGGACCGGAAATCGGAGAAGCTGTGGGTTAACGCTGCTCGACGAGTGGACTTTGGACTTCGGCTTTTACGCGCGCGAGGAAAAAAGAACGAAAAAACAGACGTGTACAGCCCAGCACACGTGCGTTCGGGCGCCGCGGCCCGCGCCGAAGAGCCTGAAACCTTCGTGTCTGGAGACTGGGACTGACCCGCAGCGCGAAAGCGAGAGGGCCCCCAGTACTGTACGTTACTTGCAGCGCGGCGTAGTACCGCCGCTCCATCCACGGAGCCCCGATGGCAATTTAGGCCTAGCGATGAGTATACGGAAGACCGCAAACACGGCGACAGCCGCCGAGTACGGCAGCGAACGAGTTCACTCGTTTTCCAGCCGCTAGCTTTTGGGCATACAAGCGACGAGTACGGCATAACGGGCGTATACGGCGGCACCGCACGAGTTCACGGGTTTTCCGGTCGCTAGCTCTCGATTATACGCACTAACTCTTGCTACATATGCTGGGTAACTACCACGTATACAGAATTAAAACAAAATCAGCTTACCTCCTATCTTTAGACGGCTAGCGCAACAGAGGTAGGTGCCGCTTGGCCTGCGTACTCGTTGATCGAGAACGACCTTTACGTCACGTTCACATAGCGGCCGATTTCCAGTGTTGCCGGGGCCTCGAGCGGCTGGTTTCGGTTTTGTTGGCCGCGCCCCAAATAAAACTTTGAAGCGTCGATATCTTTAAAACTACGCGCAATGACGAGAAAAAAATTACACCTTGCTATTCAGAGACGCTGACTGCACTAAAAACAGTCATAAACCCAAAATCGAAAGTATGGACCGGAGTTGCCCTTTAAGCTGAAAAAAAAAAAAAAAAAAAAGCATTATGTTTTGAGTTTGCGTAACAATGAGCTTCGCATAATTTCAATAGAGATGCCAAGTTTTCAAATGCACATGGCGATAACTTGGTAGATAATGTTAGAACACACCATAGATGCGAACATACGAAATGTTTTCTCCGTACTGTGTCCAAACTGTACGAATTTGTTTTTCAGCTTCCAAAAAACTTGAACCGCGATGCTGTTATGGTAGTTTTGTATAATCTCAGAAGAGAAAGAAATGAAAGTGATCAATACCTCGCGTTCTTCATAAGAAACTTCAGAAACAAATTTGGCATAGACGGTTGAAGAAAACGTTTTAGTGTGATACTATAAAAATTCGCCTACATTTTTGTGCAAACCCAAACAACAGTTTGGTCTAACCAGTTATTTATTTCGCGTGTGTTTTTTTTTTTTTTCTTCTTCTGTGCCCATGCCGCGGTGCAAAAAGATGTGAACACACCTTAGTTGCACTTTTCAAGTATGAATGACTACCACATTCCCTACTTCCCTTGACCAATTGCAGAACGTAACTCTCTCGTTACTGACAGCTGCTTCGACAACGAGTTTCGGTGCAGCCCCCATCAGTGAGTAGGTTTCGTCACAAATACCGTCAACCTTATTGGCGGGGAACCGGTCTTAAACCCTATAGTCGCACGGCCACCCTTAACCGCAGTTACGCATAAGTGTGGTTAGCAATCACCGCCAAATACACCCTGGCAAAACGGGCACCCTTTTAACTGTAGTTAAGTCTGACCTCAGTTACACCTAACTGCGGTTAACGGTGCCTGTGTAACTTACTAGAAGGTATTAGAACTAATGATTTTTATTTGAATTTTGCACGATAACCGCCGCATTTTTGCAGTGGTCGGTTAGGAGTTGTGTATTACTCTACAGTATCGTTGTTTTCCTGAATTAACTTTTTATTATAATTATTTATTTGTTTTATTTATTTGTTTGCCTAAGGTTACTAAGCGGGTAACTCCTATAGAAGCACCGTAACGCAATTACTGGAAACAACATATGAATTGAGTGAGTGCATAAATAAACATTTTCAAGTTGATATCATATTTCTAGACTTCGCGAAGGCATTCGACAAGGTTTCCCACGACAAGCTTCTCGTTAAATTAAACGTTGTTCTTAAATCTGTCTGATTATTAAAATGGTTTGAACACTACCTAAAGGGAAGGCAACAGTTCGTAACATACAACAATGAAGCTTCAGTTACATCGCCCGTAACCTCGGGAGTATCTCAAGGGACAGTTCTGGCACCCATGTTGTTTTTAATATTCATCAATGATATAATTAACAATATAAATGTTCGCATAAAATTGTTCGCAGATGACTGTGTCTTATATACTGAGGTAAAATCGCGCAACGACCAGATAGCATCAAACAATAACCTAAACAAAATTTACAAGTGGTGCAGCGATTGGCAAATGACATTAAATGAAAAATGTATGTGTATGACTATTTCACGTAAGAAACTCCCCCTTGACTTCAATTATGAGTTATCTGGTCACAAACTAATCAAGGTAACAACCTTCGATTATCTAGGCGTCATTTTTTCTTCTGAACTTAAATGGGACCTTCACATTGATTACATCGTAAAGAGAGCTAACAGTAATTTAAGGTTTCTGAAACGAACCTTGCCGGGTTCGTTTCAGGCTACAAAATTGCTTGCTGATAAAACTTAACTCCGGCCAATTCTTGAATATGCCAGCGTCGTTTGGGACCCTCTCACACAAAAGAACGTAAACAAACTAGAGATGATTCAGAAAAAGTCTCTTAGGTTTATCTTCAACAAATTCGGAAGAAAGGACTCACCATCAAAATTGATGCTTCAAACGGATTTAACATCGCTGTCATCCAGAAGAAAGATAGCCCGGCTAAAAATGCTTTATCTAATCGTGAATGGAGCCATAAGAATACCTCAAGATAAATATATAGCTTTTTCCCAAAGGACCATCACTCGATTCACACACCCGAAAACGATTTTTGAATGTCATTCTCGGGTAGATGCGTTTAAGTACTCCTTTTTTTCGCGTACTGTTTCCGATTGGAACAAACTACCTCGAGATATAGTCAACTGTGAGTGTGTTTTCTCGTTTGCTGAGCAACTGTTATCAACTGTATAAATATTATTTGTTTTGCAATCGGCGCCTCACTGTCAAGGGCGTTCCACTGTTAAAACTCTTGTGTCATATTTGCTACTGCCTGCAAGATAATCTTTTATGTAATTGTTCATGTACTGCTATGTGTATACTTGCCGACACACTGCTGTCAATTGTAGCCCAGAGTTCCTTTCGTGGCATTCTGGTGGCGGAGGCCTACACTTACATTGCAAGCACCTTGAATACATTGTGCTTCATTCTTGTGCCATTCCTATTATATTTTATGTATTGGAACAATAGTATTGATAAATAAATAAATAAAAATAAAAAAATATCGCTAAGGCGATATTTCTGGATCGATGTTGTTCTATTGCTCCGAAATCTGTTCTTCGGCAATCATAATGACATAATGCCGCATTCTCATTGGCCGCGAAACAGTAATAAGATGTTGGAGACTCGTCATGCCCTGCTTTCAAAAAAAAACAGTAAAAAGAATTTTTTTTTATTAAAGTAACTTTTAATAAACAAATCTACACTAAACATTTAAAAAAATTAGAATCATACGTTGCATTTTTTATATAAAAAGAGATCAAACATCGCGATACACCTTTTCCTCCGATATATTGGGCACTTTTAGCAAACCGTTACCGGTGTTCCGCGTACCGCAGTACGGAAGCATTTTTGAAACATGCTTTTAAGAGCGAGCGCCCAGCGGTCACGGTATCACCCGGGCGCGCGCTTAAAAGCATATGCTTCAAGGGCTCCGGTATAATGCGGTACGCGGAACAGAATAACGGTTCCGGGTACTGTCACCGTGTTCCCAAATGTCTCAGTCAACGAGTTCAACGCGACGTTTGCTCGCGATTATAGTTGGGAATGACTGACTGTCATTTAGGGTTTTGTGTGACTCTTAGAGCGCGTAGATTGGCTTCGCGTCATAAAAGGAGGATTTCAAAGACCGCTTTAGGACCTCTTTAAGCTGCTGCAAGCGACTATATTGGAACCCCGGTTTCCTCCTTTCTGCATGTTGAAACATGCCTGCGCAACAGTGACAAAAATGCGTGTCTAGTATTTTAGCGCGACAGCGTTAAGGAGCTCGTGTCGCAGAAAAGCCAGAGCCGGTGGCGTTGTGACAGGAAAATCCTGATTGGTTGATAGGGTCATGACGTCACAGCCACATGACCTCTCCCGGGAATTTCGAACAAACCACGACGCTCACGTGAAACGTGACGTCATGCGTAGAATGAAAGTGCTGAAAGCATGACATGTAATGTAAAATAAAGGTTGCCGTATGTCTCAAATGATTTCCCTTCATAATGTAATTCATTTGCCTTGAATAAAAATTTGAAGAATTTTAGCCGGCATTCGAACCCACGACCCTTTTGTTGCGAGCCAGACAGGCTACGGACTGATGAGGAAGGCGATGCGAACGGGGCCCGGTAACGCTCTCGCGTTCCACTCCTAGAAGGCCAAGCTTAAAAGTCCTCCAAGTTTTCATACACTAGATGAAACCGCATCAAACAGAATCGAACCTCATCTAGCGTTTACTCAAAAGAAAAAGAAAAAAAAAAATACAGTCTCAACTTTTTTTTTTTTTTTTGGCCGCCAGTGTGTGTTTGGAACAAGCTTTGGAGCCTGTCGGTGCAAACACAGAACCGCACGAATTCGCTTTCGATCGACCCTTTTTCAAAACCTCGTCGAGCAACATTGGCGGTCGCCATTTCTCGGGCACGATACTTGTGATTGGATCCGAATCATTGCCGACCGCTGACGTAGCACTCGTGTCCAATACATACTCAGAGTTGCTCGTTAAGCCATGGCCAACTCGAATAATTCATGCAGCAGCTACTACCTAGATAGCGCGTAAATTTTAAAAGGGTCTATTAAAAGCGAGTTCAGGAAGAATCACCTTTGTTTAAAAAAAGAAAAAAAAATTCGTTGTAATTTTCAGGTGTATACGCAAGGAGTGGGTCTGTGACGACGAGCCCGACTGCAAAAATGAACGAGACGAACAAAACTGCGGTGAGTTTTTCTTTTTATTATTATTATTTTTGGTCAAGCCATTTATTTCATAAAACAACTCAGTAAAAAAGTTTTCTTTAGTATATAGAGCAACCTAAGTTCAAAGCCAGGTAAGTTAAACCTCAAGTTTAGTCGTTTAGCTTATACAAATTCTGTGCAAACTAATTGCCAGTAATCGCTTAGGTTATACCGGGCAATTAGCGCCATGTGAGAATATGGTATCGCTTGAGATCTCAACACGTCATAAAACTAGAAATACTGACTTTCCATTTTCAACAACTTAAATCCACGCTGAAAAAAAAAAATCTCAATAACTACAGCAAGTGTATGATGCGAGTTTCTTTTTTAACTACTAAATCCCCTCTAATATCTGCCAAAGAAACTATTCAAATATCAATCCACTAGGCGGCATTCTAGGACTCCCTCCCATTTAAAAGTACTGTAGTTGTTATACTGATCGAATTCAAGGCCAACTATTAACCGATTGGAGACTATTGGTAGAATTAACTTGCGAATTAACGTGATTTCCGACGGGTTCCAAGGAGTTTGACCGTGTTAAGTGAATGCTGGGCAAGCGAAAACGAGAGGAAAGCCGGCGATATAATGTTTTTTGGACGCCTGTTTATCTCGCAAGTTATGCAAGTGACGTCACCCCAGTGGGGAACCCCGGAAAATTTTAAAGTTAGTTTTAGCGCAACCTTTATTTTCCGTTTTCTTAATAGCTATTTCCGATTATCGCAATAATAAATAGCATTCCGGAAAGATTTAAGCGTGGGTATTCCGAAAATGTGTTTAGTTTAGGTAGATCACAAGACAGACATTGTTATAGTGCTGGAGAAACGTAGCTATGTTTCCAGGAACGACCAGAAAAAGAAATATAAAAGAATCTCTGTTCTTACAGTTATTTGTAAATCATTTCTAAGTCAGATTTTCTTACTTATATTAGTATTATTTCATTTATATCGAGTTAAACTGATTTAGATCGCTGTAGCTATAAAAAAGAGTACTTTTTAATCACTGGATGTATTTTTAAACATGGCAGATTGATTGATCAATCCTCCCAATCACTGAAAACAATGTGGAAGAAAGGACTACTTTACATTCAAAGTGCGGAATAACTAACACCTATTTATCGAATAAACCCGCATAGTAGAACAAAACAGCTTGATATTTTTAATATTAAATAAAAAATTGATTTGCTTTTTTTTACCTTCTGATTTTCTTACAATTGGACATTATTCTAGTGCTAGTTTCTTTCCTTCCCGTCCTTATTTACTTGTAATAGGAAGTTATGTGACTGAAGAGCGAGGTGGGCGGCAGTAAAAAGCTCACAGTTCCGATCTGCTCAGAAGACCACAGCTTGGTGCTCGTGTTCGGCCTTATATAGATTTTTCTTGTTTCATGATTCTTTATTTTTTTAATACAAAACAAATGCACTCGGAACACTTGCGGAAAATGTTTGATTTAAACCTTTATAGTAAAACCGGTTTGATTTAAATCGTGATTTACAACATCTTGATGTTAATTTTTCACCCTACCAGGAACTACTGTGGCGCATCCTCTTGACTGATTTTGCTCGTGTCTTTGAAATCTTCGACGCATATCATTCTTAGACCGCGCGTGAGCCCCTCGCGTAGGTGCTCTAGTGAGATGACTGAAGGTTTATACCCGGATTTGTCGGTGTCGAGAGGGGGATATGATAACAATATCAGGACACCTTTCAGATTTGCAGCTGGAGCAGTTTGAGAAGAGTGCCATGACAAGACTGAGGCGTTACGAAGCTGCGAGGTACTATTCCGTCAGCCTTACCAAGGTTTGTAGCATCGTTAAAACAGACTGCTTGTTTTATGAGACAAAAAAAATCCGTGGTCGGTGACATGCCAAGAATGCAGTAGAAGCTTCGCATCCAACTCGTGGTCGATGCGGTGCACCGGGCTTTGGCTGAGTGTGTGTGTGCGTAAAAGTGTTATCAAAGGCAGAAAGCCTGGGCTGGGGGCAAAGCATTTACTCTATTCTTAACTTGTTACCGACTGCACTTCCTATAAGTAGAGTTTCCTTTGTGTTTGTGCGTGACTAAAGTGTACCGTTGATTATTTGTAAAAGACATTCGTAAACACAAGCTGACTTTGCACGAGCCGAGCATGCAAATTATTGATTTACAGCAGAGGCGTGGCTGAAGTCCTTTGAACTATTAAAAAATTCCGAGCACACCTAAGAACTTCTTATGCGTTGCGAATGCGAAAGCATGAATGTCGTTTTTCAGCTCCCTTAGTTCGCCTGCGGCGTACTCGCATGGACGGCCACGTTTTTCTACTGCCGAGGTAGCGGCCGACGAGTGAGGGCGCGCACTCGTGAAGTGGCCACGCCGCGCTGAGCTCGGTCATGCAACCTCTCCCGAGATTGCCCGTGCGGGCTCTGCAGCCAAGCGCTCCCTCTTACCGTCGACCGGGCCGCTGCCTGCGTTGCGCCGCCGTGGAGGGGGCTTCTCTGGTGGCGTTCTTTGTAACTACGCCGCGCGAGAGCCAATGGGAATCTCGTTCCTTGAAACTATAACGCGCAAGCCAATGGGAACCTATCCATCAGATTGCTGCTGCAGACGACAGGTTCCGCTCCATCGGGACAGGAGAAGGTGCCGTTTGGCGCGGCTTCAAAAGCTGATGACGTCGGTTCGCTCCATGGGGCACTTAATGCGTTCGCAGTAATAAAGACATCCCGCTATCTTAACATGCGTACATATCTGATCAGAATGTTTTTTTTTTCTCTTCTTTTTTATCTCCACAGTGTGCAGCCAAATGCGTCAACACGGCAGCCTTCTTGTGCCGTTCCTTCAGCTACACCTCTTCGGGCGGCCTCTGTATCCTCAGCGAACACAACGTGGCCCTCACGGGAGCGCTGGTCCCAGATCCGCGCTTCGACTACTACGAAAACATCGAGCGTCAATGCAAGTGCAACCCGCAGTCTTACGAGAACTGAAGCCGAAAGCAAATCGCACCGCGCCGCTGGGCGGCGTCCTCGTAATAACCAATCGGTTTCACTTTAACTGTGAACGATGCCGAAGCTACAGGCCAAGACTCAAATGCGTGAATTTCGCAATCATGGTGAAACAAAGAACATTTGTGCGGGAAGGTTTATTGATAATGCGAACTCTCGGCACGGTCTGCAGTTTTCCGCTAATTATCCTTGAATTGGAATATTTTATTTTTATATTTTATGACAGCCCTGTGGCTAACTTGGCTATCAAGGTGCCATTCCGGTTCTCTAGAACACGATCGTGACACGTGTTTTCCGCTAAAGTAAAGCGATGAATATGGCCCTTTGAAAGAAACGCGAAGCGCGATTTTTGTCAAATGACTATCTTTTCTATGGTTCATTTTAACAGAAAAAAAAAATGAGACGTCTACAATTCTCTGTAATGTCGAATTAGAGCGCAGCTCTTGAGGAGGAGGAGCGTAGGATACTGAGGGAAGAGTGTGCCCCTGCTCCCCCTCTGTAGCTTCCCCTCCTCCCCTCCTGCTCCTCACCCATCTAGCGGAAAAATTTCGGTAAATTTCCCGCTAAATTTAGCAAACATTTTCCGGCTAAATTTATCGGAGAAATATTCTCGCGAAATTTAACGGGAAACTTTCTCGCCAAATTTAGCAGAAAAAGTTAACCCACGTGACGTCACACGTGGCGTCAATATGGGAAACGTCCTATAAGAACGAGTGGTCACGCCGACGGCGACGGCGACGCCGCTCAACCCGGAAACGAGCGCCTAAAGCGCGATCCAAACCAACGCTTCTTTTTGCGCCTGTAGGTCGTGCGGCTGCGGATGTGACGCATTCCGCGTCGTTTTTGCTGTTTCCGGGCGCGCTTTCTGAGTCAGAAGCGTGCGCTTTGGTTTGGACGGGCCAGCTACGGGCGGGGGCGCACGCGCGCACGCAGGCACGAGCGCACAAGCAAAGTGCAACAGCGACAGACTGGCCGGCGAGAGAAAGAGAGAGGGAGAGAGATCGCGTTGTCATGTTGGAAGAGAATAAAAGGGGGGGAGGAGAGGGCAGCCAGACGGCGAGAAACGCGGAGCCGGAACTAGCTTGCCCTCCACCGATTGGCCGGGACACAGGCGCGGCCTGCTACGTCACCGCGCTTTTTTATGCGGCTTGAGAAAGAAGTTGAAATCAACCAACTTCTTCGTGCGCGCCCGGAAGGAGCGAAGAAGCGGCGCGACCTCACGAAAATGCGTCACATCCGCAGCCGCACGACCTACAGGCGCAAAAAGAAGCGTTGGTTTGGATCGCGCTTTAGGGTTGCGCTCTGAAATAAAAAGCGCGCCTATGAGCTAGATGATATCTCTGTGTAACACTTGGTAGAATATACTGGCCTGATTACGGGTGCGAACGGATGCCTTCAAAACATAATTTGATTGGCGACTGCTCGAGAACTTTTAGAGCGCAGCTTTCAGGCGCCCGTTTCCGTGTTTCGCAACGTCAGCGTAACAGCGCTAAATTTAGCGGGAAAAGTGACGCCCCGTGACCTCAACACCAATTCAGTTTCCCCGCTAAATTTAGGGGGGAAATGACGTTACATGACTTGGTGTCACGTCACGTATGAACAAATTCAGTTTCTCCACTAGATTTAGCAGGAAAATTGACGTCACGTGACCTCAGCAGCAATTCAATTCCCGCTAAACTCAATTGCTGTTGAGGTCACGTGACGGTAATTTTCCCGCTAAATCTAGCGGAGGAACTGAATTAGTGAGAGGAGGGGAGGACATTGAGGAGGAGGAGGGTGGGAGGGTACGCAGGAGGAAGAGGGGCATACTCTCCCCTCCGTACCCTCCCCTCCTCCTCCGCAACAGCTGCGCTCTAATTTCGCGTTACGAAGATCTGTAAACGTCTCTCATTTTTGAAGCTATGATCTCACAGCTTCAATTTTGATAGCGCTGCATGCGAGATGTGAAATATAATAAAACAGTCTAAAATTAACCTTCAGAAAACGAAGAACAATGTTTGGTATTTCTGCCCTGTTCAATCGACTATATTTCGTTTCAGCCTCACGCCAGGCGCAGCCGACGCTACGAGGTAGCGGGACCAATCGAACAACGTCAAAAGCGCATGTCACTGCGTATTTTCTGTATATGACTGGTCCCGCGTAATAAATCCGAAACGCAAACACGACGAACATCATGATGGTGCGCTTTTGACACTGTCTGATTGGTCTAATAAAGTGAAACAAAGTAGAGGTTGAAAGCAGGTCGAACGGGTTTAATAAGCATTTGCTTTTCGCTACCACTGGTATGTCTTAAACTGCGTAGTGTTATATATATATAGAGAGAGAGAGAGAACTTTTAATCAATGGATAATTGTGAAAGGGCCCAACTAGAGGCACTTTTCGAGTTGACAAGCTCGCTAGGGGCGCTTCCGTTTTCCTCACTATGAGCAGTGCTACCCACGCCTTAATGGTTTAATTTTCATAGTGCATGGAAGCTCGGCGTTCCAAGTACTTGCACCAGCAGAGGAACTTGAAGTATCCTCACTCTGGGTTGGGAAAAAATTCTACCAGGCGGCGATACCTAAACTCCTCGCTGCGAATAGGCCCAACCAATGTTACTAAAAAAACTCTCAGTTGGGAAACTCGCCCTTGAAACTGGGACCGACCGCGTCCACCGAGACCAAACTGGATACGATAACAGCGCCGCCTTTTAGGGACGAATCAAAACAAGAAAGTTGATTTATATAGCTACGGCGAAATGACACTGCGTGATGGCGCCACCGGTCCTGTGCGACTCGACCTGTACCAGTACATGCAGCCTTGCACTTCCCGAAGTGGCCGCTGCGGAAGCAAAGGTGGCGTTGCGATCGCTTTTAGTTTGGTTCTCGAGTACGGATCATAGCCACGTTTCCAAAGCAGGCTCGAAGGCTGTTTCCCAACTGAGTTGTTCTAGTAACGTTGGCCTAACGTTGAAAAAACAACTCGGTTTCTTTTTTAGACGCGACTGTAAGCGTTGAGGTCACAATAATAATGAATACTGCGTAGTGTTAATTGCTATTGTAATATTGACTACTGGTTATTATTGGTATAGATTAAATAAATAAAACAAAAATTAAAATCTAAGCATATGAGCTTGATTTTTTCTAGAACTGTTTTCAGCTCTACAAACAATCCCACACCTTGAGCTCACGTTGTAATGTTCGCTAGAATGTTAACCGCTGTTCAGAACATAATGAAGGAGGTGCTAAGGTTGTTGTGTGCACTAAGCAGCACTCTTCATTCTTCTGGAAAATGAGCAATAAGTAAGTGTGCTAAAGAGCAGGTGTAATTTGAACATAATTAAAAGACTTCATGTTTGCGCTAACCCTTATTTTTCTCTATTTCGGGGTTCTTCGTAATTATCGGAAATTAAGTCTATCTTGAAGTATAAAACAAATCCCGGGAGACGTACGCTCTAAAAATGGGGAGTCAGGATGTCAATTTCCGTCCCGTATATGACTCCAGGTTAAATAAACTGAGACTATAATGGGTACGGAAACGAAATGTTTGCGCTTATTTCTTTGCTTAGATGTTGTCTATGTCGTGCCGCCAACCCAGAAACACTAGCCTAGACTAGTGTTTCTGGATGCTGGAGACACGTGCCGCGCACCACTTCTGGTAAGAACATGGCGACTGAAATCTAGCTCAATGCTGCGCTGTGCCGCCATGATCTTCCCAAGAGCTGCACGTTGAACGTGCCTCGTGCATCGACGCACCTTCGCTACCTTTTAAACATGAAGGGGCTTCAGGCTCCTCGAAAAGTGGCTCTTTGATGCTCTGTGCTACCAGGTCCTCACACTCCAAATCTGCGACCACAGGCACTCTATGTCTCCGTCGTCGAACTGCCAGGCTTTGTAAGTATAGAGGAGGTTATGGTTAAAGCTTCCCCAGTGCTTCCACAACGTGTATTCCACGTCATCAAGTTCGCAGTTCTTTGCAGACGTTAGCTAGGAGCTTGATCTGAGGATGCGGTACCTCTGCCAGGAAAATTTTCATCCCCAAAAGATGCGCCGTGAATAGCGCGCTCAAATATGGCACCCAGTGAATACCTTATATGCATAGCTTGCAGGTGTCGACATTGCAGAGCACTGACGGTCATTTCTACTTACTGATTCCTTCGAGCTACTAATTCTACGGTGTGAAACTAGCACGGTGAACCGAACGCTCGTGACACATAAAATACCGGCATGGACGCAAATGACGTTACAGGTAAGCTATTTATAGGCCATAGGGCGAACACTCCTTGGATACTACTACTAGGTGACATTGTCACACGTTGACGCCACCAAGCGGCAAGGCTCAAAAGTGCAGCACCCTTGACCGTCCATGCCGTGCATGGACTATTAACGTCACGACAGCGATACGCATTGCACTTCTCCCTGGCCGACTTTGAAGCGAGGGGTAAAGAGCCTGCGCTCAAAGTTATTTCGTTTCCGTACCCTCCAAGCTAAGACGTTTATGGCGCGGACAACCAAATAAAATGTGTTCACTCGACTCAAAGTAAATTAAACTCAAAAGTAATGTTTGCACCCCCAGTGACGGAGCCAATCATCGCAAAATTCTACTGAACCAAGGAATATAGTGCCCATAATAAGTGGCGCACGTCCTTTCCACGAGCCAGCAGACGCCGGTGTGCGCGAGCACACGCAACGAAAATGACGTCAAAGACCTACATTCGCGCTTAAGAGGACAGTGAAAGGCATGGGCTCCGGGCCAAAGTGAATAAAGACAGGCTTTTCATCTCTACAAGTGAAAGCTACGTGCTTGTTAGACCAATTAATCGCTTACCTTTTACACCAGACACCATTGTGTAGATGAAAACTTGTCTTTATTCTCCTTTGGCCCGAAGCCCATACATTTCACTGTCATCTTAACCGCGAGTGGAGGTCTTTGAGGTCACTTTTGTTGCGTGTGCTCGCGCACACCGGCGGCTGCTGGCTCGTGGAAAGAACATGCGCCACTTATTATGGACACTAAATTCCTTGGTCCCGTATCCCTTTAAGTTGCTTTGATTTGTTATATTGGATGGCCAAGAGATGAAAAAATTTCCGATTGCCCTTGACAGCCTTTATGCGCTTTAGTGTATAGTTCACCTTTGCGCAGATTCTCCGTAACGGAACCCAACTCGGAAACGAAGGCGGAAGATAAACTGCTCTAATGAACAGGAAGGTTAGGGCGCGCGCAAACGAGCTAGTGGTTGTTAAACATAGTGTTCCTCCTTGTTTGTCCGTCCTGTATTTTTTTTTTTTTCACTATGGTCTAATGACTTTTTCTGGCCCGGTCCACCATTGCAGTGAACTGCTCCCGGCTGTTTCGGTGCCGCAACGGAAAGTGCATCGACAGACAGCATCTCTGCGATGTCGCCAACGACTGTGGGGACGGTTCGGACGAGGCCAACTGTCGTAAGCCATACAACAATCTTGAACATTTATTCACCCGAATAACTACGCGAATTCGTTTCCCATCTATTCCGACCGCTGCCAACGCTATGCGATCCGACGGGGGTCAGTCAAGCGGCGCCAAGATTGCATCGTCATGGGGCTGGTCGTCTTTGCGCGTTTATTATCTCCAGCTACAAACCAATCAAGCTCAGTGGCTGCATCATGCCGGAAGCTAATAACGTAATGAGATTTATTTGTCAGAGTCGTACCTCTGATTTGTCTATGCGACTGCTGTACCTAATTTCAGTTTCAACGCCGTCAAAGGCATAGAAAAAAGGTACGAGCACAAACGCAGACTAAAAACGCGAGTTGATGGCTTATATATGCCTTGCCCGTGATTGTTTCGGCCGCTTATAGCACGCGAACTGAAGGACAACACCAAGCGCCTTAACGTCGCGTTTATAGTGCTGCTTGATGGGCGTCATAGGCGTCTAGCGTGCGAGATATGAAAAAAAAAAAAAGAGAAAGCAGGTTTTCTTGATTCTATTTTATTTTTAATCCGCGACTTTATAAATCCAGCTAGGGCGCATAATTTATAAATTGGTCCTTTCTGAGCCAAAGGAAGTCAACGCATGCTGTTTTTGTCTATGCCCAAGTGTGACCTCTCAGCAGGCGTGGTTTCTCAACAATTCCCCAAGGCCACGTGAGCACAAAGACCTGTCTTGCGCGTGTAAGACTCGTTTTGCGAACATCGCGACAGTTTAACTCCCGCGGTATTCTGGCTAGTGGTCAAGATGGACTTCCAAGTGCGCCTGCGTGGAGGAGCGTCCGAGTTGGCGGCAGCCTCCGAAGGCAGGGTGGAAGTTCAAGTGCACGGCCAGTGGGGACTGGTGTGCGACGACCACTGGGACATCGACGCCGCCAACGTCGTCTGCAGGGAGCTGGGCTTCCCGCTGTGAGTAGAGAGACGGTCATACCGGCGACACTATAGGACGGTTTTACGAAATGACGAAAGTAATCCCTGGAGAAGGGGAACAAGAGGGAAATCTCCAAACACAGCTAGGTGACTGGTGAGCGACCGAACAAATCCGCCTGGTCCGGGTTTCGAACCCGGGACCTCTACATTACAAGTGGAGCGCTCTACCAACTGAGCTACCCAGGGGTTAGACGTCAGTAGAGCAAACGGGTTTTATCAGCCGCCACCAGTCGAACACCAACAAGGGTGAAGCTTGCAATTTAAAGTTATAATTATAATGCAATTAAATGCAAAGGTGCAAGCGAGCTGGACAAGAATGACGAAAGTAATCCCTGGAGAAGGGGAACAAGAGGGACAAAGGACAAACATAAATCTCCAAACACAGCTAGGTGACTGGTGAGCGACTGAAAAAATCCGCCTGGTCCGGGTTTCGAACCCGGGACCTCTCCATTACAAGTGGAGCGCTCTACCAACTGAGCTAACCAGGGGTTAGACGTCAGTAGAGCAAACGGGTTTTATCAGCCGCCACCAGTCGAACACCAACAAGGGTGAAGCTTGCAATTTAAAGTTATAATTATAATGCAATTAAATGCAAAGGTGCAAGCGAGCTGGAGAAGGGGAACAAGAGGGACAAAGGACAAACATAGCTGTGTTTGGAGATTTATGTTTTTCCTTTGTCCCTCTTGTTCCCCTTCTCCAGGGATTACTTTCGTCATTCTTGTCCAGCTCGCTTGCACCTTTGCATTTAATTGCATTATAATTTACGAAATGCTTTTTTCACCTCCGGTAAGCCGGCTTCCGCCATGTTAGTGATAGGGAACAACCTCTGTGATTCTCCCCGTTACTTTGCATGCAAACCTTTATTTATTGGCGTCGATTTTTTTTTTTTTTTTTGAAACGCATAAGATTGATGTTAGAATCTGTCGACAACGGGGATAGCAACGTATTTGGACCGCAGAAACTCTTTTCTTACTATGCGTTTTTCATTTCTGAGTCTTCCCGGCTTCCTGGTGGTATCCATAGCGGTTTCATTTTAGCCTTCGACGGGCCGACTTGTCGAGCGCCAGGTCATCTACACTCCGAATAAAGACTGGCACGTACAAAATTCGACTACCAGACGACCCTCCTTTGGATCGCCGACTACTCCGGCAGACGCAGTCGATCGCGACGCCAAAGTACTTGAGCGAGCTGCAAAAAACACTGCTTCCACGCATATCAAAAGACGTAGGGCGAAAGTTAATCAACATGGCGTTCGGCGAAATTTAAAGCCGGAAGTACGCTACGTGAAATCGCCCCATAGACATAAGCCGGACCTTGTACAAATATGTGCGACTAAAGTATAGCCAAGGATTAAGCACTCTCCGTGCATGTGCCCGAACAAAAATGTCGAAGCCGTCTCATAAGCCTCCCCATTATTTACCCTTTGCCATTTAAAAATGTGTTCAACTATCTTAACATGGATGAATACGGTATGCCCACACCTCTCCCAGTCATCCCCCTTTTCTCGGGACAACACAAACAAACAAACAAACAACAAAACTCATCCATTTTTTTTACTTGAGGTTTATATGATTTGCTTTGTCCAATGAAGTAACCTGCATGAAGTTCCCGAGAAAAGAGAACCGTATTTTTCGGCCCTGGCAAATAAACTATGCATCGCAGAAAGCTCAAACTTCGTGAGAATGTAACTCTAGCGGTTGGGATAGAATTCGAAAGTTCGAAATTTCGGCGTCACCTGGATCAAAAGATAATTAAAAAAAAAAAAAGAATTTTCTCTAGGAGCCGACGTCCACCTAAGCTTAGTATCGTCAAAACATGAAATGACATTGTGGCCACTTGTGACATGTATTTCAATGAAAATAACTTGTCAATAAGGAAGGTAAAAAAAAACTCTTTGTTGCAGTTAATTTTTTTTCACTGAAATATATGCTGCATGCGCCCACAGTGTAATTTCTTGTTTTGCGATATTAGGCTTAGGTGAACGTCGGCTCATAAAAAAATTCCGTTTTTCTCAATTATCGTTTTATCCCAACCGCTATCGTCACATTCTCACGAAGTTTGACTTTCTGCAGTGCATAGTTTATTTACCCGACTCGAAAAACACGGTTCTCTTTTCTCGGGAACTCTCTGTATAAAAATAGTTTTCCCGACATGCGTTTTAATCATGTCTCCAATGGCTATATAAAGAAAAAGAAGACACACGATATTAACGTTTTTTTACTCGACTTCAACGAGGCAACAAGAGTCGCTCTCCTTCTCATTTCACCAATTATTCAATAATAAAAGTCAACAATCGAGGTATAGCGCCTATGAAATTGTAGAGTATCCTAAGCAGCAATGGTCAGTGTACAGCTGTACCCTTGAAAGTGGGGTTCTGTACAAGTTCATAAACATTTAATATTCGGTTGGTGAACGCGCTCAGTGAATGGCCGGTACCCTGATATACGCCTAGTACACCTTGAAAGTACAGGGTGTTCCAAAAACAATTTACGGGCTTTTTTTCGCCGCAAAAATAAACTATGCATGGCCGAACGCTCATTCTCCGCCGAAAGGTAGCGCTAGAGGTCCAAACCAGACGCCGAAGTTTCAGCACGAACCGATATTTTATTCAAAAGTTATAAGTGATTTCCTGAAAATTTCATTAGGAAAATGGGCACGTTTTTGCCCGTTTTCGGTTTCTGGTGCCATAGAGCTCCATGTATTCGAGAGCTCCGTCGGCCGCCATTTTTCCATTGCCATTTTCAGAAAATCACTTATTACTCTTGAATAAAATATCGGTTCGCGCTGAAACTTTGGCGTCTGGTTCGGACCTCTAGCGCTACTTTCGGGCGGAGAATGAGAGCTCAGGAGTGCGTAGTTTAATTATGCGGTGAACAAAACAAGAAGAAAACAAAAAAAAACTGTAAATTATTTTTGCTTTTCGGGGAGACCCTGTACTTTAAACATCGCAGTTTTTTTCAATTAATTAGGGTTGCGAGTTTAGCGCTTATTTCTCCAAAATGTTCCCTATTCCTTGTCCCCGTACCTATGTGGGTTTTCTGGTCACGTTTTGAACACGAGTTTTAGGAACCATAGCCTAAATTGAGAAAGTGCTGTTACAGTCACTGACAAGATAAGAACGGCAGAACGTGTCATTCGACCGCCCAACCTCCATCACGCGTGCCATAGCCCATGCGCCAATAAACGGTAAATCAATCAATCAATCAATCAATCAATGCCTTCCGCCGTGCTTGGGCAGCACCCGAGACAACGAAACGTTGTGAAAAAAGGAAGCTCGCGCTGGAGGTGGAACATCTGAAGCTCCTCCCCGCCGTTCTAGCCCTGTCAGCGACTATAGTTACTTTTTGTCCGACGTACTTATATCGATTAACAATTTCGACCGTTTTGTCGCCAGGCGATTTTTTGCATGATTGGCGCTCTTGGTTATTAACCTATTATAGGTGTGTGCCGTCACAAGTGCGGGAAAGCTTTAACATTGTCCGACGTTTTCTTTTTTTACGACTTCATTAAAAATTATGCATCTAAGTATAATTACAAAACGTGTTCTTAACGTATAATAAGTTGACGCCCAAAATGTGCGTCCGTCTCCAACAGAGGAGCCTTCGAGGCCACCCTGCGCTCTCAGCACGGGGCCGGAGCGGACGGGGAGTCCCTGCCCATCTTCATGGACGACGTCCAGTGCGTGGGCAACGAGACCTCGCTTTCCCAGTGCGGCTTTCCGGGCTGGAAGAAGCACAACTGCTTCAGCAACCAGACCGCCGGAGTTCGCTGCAGGACCAAAGGTGCCTTACGTCGATTCATCTTTTCGCTCATCTCAATATGCTTACTCATAAAGTCGATAAAATTTATAGTGAGCGTGTGAGACCAAGTAGAATAACTTTTATGTTGGTGACTCCAAAACTCTACCTTTAGTGAAGATATTGTCAGCATCGAAATTCTTAAACCTGGGCGGCGTCCGGAAATGCCTAGACGCTTATAGTGTATTCACACTAGCGTCCGAATCGCAACCGCGAAGCGTATCCGCTCGTTTCCATCATCAAATGCGCTTGATTTTGAACCGCTTCTTTAAGCAACCGCGTTCGCAACCGCTTTGCGAATGCGATTCAGCCGCCAGTGTGAATGTGGCGTTACTCTCGTGATCCAGGCGCCCCTTCATCGTTAACTGGCTTTTGACAATCAAGTAAGGTAATATGGCAATTATGATAGATATTCACTGATCTGATTGGAAGCATCCTAATTACATGTCCCGTGCTCGACATGGATTCTTTTGAAATCTTCAGTCTTCTTTTCAGAACTACTAGCCCAGAGGTGGCCAAGCTGCGGCTCGCGAGCCGCATGCGTCTCTTCGCCTGTTGAAGTGCGGCTCGCGGTTCCCCGCCCCCCCCCCCCCCCCCCCGCACACACACACAGACACATACACACGCTCCCCGCCTCCCTCCCAGTCACAGGAGCACTTCCCAATAAACACAAATGGAAGGCGTTTTAAATCGAAAGACAGGTTACGGTTTGGCAGTCTTGACACTTGTGCTATAGCAATGTTTGGAGGTGGGCTAGTCGGTGATGCATTGTAAACATAGAAATAAAACAGCGCGAACGAACACAAGGACAGGTAGAAGAAGGGACACGGACACAGCGCTGTGTCTGTGTCCCTTCTTCTACTTGTCCTTGTGTTCGTTTGCGCTGTTTTATTTCTATGTTTACAACACTTGTGCTACTCTACCTTGAGTACATATGGGCTGCTTTTGACTAGGATAGATCGAAAGTAGTTCGAGTTTCGTTTACTGTTCTAAACTAAATGTGCCCCCCTCCCCCCGGGACTCTTGGAAGTTTCGTGGTTTTGTTTGCGGCTCTTAGGCCGGACCAGCCTGGCCACCCCTGTACTAGCCTATCGTCATTGTAGGGAACCGGACGCTAACATTCGTCAATCCGTTCAGCTTCAGACATGTTGACAACGGAAACACGTGTTGACATATTGCTGCTGATGCGTGGCCGAGTGGAAACGCACCCGACTCGCACGTGGGCTGCGCAATTCTCAATATTGTGTTGTAATAATATTTTCTACAACGGTCCGAGAAGCTTCTCGTATAGAATGCTCGTGCATTCTATACGATAAGCTTCTCGGACGTTGTAGAAAATAATATTATCGAAGACCGAACATTCTAGTTCGAATGTTCGCGAAACCCGTGCGTCAACAAAAGGCGCTTCGCGTGGCTCTACGAGGTTGGTTCTTCGCCGCAGGGCTCGATCCTGGCGAAGGCCCGATATCGACGCTGGGCTACGACGCCCGTTCTTACAGTATTCTTATTTTTGTTTTGGGCACATGTTCATCTCATTAAACATTTAGTTTTCCCAGGTGTTCGCCGCTTCGTCATTTGTCATTCGTTACAATATGACGTCGCTACCCGCACAACGTTGTTCTAAACCTATACCCAACATCTCCCTTTGACACAGACTGCGAAGCCCAAGGGTTCGAGTGTTTGGGGACGTGCATCCCCTTCTACCTGCTGTGCAACGACCAGCCAGACTGCGCAGACGGGTCGGACGAGCGACTCGACTGCAATGGTGCGTGTCAGTGCCAACTCGCCAACCGCGCGATAGTTCAGAAAAGTTAATAAACCTTTTTCAATAATGTGCGCCATCCATAGTAGCTGCTCCGTCAATTAGCAATGTATTCCTTTGTTTGGGCACGCGCTCTGAGCATGCATCGGACACGATACATGCTCAGAGCATGTATCGTGTCATTCGTATACATTGATGTCGGTGGCCCGACTTTCCGCGAATGTCGGACGTAAACGACGGTCACCGGACAGGTCTGACAGTGTCCGATGGTGACCGAAGCTACGCGCCGAGAGATTGAGGGAAAAATGAAGACGAGAGCGTACGGGGACGTTAGAACGCCGAGCTCCGATTCGAAGGATTAGTGGGTAGACGTAAAGCTAGCTGCCTTTGTCACCACCGCACCTGCCGAACGCGTTATGCCTGATTCACATGGTGCGAATTTGCCTGCGATTTCGCAATTGCGACGCCGTTCTTGCGGCACAACGCAGTTGCGGTGCGAATTCGACTAATTCGCAACTTCGTATTTTGCCAAACTTTCCTTGCGAACGGCCGCTCTTGCGAAGGGGACGGACAGCCAGTCAAACGCGGCTCGTGAAAGACGTCACGGTGGTCATAGCAACGTGGGAATCAAAAATACGAAAAATGCGTCTCCTACGTCGTCGTCTTCAAAATTCGCTGCGGGGGTGGGGCGGCGGATGTGCTTCTTCCATGTGAATATTTTTCGCCGGGGGATGTAAGCTTCAGCTCGGCATTAAAACCAACTGGCGTTTGCGTACCACGCGAGGGTTGTGGTTGCTTCCTTTGTAAAATTGCAGGCGATAACAATTGACTCTTCTGTTCGATCACTTTGCGTAAGGGACTCGTGGCATAGTTGAAAGATCCTTTCTTCAAATCTGTTTGCAGATGACGCGAAGGTCTGTCTAGAAACCGAGAAACACTGAACAGTACCTTGTTATTAAAGCCATTTGAGAAAAATCGAGCTTCACATTTTTACGTATAGTGACAACAGCTATTGATATGTAAACGCGCTGGACGCGTGCTACGCGAGCGACACGCGTGTAAAATGGCTTTTATTACAAGGTTCCGATCAGCGATTCTCGGTTTCTGGACAGACCTTCGTGTCAGATCCCCAAACAGATTTCAAGAAGGGTCTTTCTACTATTCAATGAGTCCCCTACGCAAATGTCACACGTGCCACGGATGACATTTGTCATAGAAATCCTGCGACAATTTGGTTTCGTGCATAGTTTGCGATTATTTCACCAACATGATTGTTTTGGCTTTTTTTGCATCTGAAAACCTGATTTTTTATTTATTTATGCCGTTTCCTTTATATTCAGTGTTTTTGTCATGTTCGTAATCGCTAATATTGTTTTGAATTAAAAAAAAAGCTTAATATTTACGTTAGCTTGTTCATGCTGACCTACACTGAGGAAGTACAGAATGTGTTTTGCACGTCCAGCGTGTCGTTCATTTCATGAAAGTCGGCCGATAAAACGCATTCTGTGTTAAGTAAAGACCCGATTGGGCAGCGTAGGTCCAACGAAAACAGTAAAATAGCACCTCACCCTGTGGGGAATCAGCCAGTACTCTGTCGATCTACTTTGGGCTATATCTGCCTCAAAAAGTTTCAGCCAGTTTGTCCGTAAAAGAGGCAAAGACCACAACCCATTTTCTACAAAAAAATTGACTGATTTGCAGGCAACAGGTCCGGGGTGGAAATGAACTAGAGAGATGACATGAGGCAGGGGTGAACCAGGAATAAATTTTTTATTGCTGGCTTTAAATGTTGAAAGATAACAACTAACAAAAGACAAAAAAAGATGCAATTACAAAAGAAAAAAAAAATCAAGTACAGGCTCACCTTTTTGGCAGACATCAAATATGAATAAAGAGGAACATAACACGTTGCTGGAGTCATGGGGTGCACCGGCGCCAAAAGGCAAATATTTGAATTGTGCGCCGGTGTTGCAAGGCCGCCCGCTCATCTACGCACACCGCCGACGATCCGAGTACCCCTTGTCATTGGCCAGACGAAATTGACCCCTACGTGACCCGGAAGCTACAACGCAAGGCACGACGAGAAGGAAACTCGCCGTGCCTTCTGTTATAGTTTCGTCGTAATCAACATAACCCCCTACAGCCCACCCCACACTGCAGAGAGGGCAGATGCTACGCTTCTTTGGCGTGTACAAACACACTCCCTCTCAACACTACACTAGCTCCAGCACGTTGCAGATTTACCTGAACCACCTAAATGCACATACTTCGGGAGACTACTCAAATAACTCTCACACACCAAGATAAAAGGAAGCTGAAGCGGTTTTGTATTTGAGGAAACACACTTAAGTCGTCTTCATTTCACCTCCAGGATCTCGAATATCGAAATTATTTCTTTTATATTTTGGGGCATGGAGGTTGCAGAAAATCATTTTCAGAGTACCACCGAAGGCCCTCCTTCCAGGAGCGTGTCGCCATAAAAGGAGTTCTCGGAATCTTCCTTCCAGCAGCGTCCACCACAGCTATGCACGCGTACTCTTGCTATTTTTTTTTTAAGAAGGGAAGAAAAAGATGTTAACACTTGTGCCAGTACGGGGGAATACACCTGGCAAGCTACGGATTGCATGCGCGGCCCTCGAGTGACACGAGCTTTGCGACCGAAAGGCCCTCTTATGACACCACGACGAGTCGGGTGTTTTTCGTGTTTTCTCGCGCTAAGTTACATCTTCGGGGAAAACGAACGCGATATTCATATCCACGGGATAAAACTACGCTAGAATCAAGCTCTATCTCATTTTTTTTTTTTAAGAAGTGTTCCGGCTTCCTTTTAAGGACTGCGCCTCAGCTCAGGATCTTGCAGAACGTGCACTGAAAACACTCGTCCCACTTATCCAACCAAGGTCGATTGGCCTGTGGAAGATGCAAAATCTAGCAGCCAAAATTTCGAATGCGTTCTGGACGCACCTTCTGGAAATGGGACAAAAACAACACTGTGATTTTTGTTATTATAATGCAAGTGCAACAATTCTAAAGGTTACCTCGCTCTACACAGTCGATAGTTGAATATTTTTACATAATCGCTGAGGTATCAACCAGGACAGGGCCTCAGAAAGTCCGACCTCAGTTGAAATGCCTCGTCTCCAACGAAGACGGACGCGGCGATAATATGGGAAGATGGCAGCAGATTTGGTGGTGGACAATTCAAGGCAGCTTGAGTGAGGCACTGTCCTATCCTTGATGTCTTGAAGACGCCACCATTACTTTGGTGGCCATACGCTCCAGCGTCTGTGGCCATAAACCTCGACTTGCTGTCCACGACGGCCATCAGCACTACAGAGTAGGTTACCCTGAAAAGCCGAATGTTACGTCACTTCATGCACTCTTCCAAAACATGATATGCGTTAAAGTAAATTTGTAGACTCATAAACAACACCTTGTAGTTATAGTACAGGCTTCAAGAATCGGCAAGGGCTTCGATATGTCCTTGTTTTCCGTCAACGTTCCCCACACAATGAGGAAAATTCCGCCCTGTCTCAAAGCCCTTGGCAATTTCCCTTGGTCTGAGATTCTTGATGGGAGCTAGAAGTACAGCACAAAGTTCACACATGGTTTTACGTTGTTATTTAAAAGCCGTTCATGTAATCTTTACCTATAGTAATACTGGTAATAAATGCATCCTCAAATATGAGAAATACTTGTTGACGCTTAACAATTGCGAATACTTTTGTAACTAACAGGATCTGAAAAGCTGTGTGTCTGTTTTTTTTTTCTCCCTCGCTCCTTTTTTTCTACGTTCAGCTGGAAACTTTCAGAAGCATGTTTAGCCAACTAGCCCAGCTCCAGGCACACACCACTTACTTTTGTAAGCTATCATATTATGCCCAAGTCAGGCCGGTGTCAGACTGCTTTTACAAAAGACAAAAACAGTCTGCAGACATCGATCGAACGCGACTCACTGACGCATCTGTGTTTCATAAGCCGCGTGCCAGGCTGCTCCTTTCATTGGTTGCCGTGCGACATAAAAAGCAGGGATGCTGCGGTGCCTCAAATTACTATTTGTCTTCAAACTGTATTCGTAGGATGCGTAATGTGTGACCCCATCCTTCGAAGGTGGCGCAGTAATAGCATTGGGGCCCTCAACATCCTCAGGTCTGCAGCCCTCTCTTCCCAAGTTCGTCCCTAGAATCATAAATCAATGGCTCTCTGTTGTGTAAACTTTTTGAGAAACCATTTTTGACAGTACAGCTTTCAACATGATTCATTTAGATATTTCGGCTGCGAATAGTTAGGAGCAGCTGCAAAGGACGAGTTAGCTGCAGTGATTTGTACACCCGACTCCCATAGTTATCTCCAGGTGGGGTGTGACACCCCCCCCCCCCCCCCCCCCAGGATGTCTTAAGCAATGTATATAAACCTAAAGCCAGCCCCTTCTAACACCCCCTTATTTATCTCCAGGTTGGGGGCGACACCCCTTAGAATTTCTTGACCAATGCATCTAGACCTAAGGCCACCCCCTCCCAACAGCCCCCCCCCCCCCCCCCCCCCGAAAAATTGCAACACCCCCTGATTTAGAATTCTGGATGATTCCGTGGTTTGGTAGTGTGTAGAAAGAGTACACCGGGGCAGGGGGGGGGGGGGGGGGAACTTGAATTCATCAATTTCCCAAGACCACCACTGTGAGTCTTGTTGTTCGTCATGATCTACATCTTTAAAGGCGGTATTTAGTGGACGCCGTATTGGCGCGCATTGTTCGCAGCTAGGGCTCAAAAAGAATTGCTACGTATTGCTGGCAAAGATAAACAATCTTGACGGTGTGAAATATACGTTGCAGAAGCGTTGTGCAAATTTACTAACAGCACGTGCTCTCAACAGAAACCGGCGCAAGCTATGGCCCCCAGTGAATACCACACGACCGGAATACCACCTCCATTTTCAAGTGTTTTTTTATTACGAGACGCCAGCGACTCTTTCACAGCATGCATGCGACACTAAGGATACGGTTGGTTTTGGATGAGGCGCGTTTTTATTGGCTGTCTTTTCGTACCGTCGCAGCGGCGCTGGTGACGTCTCGAAGGATGTTTGACAATTGACGCAGCTCCGATTATTTCATAATCGCATTGAACCTGCCTGTTTGCCGCAACAGCGCCGTCGCAACTGCGAAATCGCAACTAAAATCGCTCCATGTGAAACCGTCCTCTTGTCCACAAGTTACCAAAAACGAAATCAGATTTCTTTGCTTACCTTCATGTGTTTTGGGCGAAGCACCTTTCATATATGCTGACATCTCTCATGCACGATGGATGCCCCTGTTGACACTCCAACCTTGAATTGCAGTGCAAGATCCTGCATTGACGTTGCCGATGGCAGGTACCTGAATAAAAACAAAACATTACTGTGTACATCAATGTCTGGAAGCCGAGAAACTAGTAATGAGTTCGCCACATAAACCAGTTTAATTGCACCTCGTATTCACTCCAAACAGTGAAGTTTAAAGAGAATACCATTTTACCTCAAAGTGATAGCAAGCCGCACCCGCGACGAAATGGGCTCTCTGACGACATATTGCTTCGTAAGCTTTGCTCCAGGCGAGTGTGGAGTCTTTCAAAGGCGTTCCGCATTATCCGGTAATATCTTCTAAACTGCTCCAGGTCGCTGTGCAGCATAAAAAGGGTCTGCAGAGTCGACAAGTCGACTTACCAATGAGTAAAACTCCGATTCTTTGGCTCTGTTTTGCTAGCACGGCCTGACCCGCCATCACCGCGGGCTGCCGTCTAGGAGCAGGAGTTTTTTTCCCGCAGAAGTAGGTATTCCTTTTTACAGAGCAGTCTGAACTCGTCGTCATCAGCGGCCATCATGCTCTATGAAAGTCAAGACGCGCTGCTACTTGCCATCTTTCAATATGGAACATCGTCCACGTGACGAAGCCACCGGGACAACTGTTCGCCTTGCGCGACATGCCAAGCAACGCAACAACTAGCTTGCTCAAGCAGTTATGAGCTGTGACTCTCCCGGTGTCCTTGTCGCGTTCATCGTACTCGTTGTTTTCGTCGTTTTCGTTGATGCGAATGCAGTCGATGCAAACGTCTGAATCGGCCCTAAATATAAGTATACGGCGTACTTTTTACCAGAAGCTAATAAATAAATCTGAAAATTTTATAATTTTGTTAAATATCGAAATTAGTATCGTCAAACGAATTCAAGGGTTCCAACCATGTGCTTCGCAAGTGCGAAAAATCGCATATGTTCTCAATCAATGTGAAAGGAAACGCGAAATTTCGCATGTGCGGTTCATCGCTTCACCGATTTCGCAGGAGAAAATCGCACCGTGTGTATCAGGCTTTAGAACGCTGAACGCCGGCGTCCGACGTTTGGCTTTGGAATTCCAACGGGTTCGACCAGTGCAGAGGAGACAAAGACAGCTAGCTTTACGTCTACCCACTAATCCTTCGAATCAGAGCTCGGCGTTCTGACATCCCCTCTAGTCTCCTCCTCTCCCTCAGTTTCTCGGCGACGCATAACTTAAAGACAACGCCGCTGCAGCGCGGCTGGACGTCCGCCTGGTCGGGGGACCCCACCCGCTTTCCGGAAGGCTGGAGATAAGAAGACACGGACTCTGGGGAACTGTCTGCGACGACGACTTCGGACATGCGGAAGCCATGGTGGCCTGCGCCATGATGGGCTTCGAAGGGTAAGCAATATGTGTGACAGTCCTGTCACTGCTCTCACTCGCTATCTTCGCTGCATGCACAAACACGGACTTAACGGCACATGACTCCCCTGTTGACAATTCACTATACAAAGTATGTGACTTTGGCCACTAACTTTCGTTCTAGTGAAATCCCTAGTTCCAGGAGGAACTTAAAAGCAAGGACGGTGTAGCCTTTCAACGAGCATATATTCCTATGCAATGCTGAATATTTTCTGGAAAAAAGCGCTTTGAAAGAGCCGTTCAATATACAATGAACGGGACTCGTTGTCCCAGGGTGCCTTAAGGCGTAAACTAATGGGCCGATGTCACAGCCAGTTTCATTACGTCACCGCTGCCATCATGCAATGAGGGAATTACCGTCTTTCTGCTCGTGTGCAGAGCCCGAGGCGGCAGGAGCTGTCTCGTGAACTGGCGCTTATTGCTCCCTATAAAATACAGTTACGGTGGCGTCACGCATGCGTGGAACGCTTAGTGAGATCGGTCTATTGCACCGCCCTTCTGCTCTGTACACGCATGATTGTCGTATCCTGCGGTCTACGGTGGCGCGAGCTGCACGAGGCGTTTCCATATTTTTTTCCATGAAAGTGATTTTTAAGAACATCGAACTATAAAGGCTGGTTCACACAGCCCCGATTCCTTGCGTTACGTTACGTAAGCTTACGTACAAGCCACCGGGATATATGTGCTTCATATCAAGCGTGGCTACCAATTCGAGGAGGTATACCTGGCACGCGACATTCGAGACACGAATGTTTCGGTGACTTAAAACACATGTACGACGAAACCCTTCGATCCGACGTCCGACCACGCAAGACGACGGTCGGAGGCGAGGGTTTTCAACGCTCTCCGATGCTACGAAAACCCTCGCCCCCCAGTCCGCACGTCGGATCGGAAGGTTTCGTCGTACTTCTGTTTCGCGTTAGCGCGAAACACAAGTACAACGTAACGTAAGAAAACGGTGCTGTGTGAAAAGTTGAAGCGAGCTCAACTCCTTACGTTATGTAACGACGAGCCGTGTGTCCTTGGTTGCCCCGGTATCTCACCGTCCTAGCTTGTCGTCACCGAAACATTCGTGTTTAAAATGACGCGTGCCAGGCTATTTCCTTGAATTGGTAGCCATGCATAACACGAACCAAAGATTTCAGGGTAACTTGGATATAAGCTTTCGTAAGGTAACGTAACGTAACGTAAGAAAACGGGCCTGTGTGAACCAGCCTTAAAACCTAATATTAAAAAATAGCTCTTAGAAAATATTTAATCTTATTCTGGTTATTAAAAAATATTTGGAACATAAAAAAGTTTATTGTAAATACCTAGAAACGCCTTAAAGTGACGGTGCAACGATATTCAGTTAAGATGTGTTTTTCTTTTTTTTTTTTTTAATTTGCACGAGCTTACTCGCACGCAGTGCCGTTTACCAATAAAGCTTTTTGTCGGTGTTTGTATGGTGCTTGTCCGTGAGGATTCGGGCAATTCGAAATCCTGCCTCTTCAATCGCGTTGATGACACTGAAAGTCATGTTTAGGAGTTAATAGTGTTTTAAATTTTTTTCTAAAAAAAAAAGATAGCCCAATGGAATAACGTAAGCTGTGGAAAAGCCACGCAGAACAAAGCAAAGGAGCCTGTTGGTCACTCCAATAACTATTGTCCAAGCTTCACATCTCATGCCAATCAGTCCAAAAATTCTATCGACCTGTCGATCACAAATTACTTTATGCTCAATGGACATTTCATCGATGATGAGGCTACAGTATGGCTTTTTCTTCGAAGTCAGACCTCTCCACTCTACCTGAAGCCGTTCTCTGATAAGGCTTGTGACCCCGGTTTCGCCCGTTGTACATCCAACAAACTTCTGCAGCGTACTTATAAGCAGGGTAGTTTGAGCAGTTTTTGTGCACGACCGTGGTCATAACCCTTACTGGAAGTCGCATTCCACAGCACGCATTCCCTGAGCTTTAGTTCATGCCATGTCAATCATGCCTTATCAAAGTGCATAATTTTCTCCATGACATGTTTTGCGGTCTTGTCACTATTCGATGCAGCTTCGGAAATGTTCATCATGGTTGGCACGGCTTTTCCTCCACATATTGTTTTAACTGCTTTCAAGATTCGTCGCAAGTCTGTTTCGATTTTTGCAATATCTCGTTCAGACGTTTCGCTTGCATTTAAAGGCGGGTGCGTCTTTTTCTTTTTTTTTGAATTTTTTCGGAAAACGTTTTTGATCGAATGGCGTCTGGCACTCTTCCTTCTCAAACTCTTTTTGCCGGAATTCTTGAATACCTGAGCTCTTTTCCACACTCGTGCTTCCATACATCCGCGACCACATGTCGCACGGTCGAATGTCGCCTAGTCCCTCACCTAGCTACAAATGTGGACTTGTTTTTCCGTTCCCAATGGTTTTGAAGCTTGCGCGCGATGCGCCACTGAGTTGCGCTGTGGGCACATTAATAAATGTACGAACTAGTGTTTTGCGCTTTTTCGAGCACTTCGTTTGCATGTACGACGAATACGAGGGAAAGTTTGTCGGCATCGCTGTCGGCCGCAGTAACTTGCGCTTTATCCCTACCTTGTAGTCGTCTTTGTGGAAATGAAACGAGCACACAACTGCCCTGGAGCTCGGCTGCCACTGGCTTCCTTTGTCGCTTAATCGTCGTGAAATGTTCCGCAGCCATGCATCCCGAAGGTTTTTCTTGGATGTCAGCTCATGATATTGCCGCGCGCAAGGCTGAGAAAGCAACGCTCGGTCACGGTCCTCCAGAAAGTTCCCGTTTATTCATGTACCGCACGTAACTTCTATCATTTATCCCTGCTTTTGTTTTCTAGAAAGTGCGTGTTCATTCTCGCCCCGATCACGCGACGCTCGAACCGCTTTCGCCGAATCTTCGAGATAGCGGCGCACTCTAGATAAGAGGCCGCCCGCGACCTTGTCGAGTCAGTCTCGCCCTAGCGCTCGATTCTGCTGACACGCCGACTTCGACGCCCGCGACGCTCTGCTTTCTTCTGTTTCCTTCTTTATTTTTGGCACAAGTTCGCCACATTAAACGTTTATTTATTTCTGTTTATTTCTTGTTTATTGGTCACGACTCACCACCCGTGACAATATTGTAGATCTGGATTTCTCACAGCATTTGACTGGCAACAAGGCACGCAACAGCTTTTAAGAATTGCGGGCCTCACGCCTTACAACTGTCTAAATGGAACCCAAAAACCGCATCAGGAATGAAGCAGTTCTTTGCGTCTAATGTTGTGTCAAATGGAATAACTTCATCGACTTCTATACATACTCAGTCCGGTAGTGGCACGCGGTTAGGTCTTATGAAAGCGGCACAACGCGACGACACGCTTTCACTTACAAGAGTGCCTCATCACTCACCGATATGCAGCGCCCCCACGGCAAATGGGAATAGTTTTCCTGTCACACGCCATCTTTTGTTGTCGCGAAAAACGGCAGGCCGCACCGACAGGGGGGATCGAGCGGCCGTGGGACGACCGACAATCGATGCTAAAGTACCCGACGTCAACATGACCACGACTCAGGTTTGCAGTACACAGGGTACGTGCTAAGCTCTGGGTTTATCATTTCAAGGTCAATGAAGGGGTCCCGGCAAGCCATTAAACATTTTTGTATTTAAGTCTTCGGTGACTTGTTTTTGTTTTCAGGGGAAACGCCACCCTGCACACTAGCCCGCACAAAGCTGGCAAGGGTCCCATCTGGCTGGACAACCTTCGGTGCAGCGGCACGGAACGCTCCTTGGACGACTGTCGCACCCAGCCATGGGGACAGTCAGACTGTGATCACAGCGAGGACGTGGCCATGACGTGCATCCCGGGACAGAGTGCAACACTACCCGCCACCATCGCGGCCTGTAAGGTTCCGCCGTCCAGTCCTCTTCCCTATTTTGTGTTAATTAGGCTTTCTCTGTCTGCGGCTGTAGTGTAGCCTCGATCTTGATGTCACGCTGATCACGTTACGGTGCTCACAACAGCGTGTGTCTGACTGTGGCGCTGGACACGGTGACGATTCTCCTAAAAGAAGAAACTCTAGGTTCATCTTTTTAAGTGAAATTGCGATGTCATGTGACATCATGACGGTCACATGACACTGTAACGTCCGGTGACACCATGACTGGGCATCAGGTCATCTAGTCCCATCACATCAGGTTACGTCATGACTTGCCACCGTGACGTCACACCTCGAGTTCGCGTGAAGTATTGTCACGTGACCACGTGCTTTCCTGGTGGTCACGTGACGCACGTGACACCAGGGTATTGCGTGATGTGACCTGATGTCTCGTTTTCTGGTCACGTGACGTCAAGTTATATCGTTACGTGACATCACGTCACGTGGTGCAGTGATTTTACGAAGTGCTGTGACGCCACGTGACTTGTCCTTACATCACGTAGTCCCGTAACGTAAAATCACGTTACTACACGCTTTTCTGATGTCCACGTGACATGTGTCGAATTGCTGAATTTCGTACAGATGTAGAAGAATACCCCGAGAGGAAAATAATACTGAAGCCGCATGTCTGCAAGCTGAGGGTAATACAAAGTAGGAGAGGGTGAGTGTTCAAATACGGGAAAAAAGGAAAAATTCCTGTGCGTATTGTTAACCACCCTTATAGATTCGCACAAGCAAGTAGAACAGGGATTAAAAGGTGGAAAAGAACGTTGGGGTATTAATAAAAATTAAAGTTCAACCTGGACTCGCCACAATTAACCAAATGCGGTACTTCTCGAAACTGTTATTTGCGAACAGTTTGCTGTTGACAAAGGTCGGCATTTCAGGTCGCCCTCACTCACTTTCACCCTCACAGCCACACTATAACCTAAGGCCCTCACTCACTCTCACAGCTACACTCACCCTCAGCCCCTCCCTCACCCTCATCCTCGCAGTCACACTCATCTTCAGCCCTTCACTCACACTCAGTGAACCTCATGGCCTTCACGCCCCTCACGCAGTTATGGCCCTCCCGCCCCTCACGCACTCATGGCCCTCACGCTCCTCACGCACTCACCGCCCTCACGCCCGCACGGCCCTCATGCACTCACCGCCCCTCACGCACTCATGGACCTCCGCCCCTCAGGCACTCACCGCCTTCACATACTCATGGCCCGGCCGTGCCCCACGCTCCTTACGCCCCTCGCGCACTCATGGCCCTCACGCCCCTCACGCACTCACCACCCTCACGGCCCTCACGGCCCTCACGCACTCATGGCCCTCACTCCACTCACGCACTCACCGACCCTCACGCACTCATGACCTCCGCCCCTCAGGCACTCACCGCCCTCACATACTCATGGCCCTCACGCCCCTTACGCACTCATGGCCCCTCATGCACTCATGGCCCTCACGCACTCATACCCCTCAAGCACTCACGATACTCACAGCCCTCACGGCCCTCACAGCCCCGACGGCCCTCACACCCCTCACGACTTCACGGTCCTCACTCGCCCTCACGCTCATGAATTTTCCCGGTTCAGAAACTCACTCACCCTCACCTGTGAAGATAAGGGTGAGTGAGGCCCCTCATGAGTGAGATTTGCCGAGGTGTGGCTGCTGGTCGTTCTGGGTTGCTACCATGTTTCGTACATTGGCGCTAGCATTGTGGAGTTGATCAATCACGTGTGCTTCAGTGCCCCCATATTTTAATACGAAAGCATTAACTATCCCATGGAGCGGAGCCGGCGGCGTCTGTAACCGCGAAAGAACGCGAAGGAAATGCCCATTCTTCCATTGACTGAGCGAACGGCTCCTAGATAGCCATTGGCAGCCGCTGCTTTCGTGTCAGGCGTTGCCAGAGGGGGGCGAGGGGGGGGGGGGGAGGCTGCGGGCCGCTTCACGTGAGCGCGAGATCGGCCGCAGCTCTCGTGTCAGGCTTCGCCGGATAAGGGGGGGGGGGGGGGGGGGCGCTTTTGCTCCTCTCGGCGCAGAGGAGTCGGCGGCCGCAGCCTCGCCAGCAGAGCGAAACGTAGCCGTCCGCGCCAGTACACCGCCGACGAACTAAGCGAGCGGAAGACCGACATTCATTCTTTCGCATTCACAACTCATAACAAGTGCTTAGGTGTCCTAGAAATTTGATTAACAATCCTGCATATTGTAGTGGCTGTTCATATTGTTTGCAGGTTGTTTATGTCCGTAATAATATTCTCTTAGGGAAGCAATCAGCTTTTTTTACAGATTAAGTTGTTCTGAATGTTCAGGCCTCAAAAGATTCTTCGTTGTGATTTATGTGTGTAGATTGTTCATTTGTTACTGTGAATTGATGTTGTTCCCCGAAAGTGACAACGACATGCGGAAGCCCGAAGTACCAGCCACAGATGGATCAAGGGTCTCTAAACTACCATCATCGCTTCACCAGACACATGTGGCAACAACCAACTTACGGTAAAGAACGAAATTTCAGTTTACTTCAGATCATTTGCTGAGTGCGTATTTTTTATCGCGACTATCCTGGTCATATCATTCTAATATCTCTAGACGCTAGCTAGATTGCTCCATTTCACGGGGGACTTCTTTTGATTAAGGTCAAAATAATTGAAAATGCTTTTAGGAAAATATAAAAGGAAAAAAAAACATTCCTGCGAGAGATTTTGTCAAGAACATTCTGTAGAAATGATATCCAATGACACGTAATGTCTAATTTTCTTCAAGATTTAATCCCTCTCTTTTTAAGTGGCACGCTCTTTTTCTTTTTTTTTTTGCGAGTAATCTAAACAACTACTGAAGAAAAAATGGTCGCTCTCCATGCACTCTGTTAAAGAGCTAGAAATTAAAATGTTTATGCCAAGCTTCCATTATCGTGCGAGGAATTCCAATTTAACACGTTTAATGTATATATATATATATATATATATATATATATATATATATATATATATAACATCTTGGGGCTAAGTAGGCTGTAGGCGTATTTTTATAAAAGTAGATGCCACCGAAGGGTCAAACAAACTTGGACGATTTAATTGAACATGTATAATTCATACATAAACCGCGACGTTTCGAAGGGGGACCCTTCTTCCTCAAGCGGGACTTGAAAAGTCCCGCTTGAGGAAGAAGGGTCCCCCTTCGAAACGTCGCGGTGTATGTATGAATTATACATGTTCAATTAAATCGCCCAAGTTTGTTTGACCCTTCGGTGGCATCTACTTTTATATATATATATACTTTAAGTAAGCTGTTGCTGTGAGCTTCTTTTTTATTTCCTGCGTTGATCAGCAGATTATTATTAATCTAATATTTAACGATTTATTGCGCTTCAATGTTTGTGTGCGATTGAGATACACCCAGGAAAAGCGGGGAGTGCAAAGCACATGTCGTCAGAGTCTACGGTTTGCTCCCCTCCTTCATGAAGCATTCGTTGGGTGCCCTAAGTAAAACAGTGTGCATTATCTAAACTAAATTTTGTTTTACGTGTAAGTATTTACTGTATTTTCCTGTCTAGAAGTCGCCCCCCCCCCCCCTTCTCTATAAACAGCCGTTTTCACAAAAACTGGGCGAATTTTTCACTAAAACAAATATATATATATATATATATATATATGAACGAATATGTGCAGATGAATGAACCGTACTTAATTTAATGAATCAAAGAATCGAAGTTTCCAGGAACCCGCCGAAAGCCAAAAATTGGCTTTCGGCGGGTTCCTGGAAACTTCGATTCTTTGATTCATTATATTAAGTACGCTTCATTCATCTGCACATATTCGTTCATATCCTCCTCGGAGACCACGTACGATGACGTGAAGTGCCCGTGTTGTATATATATATATATATATATATATATTATTTCCGAATGATTAAAGGCGAATTTTGGAATTTTGGCGATCGTCAAAAGACGCGTATTTGGGAGCGCCGCCTAACTCGGATGACTTCTGCACAAAAAACAAAAACAACGTTTTACGTGGTTTTTTAGACTGCAGTGAAAGCGCGATATGTTCATAAAACTGTGCTTTTATTTTTGATTATTTTTGTAAAAGAAAAAAAAGTCCACAGCTTGGCCCCTGTGACATTAACTTACTTGGTTGGGATGCTCATCAAGTTTGTAATACTTAACGATCTATGGCACAAACTATATAAGCATATGGCTGTTCAACAAAGTACAACATTTTTATACTGAAGTAAAGTTATTTTAGTAGGAAGCGGTTTTGTATACAAAAGGAAACTCTATGGAAGTACGAATTTCAACATCAGCTTCTTTCAAAAAGGCCACTTTTACTTTTTGTATTAAGAGCCCCCTGAACGGCCCAGAACATCCAACAAAATCATTTGTAATATATTGTTTGAACATAGGGGGTGTTTCAGAAAACGCAGGCCAAATCGTTCCTGCGAAAACTACTCATCGCAACGAAAAAAGGCTTGTGGCGTTGTGGTCCTGGGCCAGGGGCCAATTTAAGAAAATTATGAAAGTCCGGGATAATTAACTTGTTAATTATTTTACGAATTTTCTATTAGTTACTTCTATTAACTTGGATACTGTCCGTAGTGGCAATACAGTAAAACGTTTATTCGTCTGAGGAACCTGCAGTTTAAACCTCATCATCTTGAAATTTTGGCACAAGAAAAATGTATATCATAGAATGGAGTAGTTGCGTGACGAATTGTTCAAAACGTAACGTTTCGAGTTTCTTGTCATATTTGCCTATAAAATATATGGGATTCTATTGGAGTGCTGCCGTAACCCGCGTAGAGATGGCGCAAGCATGCGATGACCCAAATCTCTGGGGATGTGGTATCTTTTTGATCCCCCATCACGACCCAGCATAGTGAAGACATTCCAGTTGCTGCAGTGACCAATTTAGCTTTGAGTAGACGGTAATAGATAACTATGTGGGCCATCGATTAGCAGCGTTAAGTTAGGAGAGCCATGAAATTACGTAAAATACCATTACGCAAGCTCACAGGGGCATTTATCTTGAGCAGAAAACGACGTTAAAAATAGGATAAAGGTTCACTCTTGAGGCTTTGCCAATCCTTTTAACCTAGAATTGAGGGACCATCCTTACTTCGAGTTTTCGCCCACAGGGGGCGTACCGCATTTTTGGCGAAACTAAAAAACCTTCCGCTCTTTTTTTTTTTTTTTTACGTTTTAGCAGCGGACCAGCAGATGTGCTACATCACATCTCAGAAGAATAATTCATGGTTTCAGGGGCAGCTATATCTGAACGAAATGATCAGCACGTTTAGTTGTTTCAAGTTCTGTCGACCCGCGATTGTTTAAGGCGGCTTGATCCTTGAGCGGACTCCTCACGCCGCGACACTCACCTGGCACTCTCTACATGCGCCATCATAGCATGCACGTACAACCGCCACTGCCTCGACGCAATAAAAAAAAGAAAAGGCAGTGCAGTGAGTTTAGTTAAGAATAACATTTGGCCATGCCACTTATAAACGAAAGCTCAAAACAAGGACGGGTTTCTCAGTTTTGTGATAAACGAATCCAGTACGCCGAGAGTAAGGTTACAACCTGCCTAAACCAAAATTTTCGGTCACATTACACGTTGTCGGGAGCTTGCGTTATCAGATATTTTATGTAATTGTTTGTACTTGTGTACGGTGTAGGCAAGTTTTTTCTTAAAAAGAAGAAACGAATATCAGTAGGGTTAAAGAAACCTACCTTCTCAGAAAGCTTAGCGTGCGTGGAGAAAAACACCTGGAAAAAGTTGAAATTTCATTCTAAGGCTGTCGGCACATTGAAAATATATATTGTTTCCTACGAACTCTATCATTCCGAAAAAAAATTTTGGAGGGAAGTATTGATAAGCTTTTAATTCTTACGAAACAATTTAAGACTCGTTTTAATTGCGATTTTAGATTTTTTTAGATTTCTTATATTTGACATGTGTCAGAAAACCCGAATATATTACGCATAATATCCCGTGTACGCAGCAGCCTTGCTTCATTTAACTGTGCGTTATATCGAAGCCAACAAATGCTTTGGAAAGTTGCCAAAAAATCATTAAATTAATAAGCATCCCAATGACGACGACCAAGCTTCGTGTGTTACAATAAAACTTAAAATCTATGCGCCGAGAAAGTGAGGGAGAGGAGGAGAGCAGGGCGCGCGGGGACGTCAGAAGTTCGAGCTCTGGTTGGAAGGGTTAGTGGGTAGACCTGAAGCTAGCCGCCTTTGACTCCGCTGCACCCGTCGAAAGCGTTCGAATCCGAAAGCCTAACCCTGGATGCCGGCGTTCCGTGCTCTAACGCGTTCGACGTGTGCAGTGTACACAAAGGCAGCTAACTTTAGGTCTACCCACTAATCGTTCCAATCAGACCTCGGCCTTCTGACGTCAACGCGCGCTCTCCTCTCCTCCTCTCCCTCAGTTTCTCGGCGCGTTGTCTTCTTGGATGTACAGATATAGGTCCAAATTATATATTACATCTGATTTTAATTAATTGCGTAGACTCTTTCAAAATCTTTTCATATTAAAAAAAAAGTAAAAATTGCATTTTTGAGAAAATTTATGTTGAAATTTGTGCTTTTAGAGTTCCCTCTTGCATTCAAATACGTTTTCGCTTAATTTTACTGGAGTATAACAATATTATACTTGATGAATAGTTTTTTTTTAAGCTTTTAGTTTATTAATTGTTTATGTTATACAATTGAAGGTAACAATAAGTTATCAGCATGACCAGGTAAATTATCATCACAAGGGACATGTTCTGAAATTTTTTTACAAAAATCAAAGTAAAATTGGGGGGTTTTACGTGCCAAACCAACGGCGGGCATCGGGCACGCCCCAGAGGAAGACTGAGGATTAATTTCGACCACCTGGGAATCTTTTGACGTGCAACCGAAAACTCAGTTACACGGCGTCTTCTCCGCAATAAGCCTCCGTCAGATTGCGGGCACCTCGGCCGGGATTCAATTTTTTTTTTTTTTACAAAAATTAATAAAAGCAAAAACATATTTTTAGAAACATTTGACGAAGCGCGTAAAAAATTATTTGTCGTGCGGAAGGTATCCGGGCCTGGCGAAACTCCAAGTTCGTGACATGTGCGCCGTTCGCCCAAATCCCAAAATTCGCCTTTTATCCTTTGTAAGTCAAAAACTCTAGAACTAAATATATGGTGCAGAAACGGTCCTCAGTTTCGTCCAAGTGAAGAATTTGCCCAGCATGTCTTGAAAGTTTTTGAAAACTTTCAAGACAGGGCCCCTTTTTCTCGCACGATTTGAGATGAAATCGCCCACGTATGTGCTTGTGCGGCCAGCGCTTGCGAAACTGCATTGATAAGCCCGCGTACCTGTATTGTGCTCGCAATATATGCGCAAGCAGGAGTCAGTTTCAATATTCACGACAACGAATCGAACTAGGACTGTAACTCCTGTGGCAAATTTGCGCATTCAAGGTTCATACTTATAGGAACATCTACGTAAATATTGGAACATACACGACGACTTATACAGCGGAAAATACGTGACATCATCACTACGACGTTGCTGTAAAGCCAGTGTTTCCTTTCACTAAAAATGTCCCTCAACTATATAAACACCAAGAGATAACACAGTGAAATCACATTCTCAACTGGACTTTGATAGTAGTAAGCGCAATCGACGACATGTTGTAAGTCTGCTTAAAACGCTCAGATCAAGCTTTTTTTTTTTTTGCATTTTTTCTAAAACGATGTCACAATTTCTTTGCGATTTTAAGTTTTTTTATACTTTCCTAAACACTCGCATACAATTTTCCGGCAATAGTAAAGTCCATGATGGTCGGAAAAGCGAGGTATTTTAACCGACAATAAATAAACTACGAATCAAATATGCACTTAGGCTTTTTGCATGCTTCCTTGATGCACGGGTCGGAAACCATATACAAAAATGTAGAACTGCTTTCGTGAGTATGCTGCTGCTAAAAACTAAAAGAAGAAGAAAAAAAGAACTCACAAGCACCGTCAAAATAAGTGTACGCGCATGACGAGCAGGTAATCCACTAGTACCAATGGAAAGAGTCGCAGAGGGATGTTCCGAGTCTGACCTTAACAGACGGGATCTACAATACTCACCGAGTACAACAGCGCACATGCTCGGGGCAACTGTACAACGAGCATGTTTAGCGGACAAAACGTTTCCTGTGACAGAGCTCTTCGTGTACTCTTGCAGCGAGAGAGAGAGAAAAAAAACTTTATTGACTGAGGAATGGGGTCAAGGGGAATAGAGGACGTGGTGGTGGTGGTGGGCGAGGGGCCGAAGGCCCATCCCCTCCTGGACGCCTTCTCTTTTACTTAGGTTGGTGGTCCCGTGGTGGCGGTCGGCCGAGGCTTCCCGGCGACCTCTTCCGCCCTTTTGACCGGGCGGGCCTGTAGGTCCGGGTCGGGGCTGCGAAGCGAGGCCTCCCATTTCTCCCCAGAAGGGATTTCGGGGAAGGGATCCTGAGGGCATGCCCAAATGATGTGGGCCAGGTTGGCATGGGCGCCACATGTCTTTAACCCTGAAATTCGTTTGCAACTCTATATGTGTTTCATAGACCAACTTAAACAAGAACGCTTTCCCATATACACTGATCAGTCAAAACATTAAGATTACCCACTTAAAACCGTGTTGCATCTGCCTTTGGCGCGCAAAGCAGCTGCCACCCGTCTTCGCATGGATATTACAAGTCCATGCTAAGTGGCCCGAGGAAGATGGTACCAGATTTGCAAGCACAGGTAGCACAATTACTCTGATTTGCGAGGAGGTGGTTTGTGAAGTCTCAGCTGGCACCCCTTCACATCCCAGATATGCTCAAAATAGTATCGATATATCGCGATTGGGCTGAGTGGCCAGGATATCAACAGGAATCCATCATTCTGACCTTGTGACATGGAGCGTTGTTTTGTTTGAAGATTCCAGTTCCAACGAAAAAGACAGAAGCCAAGACAGGACCAACACGCGGCCCTGGCGTCATGCAGCTGCGGTGGCGCTATCGGCAGCACAGCGCATGCGCAGATGCTTCACTCCTCTCAAGTTCGGTTACTGCGCACGCGCAGTGCCCACACCTGGTGTGGGCAAAGGCGGGCTTGTTTGTAAACAGCGTGTCGGTCTATACAGGTCAGAAGTGACGTTGACATCGTCCACAGATTCGAAAGTGTGGTCTGCAACAACCACCGTTCACAGGGATACCCACGGGAACGCCCCCCCCAAAGCTTAATACTGCCACCACCAGATACCATCGGCATCTGCAGATGGTGGATAACGTGGACGCGCTCGTTCCCATAGCACAGGGGTAATCATAATGTTTTGGATGATCAGTATATACGAACTCTGCTCCTTGTGCAGAAACCGTCTTTCTGACAGCGCACCACATGAGCACCGTTTCAAAGCTAGCACTTTTGCTTTGGCCCAGCACCTTTCAGGTAACAAGGCCGCAGTGTTGCAGTGTCTACGTCACCTGGCGAAGGCCAGCGCGGCGCAGATTGGATACGACAGCTGCGTCAGTGTTCGGCTTGAACTCATGTCCAATCAATGAGGAGGCAAGTTATAACCGAGAGGTGACATCACACTCGTGCCCAATCAGTACCCCGCGTTAACCTCTTGTGGGTGACACAGACAGCCCAGGTGTTTTTACTACCTTAGGTGCTGTTGTTGGTCTATCCAGCACGTGTTGCTTCGCGTAAAGCCAGAGACATCCGAATTGCTGTTTACGTCTGGGACGTCGCGTCACCTTCTGCGCTGGAATTCAACTTCCAGCTCGAGACTGGTTTCCGGGACCGGAGCCTCGACGGCGCCCCATCTCGGGGCGCATCGTGGACGGCGTGCCCGCGCACTACGGCGCCCATCCGTGGCTTGTGGACATCCGGCTTCGAACCGACTCTGGCCGCACCATGCACTGGTGTGCCGGGGCCGTCCTGTCCCCGAACCTGGTGCTCAGCGCCGCACACTGCTTCAAGTGAGCCGCAGCTCCGCCGATTATTTCGAGCTTACTCTTCCCGGCCTACTATTTATTATCTCTATATTCAAAATAGAAATTGAGCAAACGGCAAAGGAAGGTTACGCCAAAACCAAGGTTCAAAATTTTCCGCACTTTCTATAGTGGGGTGACGTCGCAAGTTCTATAACTAGCAAGTTCAGTAGGCTGTCTAAGCTAACACAGTATAGCGCACATATTTTTCATAAGTTTAACCAATATTAATTTCACACCCTCAAACTTCTTGTAACCCAAAGGGGACGAGCTGTATTGACCCCACATAGTCCCGTAGTCTGAAGCAAATATTTGCCTAGAAAATTTTAGTACGGAATCTGCTTTAATTTTTTTCTAAATAAACAAAAGCGAAAAACCAGGCGGTTGTTTTCAAACCAAATGATACAGTGTGCAATTGCACCGCAAAGATAATTTAACCCCTCTAAGGTTGAATTTCTAACGACAGTTGAAACGTTAAACGTGATTTTTTTCGCGAATATATGTTATGGAACTCTTATATTCAAAACGTTACTGTTAAGCTAGCAAATATCATAGGTCTTCTTTACAAGCATCGCCATAACCTGGAAGTGGTGCAAAACTTCTAGTTAATAACGCATTTCGTTTATGCTACTGTCACCATGTTTAATGAAGTACGACAAGTACCAACCCGAATAAATTGTTTGTGTTGCAGAATAAAGCAGTTTGGGTCGCACCAAATGCATCATATTGCGCACATACTGAACTGATTTTTTTTTTTTAATTAATGGAAATAAAATATTATTTTAAGCATAAGCTTGCGGCCATGCTTCGCGGCATCGCTTAAAAGTCCCCATCATCCATTGTCACGGATTTCTAAACTAAGCTTAAGAATAATTATTTATTTTGTTCGCAGCACAGGATCCGCTTCAGATTATTCGGCACACGCTTCCAACTGTACTGAATTCAACAAAAAAAAAAAAAAAGAGAAATGTTTGGATTTATGCTATAAATAAGACGACAATACACAAAATAATATCTTTGGCGATAGGCATTTTATCTATTTATCACTGATTGTTGTTTCTGCCTTACAAGTTTGTAATTTTTATGTCGGCCAATCTGCCAAAAGGGGGGGGCTTCGTCAAACCGCACTTCTGCATCTTTTTTTCCCCCAGCTTCCATCGCCAATTTCTAATATACGAGTAAATAAGAATAATTGAACTGGAATTATTACAACTCAATGACAAAACCAACAACTACCAAGCATTTAGACATACCCTCCTGTTTACGGCGCGGCGTTGCTCATTTTAAATCTCAGAAGAGGCGGTCTAGGCGCCGACAGATGTGTCCACGCGTCCTCCGTACTCCATGCAGGCACTCCCCGAACGCGTCCGAGCTGGTCGTCCGCATCGGGGAGCACCGGATGGAAACACGCGACATCTACGAGGTGGATTTCGACGTCGAGACATTCAAGGTGCACCAGGGATTCGACGCAGGTCAGAAACAACTGTTGTAACGAGGTAGCACGTCATTTAACGATGGCCTACGAGTAAGGATATATTCTGAAGTTGTTGGTGGCGTTCCCTCTAGCAGTCTAATCAGGTGCTAACTAGGGCACATGACTTTATTTAAAAAGGCAGCGCGAAAAGAAAGTGCTTGTATAAGTCACGTACATGTCACATAATGCACTTTTCCCCCCCAAAAAAACACACACAAAAAAATGACCCAACATTTACCCCGCGAAACGCTTTTGTATTTCGGAGCGATTTCATTCAACACGTTAAGTTGTAATAATGTTGCTCGTATGTTTAGACTGCCGGAAGTTGGCCAGCCATGAAAGAGCGTCTGATGTTTCCACTCTAGATGGGGAAACTCATCTAGTGCAGTACGACTGCTAGCCTGGGGTCTTTAACGTGCATCACGCAGTAGTGATTACACGACCGCCACACCGGTATACGATGCTCGTCCAGATCGAAACGGGCGAGGGTGGGGATCGAACCCAGGACCCCCTGGGTTTTGCGTGCCAGCTCTTGGTCCGCGTGCTCAGCCTCCCCAGTGACGTTAAAATATGGGTAATTTTTGTAAGCTTTCCATTGGACGAAAAGAACTCGGAGAGGAGGTACACTCGTTCGCGTGTACAGCGGCGTACTTTCGTATACGCCTGTCAGATTGCGGCTCGCTGCGTAAATATTGCATTTTTTATATATCTTTTTTTTTTCTTTTTTTACATACGTGTTAATTACACAAAGTTAAAATATATATATCTTTTTTCCGAAGTGGTAGAACTGTACATACGGCTCTTATGCCACGCTTGTAGAACAGCGTAAGAGCGAATCCTTGTGCAAAGCAGTGAAATTCTTGTTATGCAACCCTAGTCCCTAAATTGTTCATTCTTTTTTAGGTGTAAGGATTTTTTTTTTTAAGAACTTACACAACTTTTTGGCTTTGATATACCTAAAAAGTATGTGAATGACCATTTGTTTACTTATATCAACACAAACAAAACAATACACAATGAATCGGCGCATCAATAAACAATAATCAAACCGCGTCATTAAAAACAAAACAAAAAACAAAAACATTTCTTAATATGACAGAAAAAAAGGTCCCCCACTAATGCATTCTGAATGAAATTCAAATAAATAGCGCTTCAAACAAGCACCGAGAATTGCTTTCTAAAAAAATTACACCATCTTCCCGAGGGGAACCATGGGGTGATGCGGAGCAAAGCGGATCGTTCGGGTTCCGCCGCTCGCTTCGTACGTTTACGTTAAACTTCACGGTCCCGAACCTCAAGGCGCGTTCACACTCTTGCAACCGAGTACGACCGAGAAAGACTTCTTGAGACCGGATGCGCTGAGCGGAGCTGGTCCTAAGAGATCGCAAGAGGCTTAAAAACCGGTTTGGTCTCTCTCGGTCGTACTCGGTTGCAAGAATGTGAACGGGCTTCAGGTTCTGCTGCTCGACGTTTTCGAACCGCCGCTGCTTCACGTTGTCGTAGTTCAGCATCCGCCGCTCGACGTTGACGAATGGACGCCGCTTCTCGTTGCCGTAGTTCAGGGTCTGCCGCTGGCTTCAAGCGTTTGCGCTCAGCGTCGCGTGCCCTTCGCTGCGCAGCTTTGTCTTCAGTGGACGTAGCGTTGCTGTTAGTTTGTGGGGTGGTGCTGACGCTTGCTTGCGCCAACCCACTAACTGACGGGACTGTTGCTTCCATCACACTTCATCGGAAGAACGGAGAGAAGTGGAGTCAACAGCGGTGAACTGAACACGCGCAGCGCGCTACCGCTGCTTATATTCACACTTGAAGGAGAGGAGACTAGAGGAGGAGAGTTGCGCATGCGCGCGCGGTGTGAGTAGAAGCGAACGCACGCGAAGTGCTCGCAGCTGGTAGAGAGAGAGAGCGGAGAGAGTAACCAACACCTCCTAGAAGACAAGGCCGTAGTGCTCTTCTCGTGACGTCGCAAAGGAAGGCCATCGGGGGCGCGCGTCGAAGCGAATGCAACGTGCGTAGATCGACCGTCGTAACGCGTTTTTAGTCACATACGCGTGTCATATTAGCTAAAATGAAAGCTGCAGATAGCAACGGGTCTAGAAAACATTTTATTACACGAGCAAAATATTACACCGCTAAATAATCGGTACGAAATGGCACGAGGTATGCGTACAAGACGTCTATCGAAAAATGTGATTGTCTTAAGTCGAAAACATTGAGTCACGCAATTATTGTTGCAGGAATGCATATTTTATACAGAAATACTTTGACAAAATGGCGAGACACGCAGTGATTTTGAAACAGCAAAACAGAACAGTTAAAAATCAGGTAGACATAGTCAACGCGGACAAGGCAAGACAAGCGTTTCTCACGATCATGTAAGCGACGTTATCGCGTGCAGTCACTGAATTCTTGCATCATACCCCGGCCACATGGCAAAATTAATGTAATTTCGATCGAATGACATTATAGGGTCGACAAATCCGCTTGCGGCGCTCGTATAATCACTCAAGACCGCGAGCTGATTAAATCCTATATCACTGAATGAAAATATATTAACGTTTCCCTGTGGCAGGGGTACTAAACTTACTACTAAGTCTACTAATTTACTTCTCCCTATGGGCTCGAGCTGCCTTAGAACAAAACATAACTTGTTTTGTATATAATAATACTATCACCTTAATACAGTTAAGATTCTAGTATAAACGCGGAAAAGGCAATAAAATAACTTTAGTATAAATAAACACAGAATCACAAACAACTCACTTTCAATAATCACACAAACTTGATTTTCATCTTCCAGTGAAAACTAGATTAGCGCGCATATTTACAAATGTCGACGCAACTGCTCCTACATGAACAAGAAAGCCCGTAAATAAGTTGTTTCTCACCTGTCGATCGTATCCATACGTCCCACAATATCCGTGACGAACACATTTGAATACGAACTCCAAGAAGCCTCTCTCTGTCGAGAGAGAGGTCTATCGATTAGTCGACCAGAGCCTTCGTTGGCTAGTTGTCACACGTCACTCAAACCGTAGCAGGACTTGTTTCACAAATGCACGCAAAATGCCGTAGTATCAAGCGAACACACAAAAAAACTACCCGAGACTACGGTGATGACAGAAATACGACGGGAAACAAGTCTCAAAAGTACCACACACGAGAGCAACGGCGACGAAAGCAGCGGCGACGAGAGCAACGGCGACGAGAGCAGCGACGACGAAAGGCTTAACGTTGTCGACCCATCTCTTGCTGGTGTGGGCTCCCTGCGACAACGACTGGATTTCTTTTCGGTTTGCTTCCCTTCTGAGATGTCTCAGCGTTCCTTTTCAGACAGTCAGCAGCTCTCACACAACGTAAATTTACCAGAATCGAAGCCATGTGGCATCAGCAGCGTCGCAGCCGGTCCTTTCGAAAAGTGTGGGGTGCTGCGGAACTGCACGTAGTCCCGCGGTTACGGGAATACTCATAAATATAATTTTGGTACTCTCAACCATGGTAGCGCGTTATATAATACGTTTATATTATATATATAATAAATTGTACAAGACTGCGCCTTTAAAACGTATATTAATGTCGGATAAACGCGCATGAACGAACACCACCGCGCCGCTTGTCAAGGGACATTGTTTTCACGTCGATAGCGTATTTTCACGTAGTTGCGCCATGGACTTCCTTCCTCCGCCATTGTGACGTAACCTCTCAGAGCGCTCTGGCCTTCTTCTCTAGGAGGTGTTGGAGTAACGCGCAGCTGTTGGAGAGAGGGAAGGAGGAGAGTTGCGCATGCGTAGTGTGAGTGCGGACTACGACGCCGCGGGACATAGACCCAAGCAAGAGATGCTCCGCATCTAAAATAGCAGAGATTAGTGTGTTCAAATAGAAAAAGAAACTTCAGAGAAGTGTATCATATTGCCGCTCGCAAAGTCACGGACTTGTAGAAAGTTCTCGTTTATTCTAGCTGCGGACATAACTTCTATCGTTTATCCCTGCTTTTGTTGTTCTAGAAAGTGCTTGTTCATTCTCGCCCCGAGCGCGCTACGCTCGAACCTTCTCCGCCGAATCTTCGAGATAGTGACTCACTCTAGATAAGAGGCCGCCCGCGACCTTATCGAGTCGGTCTCGCCCCAGCGCTCGAACCTGCGGTTACGCCGACTTCGACGCCCGCGACGCTGTTATTATCTTTTGTACCCTTTTATTTTCGGGCACAAGTTCGCCCCATTAAACATTTCATTTCTTCAGTATCACCGCCTCATCTATTGTCATTCGTGACAATATGTATAATAGGGCTGCAATATCGAAAATTTCTTCCAAAAAGACCAGAACCCAAGAAGACACTGGATGCTGGGATGCTTTGACTCATATTCGAGGCTGCCTACTTAGTAGTAGAATACTATTCCTTTGCTCACGGAAAAGAGAAGTAAAAAAAAAACTGTTTTAACGCAGTGACGTCAGATGCTGCACACGAGGTTGCAATGATCAACATCCACCTTATAATATACTCCTTTTCTTTTTACTAGTTTCCGTCTCAGCAACCTACATAAGTGTATGATACCCGGAAAGCATTGTTCCCTACTCAAAGCGAAAAGAGGAACCGCAAAGGCTCATTTCAGGTCCCCCTAAACTTCCCAACTGGCAGCATAGCTCCAACTGTGGAGTCACCACACTTGTTACCCATAAAAAGGGTTCCTTACTTTCGGTGTTCACCGATAAATCCTGTAAATTAACCCCCGAGCTATTTTTACCTAAATCAAAAAAAAAAAAAAAAAGCAAAAAAAAAAAAAGTTTAGGAGCTATCTAAGAATAGGAGCTATCTTGGAATGAGAAAAACCGAGGCTTCGAGGAAATAAATATTTATCCATAGTCGGTGACTTCATCAGGGCGGACGCTGGAGAGGGGGTCGCCTCTTGTCCAGTGTTCACTCCACCGATGTGGAAAGAGGTGGGGGGAGCTTTCAGTTTAGTCTTAACCTGTCACCGGCTATACAGGTTCATTTTGTTCTGTCCCAGGACACAGCCCGCCCTGAAGCAACCTGAACTGCGCTCGACGCTGCTTCTTTTCAAAGGAACCAGACCCCGTACAATCGTTTCCTTCTCGCATCCCATTTACAAGTATTCGGTGTACGCGCGCAATCCTGAGAAGTTAGGGAGTCTTGCACCTGTCTCCTGTTTTCTTCAACATGAGCACAGAAAAAAAAATGTTGATTTGTTTGTCCGCAGGTTGAAAAACACCGAAAAATACCGAATCTCCGAGAGAAAAAAATAAATAAAACCCCGAAAAAAAAAAAAAAGCCTGAATTCGAAGAGAACCCCGAAAACACGAAACCGTACCTATACGAACAAAACAACGGCGTTGACGACGGATTATTTTTTTTTTTAATACATAGCAGCGTTTTGGTAGGAATCGTTAAAGGGATACTGAACCGAAATTTCGAACTCACAAAACAAGGCTGCACAGATAGGCGGGACGATGCAAAACCCAAAAACATCACTCATACAGCGATATCTCTAACGGATCGCCATATTTTTAGAAAAGAATCGCCCGACTGAACCCGGCCGACGAGGCCGACAAGGCAAGGGACGTCACGATTCTTATTCCCTCTCCTCCTCACTACGTCCCGTGTCGAGCTGGTGAACCGAAGCGAGGAGGAGAGAAGCGAGGCCGCTCCCCCTCATTCTCAAATTCTCCCGGAGGACAGTGATGTCAGAGGCCTCGCTTGATCGCGCCCTTCTTTTCGAAAAGTGCAGCCATCCGTTTGAGATATCGATGTACGAGCAATGTTTCGGAGTTCGTAGAGTCCCGTTCAACGCTTCTAGAGCCTTATTTTGCGAAATTCAAATTTCGGTTCAGTATCCCTTTAAAGGAGCGGTGCAACGATATTAAAATGGAATGTTTTTCACTTTGCACGAGCTTACTGGCACTAGTGGGACACAAGGATACTCGCACGCAACGCCACTGACCAAGAAACTCCCTTGTTACCCTGTAATTTCGAGGACAAAATCGAGCGTTTTCATTCAATCTCTCCTTCGCAAAACCTAATGACGTAGCTGGGCGGTAGCAGTACCGCCCAGTGACGATATCTGAATACGGCTCATAGATTGGACCCGAGCATTGCGTGGGCACTCGATTTGGGCTCGTGATAATCTATAGCTCGAGAAGCATTCGGGTAGAGTCCTGTGTCCAATCGCTGCTATGACGACAACAGCCGAACCATAACAATGTCTGGAACTCAGCGCGTGTCCTGTGCCTTTCCAACGCCGGCGCGTGGCTATGATCAACACTGGCGGCATATAATCGGCTCCAGATCACGTGACCGCTTGTTCTGGCTGCGAGTTGAGGGGGTGAACGGTGCTCGTTTTTCTCTAATTTTTTCGGCGACTTCGATTGCGTGTGGTGAAAAACGAACGGGTATTTCACAGGTCATTAACGTCACGGATCCGTTCTAAGCGGTATTTGCACAAAACGACAAAAATCGTTGCATCGCCCCTTTAAAGCTCATGGCCTTCGAAACGTTTTGCGTCTGTTGTTTTTAGCGCTTTTACCCTCACAAACATGCGTCAACTACGCCACGCAACTTGTGAGATTTGTTACGGGGATGCTTGTATACAGCGAAGCCCGCCTTGAAATTGCATCCTAAACGTCTTTGGCAAAAAGCGCAATTTAGCCAATACCAAGTTTTGACCCCTCTTACATAGCCGCGAGATAATTCTCCTGCGAATGGACTAAACACAGGCGCGTATCATCCCGCAGACACTTTCTTCAATGACATCAGCCTGCTGAAGCTTCGACCTATCCGCAATCACGGCATCTTGTTCAACGACCACGTGATGCCCGTGTGCCTCCCCACCAAAGAGGACGTCTACGCCCCCGGAACCTCCTGCGTCATCGCCGGATGGGGAAAGACCATCATCAACGTCCACCAACTGCGTGAGTACCTCGTAGCGGAAGCCCACTTGCGTCGCACCATGCCCCATTCACAGTAAATGTATAAGCTCAACAGTACAATCTTTACTTCGTTTAGACGCAAGCCGACGCTATACGAGCTTACGGAATCAATCAGACACCATCCAAAGCGCACCATCGCGGAGTTCGTCTTGTTCCTGTTCTATCATCCTCTTCGTGGTGCTATTGATATGCTCCGCTTGACGAACGGTCTCAAATTTTGAACTCTAAGTATTGCGGGAAGTGACCGTCGCTCTTGCAGGAGACGCCACGGACTCACGACATAAGGCGGAGATTCACCGGGCTTGCGCCGTCGTGCGTCTCCCGGGTCCCTCAGAAACGTGCGCGTGCGCACCACGTCATCGTTGTATCATCTGCTTCGCCACGACTGCTATGCTCCTTCACTGGATAAACCAACAGAGCGCTGCGAATTCCCCTAGACTTGCGATTTTAGTACGTGTTTAAGCCTTTGGTTGTGATTTGACCTGAGATGAAACAAACTATACGGTGGGTAGAGGCGCTGTGAAACGGACGTTTGTACCATTTACGTTTCCTTCTGCTTCTCTAAATATGAACCAATAATTTAAAAATAATAATAATTTACTTTGTACAAGCACTCCTCGGCGGAACTGTGGCGCAATTCTCAGCATAAATGGCACTTAGGCGCAAGATGTAGCAGACTCTCGTTGATGGGGCAATTTGTTGCAAATGGTGCAGCACTTTCATCAGTGCAGTATAAATATATGAAAATGTTATAAATGCAAAGAAATATATTTTTTCCACTATTACAATATTTGCTTTGAAGAATATAATCTTACTTCTGCACCACATTCTTATAATAAAAACAAATCCTTATATCAACGTAAATGCCTATAAATTGTCAAGTTCACTAAATCATTTTATTTGAATGTCATGAATTCGGGATTAACAAAATCTGGGGAATTTGCTCTCTGAGGCAAGTTCTTAGAAAGTGGTTAAATTAGTGTTGCATATTTCTCAGTATAATTGATTTTCGCATGTAAATTGCCATAAAAAGTATTTGGAAAAAGTCTGGTTTCTAAAGGATAAGTATTTGAATTTAGGTGCAAAACAACAACAAAGAAGCAATTTCTGCTTTTTATTTTTAACTTCTAATGGAAACAAATATATCTAAAGCGGACTTAGCTTTATGCTGCGAAAGTGAATACTGTTTTTTTATTCTCACATTGGTGACGTACGGATGCCTTGGGCCGTAGATTCATATACATTAAAAAAGGAGGAAGCCTAACGAAAAATAGGGTGTTGCCCACATTTTCTGTTGCTCGAACCTTGAAGCCCATTGCCCTCACTCAACAGCTTTATGACGTATACCTGCCATCTTGATGCAGAAATGTTACGGCACCCACAACGTGCCCAGCAACTATACAAGAATAAGGGTACTTCGAGGTCTTTTAGAAATTCTGAAATACTTGGCAAGGTCTGGCCGTCGGGCCTGACCCGAGCCCGACGCAGTTCAGGATACACCGGCCCGAACCCGGACGGTGCTCTCATATGTTGGACCGAGCCCGACCCGACTGTCGGGTCGGCCTTTTGGGCTAGCCCGAGCCCGCACAGATCTCTAGTTGCTGCCGGCTTCTGGGCTTCTGGCCGGTGCCATTTTGAGCGTTCGTGCATATCATATGGCGCGCGCTTTGCTCGCCTACCCAAGCGACGAACATGCGCCTTCGACAGCTTTGGCCTTGTGCCCGAATAATTCGGTGCTCGAAATAAGAGCCGTGCGTTACTCCGCTTCTCTGTCGGATCTCGCAGCTAATAAATACAAGCTCCTTGCTTTGGGTGACACCTTGGCTTCCTAAATGCTCATTCAGTAGAACACCAGCGAATGCTCTGCACATTTAGCCTATAGCGCACAGGGCAAGACTGACTAAAAAGGCACCGGTTTCTTCCTGCCAGAATCGTCTGTGCTGCAGACGGCAGCGGTGCCCCTGTACGAGCCTGGCCAGTGCGAGCAGCCCTGGGTGTACGGCTACAGGATAAAGCGTGGCATGTTCTGCGCTGGGCACGTAGACGGCGGCATGGACGCCTGTCACGGAGACAGCGGAGGACCTCTCGTCTGTCGCTCCATCACAGGTAACAAAGCCGTTCTGGCCATCGGCCTCAGGTACCAGCAGCGGATATGGGGGTTACGCAAGATTTTTGTTAAAAGCAATGCCAAGGGCGTTCGGAAGCTTTCCCCTTTAGTGGTAGAGACGAGACTTCCTTCAGAATTATGCAGTTTCGAGCATAAATTTCACTGTGAAAGGTGGGTACACAAACCAAGGGAACATGCATCCAAGCGCGGGCCTTCCCACTTCGCCAATTACTTCACAAAAATTCAGAAATGCTCTTAGTCGGTTGCAAGGTAGAAGAAGCTCCTCCTCTCATAAGCGTGATGCGCCCGTTTAAAATCCATCCGCAGTCGAAGGAATATTTCCCTGGAAACGCCCCTTGTTCCGTTTCAATGAATAGATAATGGCTAGAGTGATGCTAACTTGTCTCCGGCCCCCACCTTTTATGAAAGCGATTTTTGTATTCATCGGAGAGGGAACCGAGCCCCTGAAAGTGACCTTTGTATCCATGTGAGGGGGAACATAACCCCCCAAAGTCGTATTTGTTTCTGTCGGAGGGGGAAAATTCTAATCTCCCTCTCGTGGCTTCCGCAACGCTAAGTCAAAGATAAAGCAAATATTTACAGGAAGGCAAAACCCTCTCCCGCGTTGGCCACGACGTCACGGAAACGATGGGACGCTATTGGATGCGGAGGTGGCGGAGGGATATGATTCCCTTTGAGGGGCATCGGCCGCTACCTTCTTGACCTGTCACTTACTATAGTATCACCACCGTCCAACGCGAGAAATGAGTAATTACCTGCTTCTGAGTAATTCCAAGTTTTCGAAGCCAATTAAAAAACTTTCGTTTCGACTTCTTAATTTTCTTTGAAAAATATTTTTTGTTGATACTCTCTGTTTGAATTCAGAAGACATAAATCCACATAAACAGCTTTATGTGCCGACGAACTGAGGGAGAGCAGAGAGCGCGCGGGAAGGTCTAAACGCAGAGTTCTGTTTCCAGGAGAGCTCGGAGCCCCTCCCTCGTTCCACATTAGCACAGGAAACGCTGGAATCCACTCTGCTCTCCAGCATTTGCTCTGCTAATGCGGAATGGACCGTCTCCTGCTGTTCTTGAGTTGCAACAAACTATAGCTGCCTTTGTCTCCACGGCATCCAGCTTTGGCGTTCTAACGCCAAAGCACTTTAGGTTTACCCACTAATCATTCCAACCAGAGCGCGGTGTTCTAATGTCCCCGCACACTCTCGTCTCCTCTCCGTTTCTTGGCACATTGGTACGTAAGAAAATGATACTAGAACATTTTGAGATCTTTTTTATGTCGGGTATATTTATACACCTTTCCAAGAATCATTCGACCCCAGGGACAACAAACCGTTTTTGAGCCTAGTCACTGGGTTTGAGGCTAGACTCTCACCGGCGTCCCTGCTAACCCTAAACGAGTGGACTGCGACTTCGACAGGCGCAGCCTGCGTAGGCGCAGGTTCAAACACTGCTGGCAGCTAAATTTTCGTCTTTTCTCGCTGCATATTGTGTTTTATGGTGCATGTATTTTCCCGAAGACACGGAGAAAGCATTGAACCACATTTAAAATATCAAAAAGAAAAAATAATAATAAAAATAAAAATAAACTACTTTTGTTGTGTACGCGCGCGACAGAACAAATGCGGCTGGAATGTTAGTTGTCGTTTTTCTTTTTACGATAAGTTTTGACGGCGACGCTCGATTAACCGCGCGTCAGACGACAAAGCGCTTAGCTGTCGAAAATAATTTACAACAGAAGATAACCGAAAGGTATGCATTTTTCACGCTCACAAATAACGTGTTTACCGGTGGACAGGCCAGGGACATACAATTTGGCAAGTTTTAACATTCGAACAATATATTGTACGTACCACACAGTCACAGTGGACGACAATCACGTCACATCTTGACGATCGGACGGAATCCAAGATAACTTCGTTTTGGGGCACGTTTTGGGGAGAGCTTCCTTTTTTCACGACAGCATCAATGCAAACTTTGCAAAGGCACGAACGCGACTGACCGGTTTCCCACCCCGGACTATTTTTGGAGATGACTGATGATTCTACGCGGATGATCTCTGGTAGGGGGGAGAACAATGTTCGCGAAATCGGGTCGAGGGTCGTTCGACGTCCTTCACCTCCTTCGTTTCCCGTGAATGTCGAGCAGAACAGCTTGAATGGCAGGCACTTACCAGCCTTATTTCTCACAATGGAAGATAACACAAAAAGGGTACCCAGCACGCATTAAAAAAAATCGAGTGGAAACTTTCAAGAAGGGCGAGAAAACGTCGAATGCAAAACCGCAAAAACGTAGGTAGAGAACCGCGCTGAGCGGCTCTTCACAGTACAAGAGTGTGGCAGAAAATTTCTAGCTGATAGAGGATGCGAGAGTCGCACCAGCCGCATCAGCAACATGGCGGTGGCCAAGGAGCGGTTTTTGGAAAGGTGTATAGACTTCAGACAAAGCATTCCATCGAGTAAATCACCAAAGCCCTCTAAATTATATTATGGTATTATCACTTACCAGAGCCTATTACAACACTCGTTTCAGTGTTCCAAGTTAGCAAGTGGATATCCACTATGCAGCATTTTTTCGGGTGTTTCACAAGTATTCTCGGTCCTTTGTTGTTTCTAATATAAGTTATTTTAAACGGTGAACCTTCAACCAAAATTATTGTGCATGCTGCTTATGACACTCGCATATTATTTTACTCATTCCAGGGTGGACATGGTTGTTGTTAAAGCAAATTTTTTCCGAATACAAAACGCTGGGCAGATTAGTTCACTGGTTATCAACACGGCAAATACAAAGCCAATTTCTTTCCCAGTATCCCGAGTCAGTTTGTCTACATATTTAGTTCTGGGCTTCAGCACAATAGTGCATGTTCAGAATATTAGACCCTAGGCAAGCTTTCTGAACACATCTTGGAATGTTCTTGTTTTCTATTTCACCTCCTGCTACTCCTATCCAGACTACAAAAGTAGTTTAGCAAGTTGTGGCTGTTAAAAAGAAAATGTTAGGACAAATGAAATGGTTTCTCGGTATCACCATTCTATTCCTCTTAAAAACAAAATGATTTATGTATTTGAAGTGCATCCAGACTGTAGTCGGTGACATGTTAAGAATTCAGGGGAAACTGGTGCCACCACTTTCTTCTTTAGCAGTCAATACTTGATTCATCTCTCTATGGCATTTTCTAATAAAGTGCAAAGAGGTGGGAGGAGCTTCCTCCCAACTCTTACTTGCGACAAACTATAATTGCAACTTATAAACAGTCTGTAAAAAAAAATGTTAGAATTATTCAACCTTGCGAAATTAGAAACTAATCAGAATATCCAACACGTCATTGGCATCCCTGCGGCATTACCCCATTCCAGAACCTCAATTTTGAAAGCTCCAGGCACAAGCTACCCATTTTTTATAATACACCCACATATACATGTCTTGCTTGTCAAGCACAAACTACCTTTCTAAAAATTTAGTATTCACTCTTGTGCATATGTATATTTATTTTGCATCCCCTCCACCAGTCTTGAACCTGTCAAGCTGCAAAAACGCATCTTTTTTTTCCACTGCCCATGTCACAAATGTAGTTTGTGGAAAAATTTGCGATTTGATTTGAAAGAGTAAAGTCAAATATGCTATTTTAGTATGCATAAGGTTTAAGTATCTGCATATGCTTCATACAGCCCCGGAATGAAGTGGGGCCCAAGTTGTGCAAACAAAATTAACTTCAGGTTACTAGAAAATAATTATGCACGACAGGAGCCATGCAGGCATGAAGCACCATAATCAACTATTGTGCGCAGGCAACTTTGCAGTCTTCGGCATAATCAGCTGGGGTGAAGAATGTGGCCTCCCCAACAGACCTGGTGTCTACGTCAAGGTACAAGAGTACCTCGACTGGATTGCCAACACGGAAGTGGAACTCCTGAGCCAGTATTAAAATACTGCATAAAACAAAAGTTGCACCTCCTGGTTCCCTTCTTATAGGAAAATATGTGGTTTTTGATGTGGGAATCTTCCTTCACAAAGAGGTCAGAGTAGAGTAAACAAAATGAGTAAACTTGCCATGCATAACCTTACGAGTCAATGCAATTATAAACCTGATGATACACAAACGCTCAACTGTTCCAAAGCCACAAATGATGCATCCTAAGGAAGACGCAAGACATACACATCAGGGTGGTCGAGTTGTGCTCCACATTTATTGAAGATGACCCAAATGTACATGTGTCACAGCCATCCTTCCCCGGTGTTACTGAAATAAAAGGCACAAAGATTAGAAAAACAATCAGTGTTACACGACTCTGTTAACTGAAGAAACCAAAATAAAAAAGCAAGGACTTATCATAAATTTGATAAGAAAGCAGTATTGCACAAAGGAAAAAAAAAATTTCAGGGTAAAAAGAGGGTTCTTTGCTCATATTTTAAAGAGAACTTGAAAGTTTACAAACTATAAAACCACCAAAAATATTCTACAAAAGGCAGTCTGCAGTTTTTACACGAGTCTGCTCGCAAAGATTAGGATGTTGTACTGCGCATTAAAATAAGCAGTATCAAACTCCACCACAATATTTCGTTTCACCTTAAGTCCACATGCGGCCAAAGCTACGAAGCAATGTGACTAATCAGAGTGTAAAAAGCGCATCATCCAGGTGTTCATCATGCTTATGTCTGCGTTCAATCATTGCTGAACCAATCATAAAACAATTTTGCGCTTTTTACGCTGTTTGGTGGGTCCCCATTAGCTGTGTCTGGACTTAACTGAAATGAAGTATAGGCGTTGGATGCCAAGGCACTAAAAAGTTTTGAAGTGCATAATTTAACACAACAGTCCCATCAGGAGGCAACTTGTCAAAAGAACCAATTTAGAGCTTCCTTGTCTAAAGGGCCCAACCTAAATTGAAAGTAGCAAGTAAATGCCAGTCTCAACCCTGTTCAAAAGTATATACTAATTTGATATACAAGAATTACACAACCATAAAATGCACCTCATAAAAACTAACTATGAAAAAAAAAAAAAAAAAATGCCATAACATTTCAGACCCATTAGTGATTACAAAGGGAAGCATTACTTTCGTAGAGCCGACCCTTGCGTCTCCAGATGTAGGCTGTACATACATTACAGTGCTTTTTTTGAGAAAAAAGCAAACCTTTCTGCAAGGCAATAGGCTCCTTTCTCCTGCATTATTGGGTTACTTCAGCAGCAGTACGAAATAGAGCAACAAGTCGCAACAAAAGTGAAGAAAAAGAGCAGAGAGAGAGGGAGAGAGAGACACCTTTCGAAGCACCACACCAGCGAAAGCCAGCAAGAAGGCAGAGCAAGCGACCCCAGCTTAGCGCTGCAGGATAAAGAAAGCAGATTCTGGTCAGAGGCCGGCAAGCACTTTCCAATTCCTCAGTCTGACCTTCCAGCAACCGCTTTAGCAGTACTGGGCAACCCCACAATCTTGTGCTATGCATGCAAGCTGGCAATGATTGCCAGAAGCTATGTCCGTTAGTTACGTAGCTCTCTCGAAGCATTTACAAGCTAACAGTCGTCCTCTTGTGAAGTAGCTTTGAATGTCCATCAAATGCCAACTAAGACACCTTCAACAACAGATGCAATACTAATAGTGCTGTAGTTCAGTTCTGTATCATTACTATTTGTCATTTCTTTCAGCAGTTTATTTTGCCAATAAAGATTTACCGTATTTACTCTTATAATGAACACACGTTTTTCTCGAAAAACTGACAAATATTGGAGAGGGCGTTCATTACGCGGCGTAAAATTTTTGCATCTACACACTTTGTGCAAATGTCATATTAGATGCCAATATGACACAGCAAGGTACCGTGGCACCTCTCCACTGATGGAGACACGCCCATGGCTGGTCGGGTTCGTGCCACAATAACCATGGTTTATAACCTTTTTAGGGCGCTTTCAGCATGCCATTTGCTGAAGGCAAAGCGCCCTACGAAGCTCATTCGGCAAGGAAAGCAATGTGACTGTTCTTATGTGATATATATTGATAGTATCCTGCGACACGCTCAGGTATATACCACAACTACTCAGTCGTATAAGAACTTGTACGAAGTCCAACCACACACCACCAAGGCCCGCTCGCACAGATCAAGTTTCGTTTTATGGAGACCGGCTGTTACCACGGACTACGACACTCTCAACCTATGATGCAGTGTGCACTTTGCTGCACAGTTCCGTTACGGTTTCAACACATTTACCCGGAGTATGTGAAATTAGACCTAACCGAAAGCAGACGAGACGACAGCGTGCTTGTTAAGATCAATGCATCCGATAGGCAAAGAATGTCAGGGGCTGGGCAATTCCTCAACCCAAGCTTCGTCAAGTGTGCGCGCCACTCTGTTTCACGGTTGATTACTTCCGCAACTATGCACTTGCTGCCATACGAGAGCGGCTTGGCTAGGCTTGACTTGGCTTGATCGCTTGGGGGCAATAGGAAAGGGGCTTAGTGGCTAGCTAAATTGGACCCAGTTAGACTTGCGGAGCCGAAAATTGGAGGTGCGTTGATTATGCGAGGGAAAAAAAAAAGTCAAAGTATTGGTACTTGTCGGAATTTGTTCATTGTGCAAGTAAATACAGTACTATTAATAGTCACTTTTTATTACTTTCACAATCTGAAAAGCTTACCCTTAGCATCCACAGAAGTTTCTGTTCCCAAGTCTGCCCACAACCTCATACAGGTTTTGAAATATCCAAGGAGTAATGGTGACAATAGAAAACCCTTATATGTAACAGAAGTCTCAAGTGTATGGGAAATAATACACTTATTACAGATTTCTTTTTTGCAAACAGATCTTCATCGTAATTGGGAAAAGGGATGATGATGCTATGCCATATCTAGTTTTTCAACAAAAAAAGCTGCGAAGTTTGGAGGTCATTACTTTCCCAAGAGGTCAACATTTTTGCAGTCCTTAGTATTTTCTCGAGCTTCCCAATTAGCTTTTTGCCAGGAAACCAAGAATGGGACTAAAAATCCAACTAGGTTTCTCCAATCATGCTGGGTCTAAGAATTGAACTAGACTCCAATAACAAGCCAACTCAAGGCTAAGTGATAAAAGTCCTGGCCTTAGGTAGAAGAACTTCAGCCACTAAAAACATTATTTGAGAACCATTCAGTCCCCAGTTGCAAGAAAGTCAGGCTGAGGAAGCATTAGGCATTGAGGCAACTCACAGAATCATGAAAACCCAACCACCACCATCACCACCACCACCCAGGCACAAAATTGAGAGTAGATGCAATTCGTAAGACAACAACTTTCTAAGATAACATCCTGAAGAAGTTTTCCTCATTAAAACTTACATAAAAGAACAAAACAAAAAATAACTTATGGTACGGAACGTCAATAGCTATGTACCCTAACACCACGACTGGGTAGGAAACTATCCAACCTTAACTTCCCAGCTCAGTACAAGGGGATCTCAATGCAACATAAGCCTACTGTGCATTAAACGGGGCCAAAGTGTGTTGGGCATTTTGATCGCCCAGAAGCACAGCAGCGTTGGAACCCCTCGGTGGCGTCAACACAATAGCCCAGCAGTCGTAGGGGCAGGTAGTAAGAATATACTAATATCAGAAGTAGAGTCAATTGCTTTAACGACCAGCACACAGGTTTACCCATTTCAAATTAGCTTTGCAATGAATTCTTTAACTATACTGCAAAAATGTCAGAATGCTCTATGCCCTACAAAATACAGTAACTTGATGCATAAGCTCCGGATCTATAGAGAACATAGGTTCAGGCTGAGAATATTGCCCTTAAAGAGTTTTACAGGAGATTTCTGCTTTTTTTTCCCCCTCTCCTAAGCACTTTATGCACTCTTGAAGGCAACAGGAGAGAAAAATTAAGAGATAAAGGGACCATGAAACAATTCTGAAATCGAATTTCATTCATTGCACGTCGTAAAAAGTGTGAAAAGAAACACAAAAACGCAAAAATAGGGAGCCAAAAAAAATTTGTCGCTATAGAACTTTTAAAAAATCGGACTCTTTTGCGCCTTCTTTCCTTCGAGAGCTCTTTGCCTTTTCACTGCGATGCATCCGCGGAACCGCAAAATGTCAGCCGAATCCATGTTGCCTATTGGGCAAGAGAGCCTACCTCACCAGCACCGCGATCCTAAACAATAAATAGCCGGCGAATGTTCCCTAAAAGTTTTGCTAAATAATATTCCGATCCACATTTTGTAGCATAATTACAGATCTGACGAAAATTGCCAAACTTGATAATGCTGAGGGCCAAGCGCCATCTATAGTGTGGTAAATGAAGCAACTACAGTAGGGCCGACAGCGTCGTTCTGTTACTTGGCCGCGTCGACTAACGAATTAATTTTTTTTACGTGCTCTTCTTGCGCGTCTTGACTTTAAGCAGCAAGAAAAAAGTACTTGAAACAGACCACGACAAACAAGAACGCTGGATCCACAAACACCCGAGAAAAGCTACAACGGCGACGAATCTACCGACGCCGACCAAGCGAGCTCGGCAGATAGGCCTAGCAGGCACTCAGGCTCGGCGCAGCGTTGCTTCAGCGGTACTTGGCTAAGACCGTCTGTCCACGAGCGGCTGGCGTGCTGAATGGAATATTCCCGCGCGACCCTTGTGGACCCTTCCCGTATTATAGTTTGATCGCTGAGCTCAATTTTAGATTAAGAGGTGAGGTCCATCTCTTCCCCTTGCTTTCCAAGGCAGTGTTGACTAACACTGTTGTCAAAAAAGACTCTCGTCAATTCTATCTTGTTTAGTGTGATATAGAGCTCAAATAAACGCCGTATGGATTACCTTTGTAACACAGTATGTACACTCTGTTATTAGTACACTATTTTTATTCTGACATGACTGCACGTCACTGTCGAGCTATAACAGTTCGTGGGAGCTACGTGCAATGCCGGTCCAACCTTCCTTTGCGAAGTGTCACGTCAGTATTGAGTTGCAATCGTAAAAGATTGTTCCCAAAGCGCTTACCAACAGTGCGAATACAGCACTTCCATCAAACGCGCGCGTCCACTCCAAGTGAGAAGAGGTATTTACGTGGCTCTTACTGACACTGTCGTAGTTCAAACATATCTTTTTTAACGTCAGCTCGCTCCTGCATCTCCGAGGCCGCGAAAAACGCCGCGGCAATTTGTTTCCATCTACACGCTTTGCAAACGACCGACACGGGCCGCCTTTTACCAACAATAACAGGTTGACTTCTGGAGTCTTCACCGGAAGACTCGCCGCACTTTCCAACAGGCATGCCGGTGTGTGGAACTAGTCCCATGCTGTAGGTGTAGCGCAACATATATCATTGAATTTCGCTCAGCCGCGATGCGTCCATTGCTATCGCGGCAATGAGAGGTGCCAATTCAGAAAATATGTCGGTGCCATCAGCGCAGTAAAACCTACCGGCGCACCCCCAACTCGCCGCCGCTAACGCTTAGATCTCGTACTGCCGAGAGAACTTCTGGTTCCTGTCCCAGAGTATGTCACGACCGTCAAAATTACGCCGCAGCTTGTTTTGCGGTCAGTTGAAGAGAAAGAAAAAGTCAACATTTCATTAATTTTTTGTATAGAAGTTAATGAACCGAGACGAAAATGGATGCCTCTTCAGCATTCAGTGAACGTTGAAGCTGTAATGTATAAGTTATCTGGCAAAAGGAATAAGGTCATTTCATGGTCTCTTTAAGTACTTCATTACTGTGCACTTGGAGGCTGATAATACGCTGGGGAGTCCTGTGGGTTCCGGCGGGCAACAATGACAGTCAATAAATAACTATACGTTTTTGAACCAGTGTGTTGTGTCATTCACTGGAGTGGGCAGCAGTGAGGGAAACCCAACACACTGACAGATGGAATTTTCTAGTTACAATAGACTAGGTTATGTTTAGGGTTCCGCATTATCAGTATATACCGATATTCACAGAAATATAACCCCTAAAGGTTTTTTCCCCCAAATCGATAAAAACCAAAATGCTTGTTTCTTCAGAAATTGGTTCTATGTGTTTTATTTAGCAATAAATCATGCATATAACGTGTTTTCCAGAGCGTGCCAGATATACCTCTGCTTTTATCATATCAGCCCCGATAAACCCCGTTCGTGGGTTTATCAGGGCCCATATGATATCGGGGCCACAAAGAGACACCAAAAAACATCAAATTGGGGCAAAAAATAAACAGAAAATTAACCCCTCAATGCAAAGAAAAATAAGTACAGAAAACACGAAACCCTAGTTATGTTTAACGAATACATTTCTGCAGCTCAATTCGAAAATAGATGATAGCTAGTGGGTAATATAAATATTTCTTCTGCATGAGCCAAAGGAAGCACCCTCGCTAATAAATAAAAAAAAAAAAAAAGCCATTTGCTAGTTTTCTTTAAAAAAACTGCAATTAACAATCTTTCTGCCATTAAAAATACCAGGACCTATTTGGCAAAAATACATTTTCCAGCCTGCCAACAGGTTAATGAAGCAAGCTGCAGTAAAAATTCCCAGAAAGTTCACACCCAAGCTCCATCACCACATTCAGAAACAGCAAGATCCCAGAGCAAAAGCAGCAGAAAGACGGCACAGCCAATCCCAACCTTTCCCAAGTGAGTGGCTGGTTCTTTGTGAAGCAGTGAAACGGCTGAGAAAGGCAGGCCAACCCTACTTACCTTCTTGCCGGCTGCTGCTCCAACCTTGGCCTTCTTCGTGCCACGAACCTTCTTCATCCTGTTCTTGCGTTCCTTGCGCTGCTTGCGACCTGTCCGCCCCTTCTCACCAAGACCGTTCTGCAGGCAAGTCGCAAGGCAAGTGTTACTTTCAATGCCCAAACATTCTTCAAGGTTGTTGTGCTGAACCCAACCATAACCTCTATCCTACACACAAAATTTTCAAGTCTGCTAACTCACAAACAAAACCAGATTCTTTTCAGTCGCACATTAAAACCCTCCATTAAGAGTCACACTGCCATGTCTTGCGTGAGCTTTGTCTTTAGCCTCTGCTGCCAAGTGCTCTTGGATTTCTCTCGTATTTAGCTTTTCAATCCTCTTTATTAGAAAAAAAAAAAAAAAAGACAATATGGTCATGAATTGAAAAATTCATCGGTCAGCCCATATCTATATTTTATAAAATGTAGTGGTTTAAAAATTCTGCTTTTTTTACTAAGCAGCTACCGTAAAATCCCAAGAGAGAGCCCATCTAACATCGAGAGCAAATCGGGGGAAAATACGGAGTGGGCTAACTTTCAGTGTACGATCGAAAAAGTAAAAAAAAATTGCTATTTTTAGGTCGTGCCCCCAAGCTTGTTATGGTGGCGAGGGGAAACAAAGTAAAGATGATAGTACTTCGCAGTAAGCAATGCTTGCTTATATCCTGCCACAGCTAACTAGCCACATTTTACACCGAGGCCATCATTGATCACAACACTACTAGGAGTGGGCTACCTTTCTGTGTTTAAAAAGATATAGCAAATCAAGCGAAAAATAGGGATGGGCTATCTTTCGGGGGTGGGGCATCTCGGGATTGTGCGGTAATCTGCTCCAGTTTGAACAAAACAGTCACACAAAAGAAAAACTTCAGTCATTGGAGACTGCTGATGAACACAAATTGCCCAAGGCTAAGAAATCGCCAGGCACCGTTGCTGCCACAAAATAAGAGTGGGCTCTTCTACAAGTCAGCGACATGCCAAGAAAAAATGCTCGTGGCCTTTCACCGGGCTCTGGCTGCGCACGCGATGAATTGTTATCCAAGGCAGGAAGTTTGCAATGAAGGCCAAACATCTGTTATGTCTTTAACCTGTCATTTACCATCGACCAGAAAAATGGCTACCGAGGGAGGCCAAACTGACATGAGTAAATACAGAAAAACCCCTCCAATCCTAATGATGCAAACTTACTGTCAAACATAACAGCACGTTCGAGTCAAGAGAAATGTCCATCATTGACGGTCACACTTCACTATGCTCTGATCGCTATTAGGATGAAGCTCGCAGTGCAGCGTTAGTATGGGGAAGAAGGGTGATCATGTGGCGAAAGACGTAAGAGTGGTCCAACAGCTACGTAGCTTCAACCATACTGTCAGCTTAAGGGGGAATAGATTGTAGCCTCATTCTCAAAGGCCTTCTCGAGACCGAGCTCACCCTGCACAGCCGGTACTTTGGCTCAAACTTCTTGGCGAAGTCCAGTGTGTCGTAGATGAGGGCAAAGCCGGAGGTCTTGCCACCTCCGAACTGGGTCCTGAAGCCGAAGCAGAACACCACATCCGGGGTGGTGTTGTACATGGCGCTCAGCTTCTCCCGAACTTCGGTCTTGGAGACGGTGCCCCGGTTCGGGTGGATGATGTCCACCACCTGCGAGGCACCACATAACACAGAAATCCATCACGCGCCCCAGTGATGCACACGCGATTATTAAGTGCCCCTACAGCGAGCAATTTGCTCAACGAGTGTCTATGAAACGTCAGTGTCGACGAAGCACGTCTACAAAACTTGTATCCGCGAAAAGTTGTCCATGAAACGCGTTTCCACGAAATACTGGGAGAATAGGAGTCTCTATTTTACCGGCAGTTGGCACATGATTTTATACGGTCGATGAGAGGCAACTGCCGGTAGAATTTCGGGAAATATTCTCCCGGCCGCCAGGAAAATAGACGCTGCCAACGTTTTTTGACAGTGGTAGAAAAAGAAATGGACACCGTCCCTGTACTCGGCTATACTTCGTTTCAGCTTCCGTCCGAGCGCAGCCAAAGCTACGTGCGGCCGGAGCCAATCACATGCCGGCAATAGGTCACGCGATCTCGCCTGCACTTTTGTATCACTCCGCTGCGCCGCCGGTCGGCCGCGCCGCCCGCGCTCGCCGAGTATTTCGTCTGCTACGGGTGTATCAATGATATCGTCTGCTACAGGATTAAAAAGTGCCCTTTCACGTTCTGAAACTTAGTCACAGGCGATGTCGGTACGTAGTTTCGAGTTGTAAGTACACGTTGCAAGGTCCCCGATGACCCGGCCGTTGATGTTTCCTTGTATTGTTTGGATATACCAGGGATCGAGGCGCAGTCCTTTCCACAACTTCTCGGCGTTCAATGTGATCGGCAGGTAAAGGGGTTCCCTGATTTCGCCGTGTATCTGAATTGCAGTGGCCCGAACGTTTTGCTTGTTTACAACGCGTCGGTACGACGCGGCCGGAGTCTCCTGCCGAATTTGAAAGTAGACATTCATCACGACTTCTCGCGCCTGACGCCCAAAGGTGCCTTTGCGAAAGGACGTTTTGAAGCGACTCGGTGAGGAAAGCAGCGAAGCACATGATTCGGCGATTACGGGAACGAAATCACACAGAAAAACCGAGCGCTGCAGCCGTGTTGCCAGCGGATATACATGTTTTCACCAAACCACATGCATTTACGTATATTAATAAAATAATAAACTTCAAAGATTTGATTCCTTTAGTTGCAAATCATTCTCAGCAGTACACATCTGGAACATTGTGCAGTTTTTACGCACAAAGCAGCTATTTTAAAAGAAATTACTTTTGTGAACTACTTTGTGGTGCGTAGGAATGCTCTTCTCGAAGTTGCGAACCGTCCCTCAGCCTTTGGCTGCGCTCGGACGGAAGCTGAAACGAAGTATAATAAGATCGTGTGCGTCGCACTCAATACAAATTAGGTCTGCAGACATTTTCTTTGCTGCTTATTTAACAGCCAGTAACTTGCAGCTGTCTGCGACAAACGAGGATTATCTGCGAAACGTGACCGATGGTTCGGTTGACTCCGGTGCACATGGGCACGTCCCATGTGTCCCGAAAGGCAAATATCAGTCTTTCCGGAGGAATATATGAAAATAATATGAAGCCACGGCTTGCCAGTGTTCGTGAGCGACGGCAGCACACTGGTTAGCCAACGTGTTTGAAACTATCGCATAAGCCGCGAGCTTTCACGGGAAATGCGTCTGAACGCCTACAATCAGCGCTCTGGAAGCTTGGCAGTGCGTAAAGCAGATGATACCACCACTTACCATTTGTTTCCTGCATAGCAGGCGGTTGGTCATGTATTTCCTGGTCCGCACAGTGACTGAGGAGTCCGCCTGTGGTAGAATTTTGAAAGGAAACACGTTGAGACACCGGCAGACATAGCCCGGAATTCTTCGCGTCGCGAACACACGGAACCACACGAAACTAAAGGCCCTAAGATATAAACGAGTACATTCATAACAAAATTAAACGATCAGTCTTCTCCTTTGGTAATGGAATAACTGTATATAATTTTATTATGAATTCATGCATCAAACAAATTAGAAACACTCAAACAAGGTGTACTGAGCGTGCGACAACGCTTACAATAATGCGACTGGTTTAGACAAATAAATTGCCAACATCTTCGTCAAACACAAGTGCATTAATAAAATGGTCTTTGAGCTTAACTCTTAATGCAGTTTCGTGTATAATACTCTTATAATAACGTGGATTAATTCGGATTTTTAACGCAAACACCACTCACCATTTTCGGCTTTGCGACGAAGGGCGCCTAAAGAGGGAGCTGCAGTTTTCCAGCGCGCTGAGTTTGAGAGTAACTAGCGACTTCCGGCGCTACTGACTTCCGTCAACCTACGGGCTCCGTTCGAGAGTATGTTTTTATTTACGTGGTATTGCGCTTGCTGTAGCGTTTTTCGGGTCAAATTTCTCATTCATTCACGTATTGATCGGCTGTTGTCTCACAGTGTCAGGTCAGCCTTATGCCCGGTTCTACTACGTCTCACTATTTGACGGCAGGGCTAGAACGGGCGCATGACGTGAATATGAGTGCGGCCGATTAAGGTTCCCGCGTCAGGTGGTGACTGTCCCTGTCTTTGCTTACTATCCAGTTTTGAGTATCTTCGAGCCACCTTCGGGGATCAACAAAGAAACCAACTGTTCCAGCAACGACCAGAATGTGCGTCGCGAAACTTTAGTTCTTTGCACAAAATGAGCAATGTTTCAGGACCGAGCAAAAAGCGCTTGAAGCAGTCCAGCTTACTCGAGTTCGTCTCGAGAATGAGGGAATCCCGCGAGAGCTCCGCCGAAGGTACGTATTCGACGTCTCTGGAGGCACGCATTCCACTGTGTTTGATCGCTGTCTGCTTTACACTTCTTCCCAAATTATTTTATAGGCATGGATTCCGAAAGTGAGAACCAAACGTCGCACGAGAAGAACGTTTCAGCAACTGTGGACAGCAATACCAGTGAATCACCACTCGGTGAATCGGCGCTCTCGCAGACGGAACGCCTCGAATGCATCGAAACAAACAATAGCCAATCAACCGAAGTCGACCTGTCGCAGGATCTTTTCCCAGAGTATGTAATTATGATTGACGTGCCTTTGTGATCTCACGAGTTATGCCGATGGAAAACGCTGCAGTGTACCAAGCCTCTATCACTTTTTTCTTTTTAAATATAGACTGGGAATTTCGTCTCCCAAAGAGACCTCGCAAGCTTGCTCGCAGGGCTCTTCACAAGGGTCATCTCATTCTTCAAGTTCTGAAGAAGCTGCCGCTGATGTGAGCGATGCCCTGTTTGGTTACTTATTTTTTATATATTTATTTATTTACCCCATAGAACCCTTAAAGCATTACATAAGGGAAAATGCATGAAAGTATTAACACATTGTCAAGTGTTACAGGAGAGTTCTGCTCAGCCGAGGGTCGGCTGAGTGTTTAGCGCAATGTTTTGAGGTACAGTCGGGTCCAAAAATCTCCAGGACACGTGAGCTGCGACTGAAATGCGTTGCTCTGCGATCTGCCGGCAGGTCGCCTGGTTTCAAGATCACAGAAAAGCGCATGCGCGTCCTAATGTGCCTGCCAACATGTGCGCTTCCCGCTCTTCTGCGGTGCGGCGCCTAACTCGGAAACGGGCACCTGGTACCGCCGCGAAGATGGCGCGATGAAGCAAACAGTGCCAGCAGCTGAACTGGTTATAAAGCAAGGTGCGCTGACATGGCGAAATGCGGCGCAATGCCTCAGGCGGTATCTCGAGTTTCGGAATGTGTAGCAGACGCTCATCAGCCGCCAACGCTATCTCCGAGGCGGTACGACGTGCCCGATTCCTAGTTCGGTGCTGTGCTGCAGAAGAGCAGGAAAACACACATGTTTGCAGGCAGAGTAGGACGTGCAAGCGCTTTTGTGTGATCTCATAACCAGGCGACCCGCCGGCAGATGGCAGAGCAATGCGTTTCAGTCGCAGCTGGCATGTCCTGGGGACTTTTGTCCCTGACTGTACTTTTGAAATGCTTGCCAAGCGCTACGTGATCATCACAATTAGTGGGCATTTTTGGAGCACTACGGCTGGCGGCTTGTGGGCTTTTAAATCCTTTCATTGAGCCCTAGCATTCATTACTTGTCATAAGAGAGTTGAGGCTGCTTTTCTCTAACATTTACTTCTCCTCTATTGGTTGTTGGATTTCGCACCCTACTGTCATTTTCCGCATCACTCGACAATATTCTATGCAATTTGCAGAGTTTGGACGCTTATTTAGGTACCTGAAATTACTTACCTTATAGCACTTGCAGCATTTGACATTTAGTGATATTTCATGGTTCACCGAAGCTATAGAGAGAAAACAAAAAGAGCCCCAGAAAATGGTGTCTGTTCCTTGGAGAAGTATGTTGTTTTGTTTTAGTCTGGCTGCGTTACGATCACAATCTTTCATGCTTGAACAGGACGGCTGCATTCCGTCGAGCTTCAAGCGAACTCCAGAATGTGGTGTCGTACTCCCTGCCCTCACAAGCAATCACACGGTTTTCTGCAAGGTAAGTAGTTCCACTCTTGCCACTTTTTAAAGGGCTAGATGCCAAAACATGACCAGCTAGAATCCCGGGGGATGAGGGCCTTCCAAAAATGCAATGCCTTCCTCCCCCTTTTTAAAAAAAGAAAAAAAAGAACTTGAGCTACATGCTGATATGCTTCATGCCACATCGGAAGAATGTTTCCTGGTTGCAGTACGCACCTTTGCAGTCCCTGTTCAAAGAAAGTGTTGACCTTGTTTACATGTGACGTTGTACAATCCTCGCTGCCATCCGTATCTTTCCCTGCTGCATTTACTCCTCTTAGCACCGACACCCCTTCGTTGCATCTTTTCGTCGCCCGTTCTCTGCAGCTAGTGCTTCGTGTTGCTTCTAGCTGCTTCTATTTTCATTGCGCCAAACGTTTTTTCCTATAGTCGGTGGCAAAATGGGTACAACAAGAAGTCTTTCAGTTGCCTCGCCTCCAGCGCTTCAGCGCCAGGCATCAAGCGCATGCTGGAGGCCGGGCGTTCAGAAAAGAGATGCCTTGCCGTTCTCTTCCTGTTGACGCTAATAGTTGAAGGTAGTTAAGCCACGCTTGTCTGTTCTTATCTTGCTCTACATAGCAGCAGCGCCCTTTGCTTTTTGTCCGTGCTTGTCAAAATGTCCCTGCTGAAAGGGAGTATCGCCTTATGCCACATAGTTTTGTTGTGTGCGCCAACAATCTGCATATGGCCGTTTGCGACGCAGGCATCTAGCTAAGTACGTGCCATTTTGAAAGTGGGTCATAAACATAAAGGAGAACCAGCTAGGGCTCGAGGGCCGGTGAGCAACGGGGGTCATCGCTGATGTTGTGCGGCCTCTTCTCCGAAGTTCCCAAAATGTGCATTTAACATTACAGTAAGCATGTGAGAGACATATTCATCTTTTCTTGTTACCTTATGATTTCTTGCGCACTCAAAACCCATAATGAAAAAGGGTGATCTATTTCTTTAAGTGACAGTGCTTCAATAACTAGAGGATGTCCACAATATCTTTGAATGCTTATACAGTGGACTCCCATTAAACGAAACTCGCTTAAACGAAACTCTAAAGGTTGTCTCGGTTGGTTTCCTATGTATTTAATGACAATTTCTTCGGGTAATCGGAACCCCCTTTTTTGCTTGTTTCGGTTAAACAGGACCAAAACCGAAACTACTGATGGCAACCGCGGACATCAGAAATTGCTACAGCAGTCTCACAACCATGGAGTACGCAATAGCGAAGACGGAGGACACTTTAAAAGAGGAAGGGGTTGTGTTAGAACAAAATTTATACAAATACGTATTAAAAAAAGAAAGGGAGGACGGAATGTTAGGCTAGGTGGCGCAAGGTGTTGCCCGTTACAAAGGGTACATTACCATCCATCCATTCATCCAACCAAGCCATTATGACAAGGCAATCCAATACAGTGCTTCTACCGCCATTAGGGTTAGCGCCTCGTCTTGAACTTATTGCAGGTCACGTTTACCATAGAGTTGGCAAAACGTCAGTCGTTCCTGTCAGCGTCTGCTTGCCGTGTTGTGGTGGAAGTGGTAAAAACAACCGCACCAAGCAATTTCACTTGCTACGAAAATGAAGATCCTTCAAGAGCTGGATCGTGGTGACCTCTCGAAGACTGAAATCGTAAAGAAGTTCGATATCCCGAAGTCTACACTCTCAAGGATATCAAAGGACAAAGAAAAGATTCAAGACGTTGTATAGCGCGGAAGCTTTGCCACCGACCGAAGGCGGATGCGGAAGACGTCTTTTGAAGAAATAGAGAACGTCCTTTTTCTCTGGTTTAAGCGCGCGCGAAGTGCTAATTTCCAGATCAGAGGCCCCATCCTCGAAGAAAAGGCTGGAGAGATTGCGCCTCAGATGGGAATTGACAACTTCAAGATGAGCAACGTTTGGCTCAGCCGTTTTAAAAAGCGGCATGGCCTAGTCTTTAAGACTATTTCTGGGGTAAGTGCAGCAGTCAACAAAAACCTTTGTAGCAACTGGCAACAGGGGCGGTTGCAAGAAATTCTGCAAACCTTCGAAGCACGAGATGTGTACAACGTCAACGAGCTGGGACTGTTCTACAAGGCGCTCCTAACCAAGACCCTCATCTTCAAAGGGGAAACCTGTACTGGTGGTAAGCAAAGTAAAGAGCGCATCACAGTGCTGGTAGGTGCCAACATGGACGGCAGTGATAAGTTAAGGCCGGTGGTTGTGGGAAAATCGCAAAATCCTCGTTGTTTCAAGTGTGTGGTACTGCAAAGTCGAAGAAAGCAGAGCGTGGAAAACTATGAGGACAAAAGAAGCAGCAGGGCAGCGTATCCAGTGGGCGCCGCTCCTCAATGTGCAGTCAAGGCATTCGGGAGCTGCCCGTCACTTATTATGCAAACGGAAAAGCTTGGGTGACGCAAACGATTTTCGAAACCGGGCTGCGGGAACAGGATGCGAGATTTTCCCGTGAGGGCAGGAAAGTTGTCTTTATTGTAGACAACTGCCCCGCTTATGGTGAAGTGGATGGGCTTGAGTCCGTCGGCCACGAGTTCCTGCCACTGAACGCAACTGCAGTAATCCAGCCAAAGGACCAAAGTGTTATTCAAAACCTGAAAGTGTCCTACCGCCGTCAGCTACTCCACCGAATGCTTCTTTGTGCAGACAGTGGGAAAGACTATAGTGTGAACTTCCTTTCGGCACTGCACATGCTGACCTATGCCTGGGAGTAAGTTAAAGTGTCGACCGTGCAAAGATGCTTTCACCACACAGGCTTCACAAGACAAGAAGTCATTCCCGACGAGGAGTGGGATACTGCTGGGGAATGCTGATGCGGCTGAAGCTGACATCCTTTTTGGTCAGCTGGTCTCTTCCACTTCTTTCACGCGACAAGATTATGAAACGCTAGATGCAAACGTCGCAACGTGTTGTGAAGAGAGCATTGAAGAGCTGGTAGCTGAAGTTCAAGGTGAGGAGGCCTTGAGCTCCAGTGAAGATGACGTGGAATGCAGTGACCCCGGTCCTACTGCAGTGCCAGACTGCACAGTGAGGGAGGCTGTTGCTCTCTTGCAGCGCTACTTTGAGTCTGAAGGCTGTGCGGAATTTCTGCGCAACCTCCAAGGCATGCAACCTACTTCGTCAAAAAGCAATTACAAAATGCAAAACAAACCACCATTACCTCTTTTTTCTAGTCAGCTACATTAGCTGAACAACAGGGTTGTGAAATAAAGTCATATTTCACTCACTTTATGTGCTTTGCTTAAATGAAACTTCTGATAAACGGAACAAATTTTTCTGTCCCTTCGAGTTCCGTTTAAGAGGAGTCCACTGTATAATCCACAAAGTGAAGGTTCTGCCAGCATAATGAATTGAACAAATTGAAAAGATTGCCTACCACATGAGAAGGTACAAAGACGAGTAAAAGGCAAATGGTGACAAAAGGAGTCCGACCTGAACGTTGTGTTTTATTCCCGTCCTCATCCCTCTCCATGTGGCAGGTAAGTTTTTCCATATGTTGAGTGGTCCTCTTTTAGTGTTGAAATTTTACAGCGACAGTCTGGCCAATTATTTTTATGTCTAGCACTGGCTAGGCTCACTAGAGTCTTTAAGCTAATATCCTTAAAGCCATAATTTTAATGTTTTAAAAATGAATGCTCTTGCATTATTTTGGTTTACCTTTGAATGAAAATAAGGGGTGCACTAACTTTACAATAATTGTGTTGTGTGTATTTTAGACAGCCGGAAGTTAGTCAGCCTCAATGGGCATCTGGTGTCTCAGCTGTGGACAAGCATTTTGGCCAGTGCAGCACAGTCGCTAGCCTGGGGTCTTTAACGTGCACGATGCAGTAGTGATACACGGCTGCACGCTGGAACAGTGCTCATTCGGATTGAAATGGGCAGGGGTGGACATTGAATCCAGGATCCCTGGGTTCTGCAGCACAAGTTTTTGCTCCACACACCCCCAGCTGTGATGCGTTAACACAGGCATTCATCTCACCTTCAAAAAGAGAAAGTGAAAGAGTTTGAAGGGTGCATCGTTTTTGTCGACTAGCAACTACCTGATGAGCTAAGTCAAATGAAAGACCCGCAACCGAGATGCTGTTTGCCACCCACCGAAAGGATACTGTCTTTTGGGGCAGACCTTAGTCACATCTCTCACTTTTTCGTGCCTCGTCTTCCTTGCGTGGAGACAATCCTAATTGTTTTCATGCCTTTTCTCTCGCGTGCGAAAGAACATGTTTTGGTTCACTTGCTTGCCGTATTGTACTAGTTGTACACTGTTGGTAATTTACTAGCAGTGATGGAATACACAAACAATATAAAATGTTAGTTGTGCCGAGTCAATAACAGTACCAAGTGCAGAGAATAAATGGAGGAATGAAAGGTGTGTATGCAACTGTAATACTGTACTAGGTAGTTCTACATTCTTGTATTGGGAAAAAACAAAAAAATGTGAAGCTCTGCTAGTAGTGAAAATGTTTGCTCCACATACTCTCTCACCATAAGTACTTCTTCAATAGGTACATCCTTAGTGGGAAACTGGCTGGCATGTAATCTTGAAGTGAAGGATTACTTTGTATTGCATGCGCAAACACACACACACCTAGTAACTTTGTAAGTTAGCTACTGTGGCAATGACTATCACATAATGTAGTATGCGAGTTTTGAGCAGCATTTAATCGTTTGAGCATAGCATCGTGTTTGATTAAGCCAGTTTTGAGTTCTTTTATCATGCAGTGGCAGTTGGCTCGTATTGTTGTGTACCATTATTGGGTTGCCTTTACCGGCAACTGCGGTGGCTCTCTTCAGTAAACGGGACGTGTTGCTTTTCGACAGATGGTGCCAAGTGAAAACGGTGCTCTCAGACCAGATCCAACGACACCCTACCCAGAGACGCTTGTGGATAAGTGGGATGGATCCCACGTCCGGATGCCTTGCTCTTCGCAGAGTGTCTACCCGGTTGAAGACCCGGTGAGGCTGAGTGCTTCTCCTTTCTTTTTCCACTCATTTTTGTGTTAGTTATACAAAATCCTAAATACTGACATATACAGTGTTTCTTTTTAGTGTGTCCAGAATTTAAAAAAAAAGAAAACTTGCATTATGGTTCTTTTAGACCTGATTCTAAGTTGGGGACCTTGGGGCCCACCAGTAAAGAGGCTTACTAAGTTAATTAGTTGGCTAATTAACATCATTAATTCTTTTTTTTTTTTGTCGAGGGGGAGGCATAACGTGATTGGAGAATTGATGTTCGACCTTTATATTGTGTAGATGTGCAGGCTTCAAACCGAGCATGGCTTTGAAGCCGTGTACATTTCTCACCCTGTAGCATCCACTGCAAATTTTTAATAAATTTAATAAAAATGTTACGTCATGGCTAGATTGTAACAAGGTTGAGCATCACTTCTCCTACTTCTTACATTGTACCGTCAAACTTTTTACAGCGGAGCTGTTAAGGGCGATTTTCCCCAGTTTCGTGTCCGGTACCAAACAAATGTCAACACAAAACGGCACAAAACTCTGGACAGCTACTGCCATCTATGAGCGACAACAGTGACCTTTCCAGCTATCAAAAGATTGGATAATTGGGCAAGTTGGTGGGAATTCATCGTAGGAAACAGCGCGAAAAACAGACAAGTGTGAAGAAGAAACACACGTGACAAGCGCAACGCTCGTCCCATGCGTTTCTTCTTCGTCCTCATCTGTTTGACGCGCTGTTTCCTATGTTCTTATCAATTGCGGTTTGGACTCGCGATGGGTAGGCTGCGTCCCCTTTCTTCGGGTAAAGAAGACCGGGTGCAGAAGGAGTGGCAACGGACACAGCAGAACGAATGGGTCCACAACCGCTGCGAAGCCGCTGTCGCCTCGAGTTCCACTGCGTCCAGCGCTTCAGATTCCCTTGCGAAAGAAGAGCAGATCCAAGGGTGGAACGGCTGCGCCATTTGCGCCATTTTGCGCCAGATGCATTTGTCTGCGCCATCCTGCGCCATTTTGCGGAAACTGCACCACTGCCAATAGCTTGCGCCATTATGCGCCAAATCGCACAACGTGCGCCCAAAGAAATTGTATTTTGTCTTGGTTTCGGTTTCTATCGACTCGACTGGCAACAATGAGCACGTTTAGCTTGGTCGGCCCTGCAATCCTTTGTTCTGTTTATTCTCCCTATGTATCTCGAGTCGGAAGCGCGCCTAAAAACTCGGGGGTCGGATTCCAAGCGCTACACCACCTGCATGCGACTGGATTGTTATTCTTCAACCATCAGTGATTAAGCAAGTCGGCCGAGGTGAGGTCGAGTCGTTAAGCGTCAGATTGCCTGAGGCTCTGCGGCCCGGGATCCAGAAGTCAACCAGTGGAAAAAAAATGAGCAAAAGATTCTGTTTACTACTTAATCGTTATAAGTTGGAACCGCATTCCCGCAAGATAAATTGTGATTTGATAGAACTGGAAACGCTGTCCGATCCGAAATTTTGCCGTCCAGCAGCTCTCACGCGAGCGGTAGATCTGCTCGGCGTACTTTAACCTTGCTCTTGTTAATCGCTTTGAATACAATAACTCTGTTAATCGTAGTCTGCTGCTTCGATATTGAGTTGCACAATAGGATAAACTCGAAATTTGTTGCCCTGTTCCTCCACGCAGCTGCACGTCCGTTGGTTACGCATGTCACGTGGTTCGCACATATAATTACTATGTCGAGCACGTGAGTTGTGCGATAAGCAGTGCTGGTTTGCATCTTGAGCAGCTGAAAGCCACTCAGAAAATATCAAGTACATTATCTTCAGAAACGTATGGTACTTGCGTTTTGGCTCTCATTAAGGCTCACAAAGTTCCAAGTTTTCGCATCTGTTACACTGTTATGTGTTATCCCATCTACCTAGGTTCCTAACCTCTCATGTTCATCTGTGCTGCTAAGCACTATTGAAATTGCTCCTGTGCTCGTCTAAGACACAAGCTGAAGTGCAATGAAAACTGATCTGAGCTGCTCCTAGCCTGCTCCAGAATGTAGTTTTAGCTGCTCCCAACCTGCTCCAAAACAGCGGTTTCAGCTGCTCCCGTGACTGCTCCCAAATACATTTGATGAGTTCCACCCCTGAGATCGCTTGCCTGGAAAGCCGCTTACCATAGTACAGCTTCACTGGCCTTGCTTCTTCACCAGAGAGGAAAGGCCAACAGTTTTTTTTATTAATTAGCTATTTCATTAAATCTAAATTGGCCGAATTGGCCCCTTCATTTATTTACACGCCTGGAACAAGTAGTAGCTGGACTGGGAGCTCTGCCGTTGATAAAAGGAGTCGGATGGTATCGATGTTCCCTCTCGAGCCAGCCAGCCTCGAGTAGTGAGTACCCATGCGGCACGCGCTGCTAACGTGGCTCGTTTGACAAGCCACATTGTTATTGTCGTCGCTGCTTAGCCGCTACAAATCTTTTCTAGTGGCGACCTTGGTGTGCCCAACTTAGCCCCAGGACCAACATACCCCAAAACAAGCTCTCTTTTTTTGCTGGGCACACTAAAAAAACATTTTGTATACTAGATGCTGGTTGAATAAAGTTATACACTGATGCAAGACCTGACCAGTTATTTTGATTCTCTCCCTAGGCTAACGGCATGTCTCTCAAAAGTCGTTGGTGGCTAATAGAAAGATCCCTTATGTCACCCATCGACAACTCTCGGGATTTAGCGGTAAGAAACGTGCATTTTATTCTCATGATTTTATAACGCAACAATGTTTAGGAGCTTGTGTCCCGGAAAATCCGGCGTCAGTAAGACCAAAAATTTTCATTATGCAACGCGCACAGTTACGTGTGACGTCACACGTTGCTGTGACATCGTGACCCTGTCGACCTGCAAAACTTGGCAAAAAAATTTTCTGTTAAATTTAACAAAAAATTTTTCTGCCAAGTTTGGCAAAAAGTTTTCCCACCAAATTTAATGGAAAATTTTCTTCTTGCCATATTTAGCAGAAAATTTTTCCGCCAAATTTGGCAGGAAGTTTTTCGCTAAATTTAGCGGGTCGGTGGGGTCATACGTCACAGCCAAGTGTAACGTCACGTGACACAGCATCCCGTGATACGACGTCACGTGACACGTGGCGCTACCAACTAGACCACGCACACATATTTGTATGGCTTGTGAACAAGCACAGGTTTATAGGAGAAGGCTTTGCATCCCCCAAGTTTTTCTTAGTTGTGGCAGGATTGTTGTCTTCGAGCTGGGATGTTTTATGCCTTTTAAGAATTCCATTAAAAGAGTAAGTAACCTGATTTTCACCTTTATGTAGCTGTACAAGCTTTTAGTGGGTGTTGGAAGGTGAATTTGACTTTCAATAATGCTAGCTAGAACTTGGTTTTTGGTAAACGAGATGATTTTATGATGCTTCTTGTTTAAAGCTTTGATGCTACGCAGATTGAAACTAAGCTGTCAGTAGGGAAGAAAACAGTGGTAATAGGACAGTTGTTTTCACCCTGACTTGATGCTTCTAAATTACTGTTAAGCATTTGAGAAATTATGCAACGCACTCCGCTCGTGATGTCTCTGGCCTTGGGGTATCTAAACAAAGAAGCATTTTAGGAAGTAATCATACTAAATCCTAATTTGGTTGTTTTATATTTCCAATTAAATATTTTAGTTAGGTTGAGGCTAATTTCTTATAACTCTCATTTTGTCGAAATTGGAGCATGCAGCTCTTCTGTTTGGGAGCCTTGTCTCAAATCACTTATTTTAGAATTTAAAATATAAGTTCAAAACTATGTGTCTCATTTCATAGTTTCAAACTCTCACTGCGTCAATAGTTTAATCTGCGTGAAAGTGAGAGGGTTACCTATCACCTCTTTTACATTCTAGAAAAACATTTCGTCCGTGCTTATTTCGGAAGGTATATCGTAGAAATTTGTTCCTGTAACAAAAGTTACCAGCACTTTATGTTGAAGCATGTATCGATCACCACCATGAATTAAACTTTTATCATGTCGCAAAAAAACATTTCAATAGTTATTCCTTTTCGGCAGCTGTGCAAGTTGGAATAGCCTTCTCACAGTCATAGGCAAAATTTCCCGAAAGCATGAGTTTTTAAATTGCTGTTTAACCATTATTGTATTAACTCTTTATATTTTGTATTATGCTCTATTCTCACTATATTTTTTACATATTTAATATTATGCAACCCACTCCACTCGTAATGTCCCTGGCATTGGGGTATTTAAATAAATAAAGTCTCACCATGCTCTAAATTTTGTATTGCTTGTCAGCATACATCTCTCACATTATGTTATATATAGGGTTCGGAGTTTTCGGTTTAAACCGATAAAAACCGATAAAAGTACGCCGAATCTATTTTCGTAAATTTGGTTTTAACCGAAAAAGGTCCGTTTATAGGTTCGGCATTTTCGGTTTAAACCGATAAAAGTATGTCTAATTCATTTTCTAAAATTCAGTTTGAAGCGAAAAAGGTCACTTTGACTTTCCCGTCGTACCGCAGAGCCGTGGCGAAAAAGTGGAACGACAGTTTCTAACGAAACGTGTCCGAATGTATGGGATACACGGATGCCATTATGACGTTTTGGTTTAATGTGATCATCGATCGGACCGTGAAGTTCGAAATGCCCCCTTACTTCACCATGTACGAGCATGTTTTCGAACTCGTTCTAAGGGAGACTGGCTTAATGGAAGCACTGCATGTTGTGTTGTGCTTCAAAACGTCTCAGTGTGTCTCTTTTTGGCGGTCACAATTGGTTGATTGGTCGATTTTGGCTCAGGCAGTGCTTCTTCTCCTCAGCCTGCCAGTGTCCAGTGTTAGCGTTGAGAGGGCATTCTCGAAGCTCAGGGCCATATTAACAGGAAAGAAATAGTGCGGATCAGCGAGGAGAACCTGGGAAAGTACATCTGTGTACACTATAATAAGATCACATAATCCTGATGTACAGAAGGTGAAGTTCCATGTTTTTTCGGCATAGGCTTCGTATCTGACTTGTTTGTGCTTCTGAGTTTTTTTTGTTTTTTTTTTCTTTTACAGTTGCACACATTTTCCAAATAAAGTGTCCATTTATGCCGTTATTCTTTGAGTGATCACAAATATCAGAGCTAGAAGGATCTATATCTGATCCAGTGTCCGTTGGTGTTTCTTTCACATCCACCGAAAAAAGCTGATAAACTATTTTGGACATAAATATACGCCGAAAAAAAACTAAAATTGATTTTTGAAATAAACACAGAAAAAAGTACGCCGAATTTTGAAAAAATAGAAACCGAAAACGCGGAACTTTAGTTATACAGTCAAACCTCGATATAACGAACTTCAATGTAACGAAATCCTCGATTTAACGAAGTATTTTATTTTTCATAATTTCTTGCCCATAGACCCCATGTATTTTTAGTCTCTATATAACGAAGTCTATTTTGCTGCTATTTCAATATAACGAAGCCCCATTGCCATAGAAGGCAATAAATAAATCAACTCTAAAAAACAACTTCGCAAAAAAATTGTGGTTAAAAAAAAATTATGCGCAAACGCGAGCGCTTGATAGGTTACTTCACGGGGACAGGCCTTCCAACGTTCCTAGGCTGCCCGAGGATGCGGCGCCGGTAGCGCCGGCGAGGCATGCGGCAAAGCGGATTCCGCGGGGCTGGCCAGAAAATGCCGAGCAAAAAGTTAACACGGCATAACAGCATCACCACTGACATTCACTGATCATCATAGTTTACTGTACCGCGGGTAGCGCGGGAGCCAACTTCGGCGGGGGAGCGACGTGATGGCGCGACCGCGCGACCGCACGGGCAGTGCCATCTAGGGGAAGACCGATTATCGACTTGCCATCTAGGAGAAGACCGATTATCGTCTTGCGCAAGCACACTGTGGGCGCAAGGGGCGCAAGAGGGCAAGTAAACTTGAGTAAACTGTGCGGTCAAGAGTGCTGTGTAGGTTGGAAACATTGGCACCGCCTAAACTAAACAGCTTAATTTTTCAACCGGGTGGTTCACTCACGTGCTTGCTGCCATAAGGAAACGTAAAGTTCTTTCTTTGGATGAGAAAGCAAACGTTTTGGACGCCATCCTGAAGAAACTGCCGAGATCACGAGCACTCGGAAGTGCTCGACGCAATGGACGTACTGAGGAGGTACATGGCGTCGCATGGGCAGCGAGATGCCGTGCAAGCGCTCTGGGCGCTCGAACGCCGTATGACGCCGCTGCTACTGTCGGACAACGCGCAAGCAAAACTCGCGGAGTACTTTGCCCCAAAATAAATGTCATTTTCGGCGAGTTTTCATACCCGTAAAATGTTTCGGAATTTTTTTTTTCGCATGCTAAAGCCAAATTTCGATTTAGCGAAATTTCAATGTAACGAAGTAAATTGCGAATTTTACCGACTTCGTTACATCGAGGTTTAACTGTATACTATAGGAAACAATGTTGAGGGGGGAAATTCTTCCTCTATGTCATAAAATGTGTATCTATGCGCAAATATTTTTCATAAGCCAAGCAGACTTACCTACCATAATATCCCGAAAGATAACCCACCCCTATTTTAACATGATTTTTTTTTCTCCAAATTTTTGAAAGACAGTTTATTTCTAGAAATTGCAGTTTCGGCCGATGGTGACCTCGGCTATGATGGAGTTAGTTAGCTATGATGGGAGATAAGCTAACGCAGCTGACTGGAAAGGACAGTTGTCTATGCTCTTTGCAAGGGGGGACCCTAAAAAACTGGAATTTATTTTTATAAGGTTATTTATTTAATTTTACTCCTTCAGATTTTAGTCACCTTCACAGTGCACTCTGCCCAATGCAATACTCTTGTCATGACATTTCTTGCACTGCTAAAGATACCCCTTAACCATTTGCCTACCGCAAAAATTTTGAAAAAACGATTTGAAAATATCAAATTTTTTATGTGCCCTAAAAATTCAATATGCAATACAAAGGCCAAAAACAAATGCCAAAATATTTATTATATGAGAAATCTTTAAACACACTGCAAAAGAAAAAGGGACTAAAGTTCCACTTCACTGCATTACCGCAGACAGTTCACATCACTTTGCTCATGGACGTTCAGGCCGGGCGTAGCAGTACTGCAGACAGTTTGCATCACATAGCACGCAAAGTGAACGCAATATGTGGAGGGGCTGGAGAGAGATTTTCTGCATTTATTCTAGTCTATGCCGACACGTCGACGGGATGTCCTCATCGAAATCGGAGACGTCTGAGCTCAAATCTAATAACTCAGTTGCATCGCTCTCGCTGTTCGATGAAAGAAACATTTCCTCGTCTTCTGAATCTGAAGAGACGTCACAATATCTTCATTTTCGCCCCAATTTTGAGGCAAGATCGTATCTATGAACGCAGCGACCAGAAGTTGACGTCGCCATTTTTAAATCCCCTATTGCCTGCGTTGGAACAATTTTCTGCCAAATTCAGAAATTTACCAGGTTTCTATTTTCCGTGAGGTACCATGTATCCACGGCAAAGCACACTAGAAACACGTGGACTAGCCAAGTTCGTCCATGGTAGCGTAGTGGAGCCCGAATCAACGTGGACGAGCCCAGCTCGTCTTCGGGGGGAGCGGTACAAACAGTGTGGACAAACTCAGGTCGTCCATGGTAGGGAAAGAGTTAAAGAAACACTGAAATGCAAATAAAACATTTTTTAAAAAGCCTAAATGAAACACTTTTTTAAAAAAATTTTAAAATTATTTCGTAATAATAAATAAAAAAGTTAATTTTTTTTTTTTTTTGTGATACATTTACATTAGATGCAATTTAGGTGGAGGTCACGGCCTGCTGTAAGCCCCGTCCACAGATCAGTGGCCCTGCCCATTACTACTGGATTGGCTTGGCTGCATGGCCTAACCCGCTTGCAAGCCTAGTGTCTCTCTGTTGCAACATCTGGTGCATCTAGTCTGGCGTCTGACACCGCCTGCTAGTCGTGTGAGCAGATGAGCGGCAGCCTCTGGCATCTGCTCTTCCTCCACCGTTTCTTGTCGTCTGCAATGCCTGTAAGACACACCTATGAATGCGGCGCCTTAATGTCCACCATCGCCTGTGTCCATCTTCTATTTAACCTCCATCTAAAAACGTCTGCAGCGCTCTCAAAACGGGGCTATGAAAGCGGCGTTCTAGCATTTACCTTGCACGAGCCATGTTCCAATACAAGCGTCTGTCGATGTGCAGCAACTTGTTCCAATACAAACATCTGTCGATGTACAGAAATTTGAATGTAAAAAAATAAATACTCAATTTTGTAAACATAAATTCTGGTTGTGGGGCAAAAAACCATCACCAACAGTTTTTTTGCGTCCCTGTTGTTGAGGGGTTCCGCGTTTTCGGTTTTTATTTTTTCAAAATTCGGTGTACTTTTTTTCGGTGTTGATTTTATAGTATGATTTTCGTTTTTTTTTGGTGTATATTTATTCCCAAAAAGGTTTACCGGTTTTTTCGGTGAATATGAGAGAAACACAATCGGACACCGGATCAGATGATCTTTGTAACTGTGATATTTGTGATCACTCGAAGAATAACGACACATATACATGCGTCGTCTTCGCTACAACATCCGTCAGGACACACCTCAAAATCGCGGAATTCGCGGGCATAATCTTTAGCACGCTTCTTTTTCCTTCTCATTCTGACGACGTGACCGTCTGAGGTGATGACCGTACAATGACCAGTGGAATGGCAAAAATAAAATAAAAATCCATTGTATTTATGTTTTCAACCACAGGGAAGTTTGAGAGAGGGTGTTAAGAAAGGTATTAACGGCTTTCCTCGATGACCTCTGAAGTTCATGAAGCGAAAAACCTTATACTAGCCCACATCCAAACTTTTTTTTTTTTGGACCGGGAACCTGACAGACTAAGCCCGATCACAGAAAGGACACAGATGTCCCGCGAAAGCCAATTCAAGACCTCTTTTGTTGCATGTTGAACCTTGGAAGAGGGCAATTACGAAGGTGTCACAGAATGTCGAACCTTGCAAAGCCCTCCCTCTCTCTCTCTCCCTCCCCTACCCACCGGACTTTTATCAATTTCAACCGAAAACGCCAAACCTGCAAACTGACCTTTTTCGATTAAAACCGAATTTCCGAAACTGGATTCGGCATGCTTTATCGTTTTTTATCGGTTTAAACCGAAAACTTTGAACCCTATTCATAACTTGTAAACATCCAGCGCTATGTTATGGGAGACATTTTGATAACTTTAAGGGTAATAGTAGTATGCTCTATAAAGGGGTATCTGTATTGAACAATGCAGTCAAGGTGTCATTGGGTTGTGTTGTTGTGAGGATGACATTTTTTTACTTTGGTCTTGGGTTTTAACTTAATACTGAATCATAGATAGGTTTCGGTCGCTGCGTTACAGTGGTGATCCAATTTGTCTTTTTCCAGAATGCGATTCTCAGGTACAATGGCCGTTTCTCATCAAGCTGGAACTTCCGGAGCCTTCACAAATTCTTTTCGGAGGTACTGTGATGGATAAAGCTTGACATGTGTAGAGCTTGTCTCTTCTGCAGCCTCTTATCAGAGGCTGGCTTATTAGTTGGAGACAGTGCCACTTCCCATTATTTTAGCCCTGATCTGTTTGGCTGTTTTATTTCATTTTTGTCTAAATATAAGTTGACATAGCTAGGCATAGTCTTTTCTGTTTATTTTCCTGTCACAAAAAAAAACAAACAAAAACAAAACAACTACCAAATTCCAAGAAATGTGAAAACTTTATATAGCCTAACAGAATTACAGATTATGGTTCGTAAGCAGTTCATTTCTTCCTCCTGGAATTGAGATTATGCATATTCTTTAGTGCATGCTTTTGGAAAACATAACAATCTTCTGGTACTAACGTTATTGTCCAGCAAACTAATTATTCTGCTGCAGTAAAATGTTTCCTGTCCCTTTAGGAATTGGACTCTTCAGAAGCAAGAAGCTTCTTCCAGAACCTCCTTCCCAAAATAGCTGCTTTAGCTCTGCAACTGCCCACTCTGATTACTCATGTAAGTGCTGGCAGAGAAAGAGGGTCATTCTTTTTGTTACCAAACAAAAAATGCTGAATTCTTTCCTTGGAGGGCAGCTCTAGCCACAAGCATACCTATTTTGGGGGGATAGAACTTCACATGTTTATGTGCTTTCAATTGCATCACCAGGATGTCATATGCAAGTGATGAAAAATCGTCCTGGGAAGCTGACAGTTCCGCTCTACTTATAACTTCTTCATTGTGTCGCTGTACAGATACCATGACAAAATAAGTAGTTGGATGTCTGACTAGTTTCATACGTTAAAGGTATTCGCAACTCCAATGCCCTATAGGTGGCGGGGCGGTAGTTCCAAGATGGCGGAAGCGACGGGGATAGATTTTCCAGGATATCCCGTGCGCGTAATCGCTGACGCTGTACAGCGCGCTAAAAATGACTTATTTGTCTACAAATGCGAAGCGGTTAGGGAGGGATCATATTACAGGTGATGGAGATGCCGATGCATGTTAGGAAAACGAGCAGGCTGTTACTTAAAAGTAGCAGAAACCTCAAATTGCGAAGCTTTGTGGTCAGCGAGCGCGTTTTAGGCACCGGCCACGTTACTGTTTGTGGCAGAATATTATTGAGGGCGATGAAGATATGTTTGCGCTTTGCTTGGTCATTAGTGCTCTAAAAAGAGAGCCGCGAACGGTGACCGCCAAGCTTCGGAAGAGCAGCAATACACAGTATTGGTGTCTTCGCGTCACAGCCTCTCAGATCGCTGCTCACCGTCTCGGTTTTCATGTATTGCAATACGTAATCAAACTGATCCATGGTTATTGATAGAACGTTTGTTACCACAGACTACCGTGCGGTGTAGCATTACAACCGCAAGGTCGCGCTGCGCTTTTGAAGCACAATTTGCAGTGCGCGCCGTGAGCGTTGCATGCTGATCACTTTAAGAAAAAGATTTTGTGGTTTTTACATTTTTTGTTACATATACGACACTCAAAAAATTCAGTTCGCCGTGTAGCCCTCTGGCGTCAAACTAACGGCCCAAACTTTTACGAGAGGCTTGATGACAGCGCAATATAAGATATTAAACGTCTAAAGTACGCATCAAAGAGTATCGAAATAGAAAAAAACCCAAAAAACACCGAGGTTTTGCAGTAGAGCCAAAAAAACGCCAATTACTTTTTTTTTTTTTTTTTTTGGCGGTCATCTAGACTTTTTTAAGCTATTTTAATAAGTTGCAGAACTCGGCTATCAAGCCGCTCGTGAAAGTTGGTAGCGCCGTTTAAACGTCAGTGCGGTGTATGCCCAACTGGAGTTTAGGGGTGTACGCTATGCAAAAACTGCCTATTAACCTAATCGGCGTGTTTAGAGGTTTTATTCATTGCTCTATCAAAAATAAATATTTTAATATACCGTAACTTTTTTTACCGTGTTATTTGCAATATTGCGGTCCCTCTGGCCAAAACTGCACGTCTAAGCTCTCGTCACGAACGGCTGGCTAACACAGACGCACTTAAAATGCTCCGAGCATTTCTTTATTTGCTTTGTAATTGCCTGAAAGCAAGTATGCAGGTATTCTGTCTTTTTAAAGTGCTTGGATTAAATGGTCATGTTCCTTGTAACTGCCTTAAAACGCGAACCCATTCCCAATTTGTATTGCTCGACATACCGTTGCGCGACGAGTTTTCTCCTACTTATGGCAAAGATAGACTTTCCGTGGACCTACTATAGAGTTCTTCATTATTAGCGTCAGCGTGTTCCGTCACATTGAGCACAGATTGAGCTGGCGGCCATGCACAAGACCAGAAATCTGCAGCATATGCGATACGCGAAAGGTCCCTAATGAAATTAGACATCCCAGTCCTTCGTGCAACGCTGTTGCAAAGCGGAGCACAAGAATTCCTTTTTTAACGCGCTCACTTTTTTCGTTAAAACGGCTTCACGCATGAAAGCCGACAGTCCCTGCCACCGTTTCTGCACCGCCACCGCCGCTGCCGTCCCCGCTCCTCTGGTTCTCCGTTCGTCCACGGGAGGGCGAGCGGCACGCTGGAGTTGCGAATACTAAACAAGTAGGAAGGTTGCAACATGCCTCGCTGGCTTCATAGGCCTAAAACAATTTGTTGCTCTCTTTTTTTCATTGCCATCGGCTACTTTTCAAGACAGAGCACTTAATTGAAAAACATGCCTTTCTGTGCATGGACACACCATGAAATATTGGCCTTCTCCTTTATGCAATAATGTACCTTGAGATAATGGCCTCTTTTGAATTGACCTTCTAAAAACTGATTTTTCATCCAGTAACTTCCCATTATTTGCAGCAGAAGCAGCTTAATACATCCATCATCAAATTATTTCTAGTTTAGTTATAAATATGTCAAACTCAAGCAGAGAAAATTTTTTAATTTTTTTTTTTTGCATAGATTTTAATTCAGGGCTGCAGATGGCTTTTCAAAAACTTTGTGGAGGCTGCCCCTACACTTCAGCTCTCCTGCAGTGCATCTGAGTGTGCAGGGAAGGGCGCTGCTTCAGGGCAATGGGCCTATGTGCTTTGTCAATCACGATTTTGCCTTATTTGGAAGCCATCCTCAACATTTCGGATTGAAACTGAAAGTCGAAAATGTTGGCAGCATGCAGGTGCATGCTGTCTATTAATTGGCTGAAGCTCAACCCTTTAATACTATATAAATTTAGGTTGCACTGTCTATTTTTAATGGCACACTACAGCACCAATAGACTACAAGCATCAGCACTTCTCCATATTTATTTTTTTTCGAACTTGGAAGTAGCAGAATTTTAATGCTCCCCTTGACTAGCATATAGAGTGTGCATGTATGACGGGGGATGCACTATTTTTTAGTTTGAGTGACTCTATGTAATTTTACCGTTCCTCCTTCTGAAATTTGCCGGCTGCAGTGTTGTGTGAATATTCAAATTTTCAAACGGTAATTTGGAGTGATAGGCCGTTTGCTTCGAGCTGAACTGTGATATTCCTACTTTTCGAAGTGTAGATCGCAAAGGGTTAGCCCAGTTGAATGCGCTTCTCACCGAGCACCTGTGCACTGCAGGGTAAGCAACACCCACGGAGCTTGCGGGTTCCTTTGGTATTGCTTTCCGACAGCGCTCAGTGGGAAGTGCATCCTTAAACTGAGACTGCAGCCAATTCCACAAGCATGAGAGCTCGAGGTCGCCGCTTTGAAGCGTTGTTCCGCAGAACAAGCACACGCGCTAGAAATGCACCTCTCAAAGCCAGAAGCGCGGGCTAGTTCGCGCTTGTAACTTTGGCTGCATTCTCAGCGTAAGGGTGAACAGGGTATGTGGACTGCAAGTTCGTCTGCTTCTTTTGCAGGGGTTGTGGTGATGTCAGAACGCGGAGCTCTGATTGGCTTTGATTGAAGGATAGTGGGGAGCCGATCAGAGCGCGGCATTGTGATGTCAACGTAACCCCTGCAAAAAAGCAAACTTACGCTCCGGATAGGCAGCAATGTCTTGACAACCCACCCCCATTCATCATTCGTACTTGTTTCTTTTTTTTTTTTGTGCGTAAAATTTAAAATAGAAGAAAAATTATTCGCATATAGCAAACAGATTTATAAATTCCGTCAATTAGTAAAGTAGCTGCGACAAATCTGTCGTTTACATGCCACAGTTCATATAGTTATATTAAAATTAACTAAGCTAAGAAGTGGGCGAGGGGAGGGTTGAAAACAACCTTCGTGAGTTCAGCTGAATTTTTGTTTAAGCATTGTGCGTGGTAGCGAAAGACAGAAGTTATTCAATATTTGATTAGAAAATGTTTGACCGACACCACTTTTCGCTTCCAATTTGCTTCAAACTCAAAATCCACTATTTGCACATGACTAGCTGACAATTCTTATTCAGAATGTAGAAGGGGGAAGCCCCATTTCATCTCGTTTTACTTTTAGTAAAACCTAATGTCTTGCCAGCAATATTATTGCCTTTCTTTGATTGTTGTCGTGTTATGTAATGAACAAAAAAAGGGTGAGGTGCATTAGCCTCCTTCAGGGGAGGGAGGAGGAGAAGAGTGATGAAACATGAGGATATTATGTTTAGGTGAATGTGTGTAAGAATAGGAAGAAGACTGTTTATTTCACCTTGGGCAGGGTACATTTTTTAGTCTATATCATAATTTTTACTGTTGGCCCTTTTAAGGTTGTTGCAGAAGTGGAGAAATACACATTAATACAAAAGAATAATTTATATGCTTAATGAGCAAAAAAATAATGCAGTAAGGACAGATAAATGAAAAAACAAAAAGAACAACTGCAGTAATGGTATGAATGAATACAGTAAACTCTTGTTAATTCGATCTCGACGGGACCTTGAAATTTGGTCGAGGTATCCGAATGATCGAATTAAAAACAAGGACAGAAAAACGGTTCAAATTAAACTTTCTTTTATTGTCCAAAGTACTCACGGATGGTCTGCTGCCGTCTGCACTTAAAAGGCCTCTGACACGGCAAAAAAAAAAAAAAAAATGTTTTTTCATGCTAGGCGTTGAAATGGCATGTCAGGACATTACAAAAAAAAATGTTTCACTATAGAGGTGCGTAGTTTTTTTTTTATAAAAAATAGAAATACGAGGCCCAATTCAAAGTTCCTGCCAGTGCACTGTGACGTAACAGTGTACCGCAAGGTGTCGGGGCGGTCAGAAGGGAGGCATCGCCGAAAGTCACGTGAGTTGTATCCCTCCTTGTGTATCTCTCCGCACCTCCACGAGCGTTCCAAGCAGACAAGGTTTTTTTTATTTGCTTTTCATTTGCTTAATGTTGCTGTAAAGGTAGAAGAGGAGTCAATGAATTGACGTGATCAACTTCAGTGCCTAGAAGGTGCTGTGTGAGGGACTGTCCCGATATTTCAGCAACTGAAGAAGAGATCACACTGCATGCATTTCCGAGAGACGGCAGGCATCTTCAGCCTGGAGAGTATACGATGATTCGACGACCTCGGTGTCCGAAGCTTCAGCAATGCAATTGGGCGTGTCGTACGCAAGCAATCCTAATTTCTGCGAGCGTTCTAATTTTTTTTTTTTTTTCAAAACTTGATAGTTTTTTTTGTGCCCAGTATAGCTCTGTATCATCGGACTGACGGCACGCACTCGTACACTGGCTTGTACTTGCAACGCTTTCATCATTTAACCTCCATCACGTCGATCTACTGACTCTTCGTTCTCAACTTTTAGAGCACGCAAACTAACCAACGGTGCAGCGATAAAGAGCTAGTGGAACTGAAACTTCGTTTTCTACAATCGCTTGTACAAAGAGCAGAAAATAAAAAAAAAGTCGTAGGCACGGTCGCAGAGAGCACGAGGAGTGAAACTCATGTGACTTCCTGCGAACCCACTTTTAGTGACGTATGTCGATGCCTCTCTTCTGACCGCCCCGACACCTTGCGGTACACTGTTACGTCACAATGCGCTGGCGGGAACTTTGAATTAGGCCTCCTATTTCTATTTTTTATAAAAAAAAAAAAACTACGCACCTCTGTAGTGAAACAATTTTTTTGTAATGTCCTGACATGCCATTTCAACAACTAGCATGAAAAAAAAAAAATTTTTTTTTGGCGTGTCCAAAAGCAGGCTTTGGAGAACAGCATAACTAAACGTCACGTCCCCAAAAATCGCGCACTACAAAAAAAAAAAAAAAAAAAAGTGAGTAGGACCTGTCTTTGGCGCCGTGCCAAAGTAAGCTCGGCGACAAAAAAATAAAGAAAAGAGAATTTGCATTTTCCGACGAGCAGGTGGACCGCTCACGATGCTACAGAGAAGCGCTTTGAGAGCGCTCGCTGAGAAAGCTTTGAGCCGACTTTGGCGCCAAGCGGCCAGACCTTTAAAGACAAAAAAAAAAAAAAAAGAAGAAACGAGAATTTACGCTTTCCGATGCGCAAAATGGAGCGCACACGATGCTACAGAGAAAAAAACGCTTCAATTCGAGAAAGCGCGTCCGACCACGCGCAATGTTCTCCACGCTACTCCACGCCAAATTGGTTGCACTGGCTCGCGTCATTCGCTACAGTCCATCTCAACAGCGTAGAGGGGCAAGCGCATGTTTGCGCACGTTCGGCTTTGCAGCAAAGGGCCCTCCGTAGGTTGGTGGTTTTTTTGCCGTGGTGCCGTTCAATGTGAGCCCGCGCGCATTGCTCCGGACGAATTATTCGATGCCGAGTCTTCCCGAGTTCGAACTATCGAAATTTTCCTCAACACGATCGAATTAAACGAAAAGTCGACTTAACCGAGGTCGAACTAACGAAAGTTTGCTGTATAAACAAGGACATAACATTAATGATGTGGTATAGTATAAAAAAAAAATCATTAACACATTTTGCTCTACTTTGATTTGCCACACCTCAAGTCTGGAAGTCTGGTTTATGCAGTCAAGCAGGTTGATCACTATAATTGGAATGAACTATTGCCATGTTACAATTGAAAACGAGCATGTTGGTTAATAGATACAAAACTTGAAAGTATAAAACAGAGAGGACGAGGACGGGAACAGGACATCTTTCATTTAGCAACAACATAGAATGGTACAACGATAAAACCGCCCCCCAAGGGTCTCAACGTTCTCAAAGAGGGAAAGGAGATACTAGTTATGAAGGAAAGGGAATACACTAAAAAAAACGTTTGAAAAGCGCATCAGTAATCTAGTTATTTTCGATTACTTAGAATTAACCTTAGTCATCGTCAGTGATAATGCAGAATTATTCTTGTTTGCAGTCCAAAAAAAAAGAGAATTGTACTATAAAATATAAGAGTTTAAAAATCTGTAGCGTCATGACGAGGTGTCAATATTCTAGTCATCTCTGGTGTTAAGAATTCGACCTCTGTCTTTGTCAATGATAATGACGGTGCAGAAATGTTGTTGTTAACAGTCCCCATGGCAAATGACTCGATGATTTCTCTCCCAAATCTGTTGTTGTGCCCGCCCAGTATCTTAGTATTAGAAAAATGAGGAGTACAGTCATCGCATGTGCGGCTGTGATACGACTCAGTTGAAGCCTTTGATGCTTCCAAGTTATGTTCTCTGAGTCGGTGGTTGACGCATCTCCCAGTCTGTCCTATGTACTGACTGCCACAGCTTAGTGGAATCGAATAAACCTTCCTTTCTTCGCATTCTACGAACTTTTTTGCATGTTTTACATTGCACCCTCGGGAACTGTCGCTCCCATTATTTTATAGTACAATTCTCTTTTTTTGGACTGCAAACAAGAATAATTCTGCATTATCACTGACGATGACTAAGGCTAATTCTAAGTAATCGAAAATAACTAGATTACTGATGTGCTTTTCAAACGTTTCTTTTAGTGTATTCCCTTTCCTTTATAACTAGTATCTCCTTTCCCTCTTTGAGAACGTCGAGACCCTTGGGGGGCGGTTTTATCGTTGTACCATTCTATGTTGTTGCTAAATGAAAGATGTCCTGTTCCCGTCCTCGTCCTCTCTGTTTTATACTTTCAAGTTTTGTATGTATTGCCATGTCATATCTTTACATCGTTATCTGATAAGGCGAGCCAAGCTGAGTCTTTCCTCCCTTCGACCTGCAGCCCATCCCGCTGCTCAAGTGTGGCCAGAACAAGAAGCTCTCGTTCAGCCAGATGCAGGTTGCCTGCCTCCTGGCCAACGCATTCTTCTGCACGTTTCCCCGGCGGAACACACTGAAGTCCAGTGCTGAGTACTCCCACTACCCCGACATCAACTTTGTCCGGTGCGAGAACTTCTCTGCCCTCGCCACTTTTCCCTGGCATTTCAGAAACTAGCGCATTGGTTTCAATGGGTGACATTTATCAGTTATCATGCCAGAAAAATAAGTTTGTTTTAATTTTGAGTTGCAAGCCCAATGGAATACAGATAGTATAGTATGCTACGGGTCATGTGACAACAAAGGTGTACTGTAAACAAGTTTATTTTCGTAGGCTCAATATTTGGGTAATTTTATGAAGTGCGAGTTTCGGCAATATTTTGTGAATACAAAATTCAGAGATTTAGAGTGACGTGCTACATATTTGTTCTCATGGGCGGATATATTCTCGGGGTAAACTTTTTGCGATATTTTCGTTGTGGCAAAAATTCATTAAGTCGTTTACAGTATTAAATTTTCACGCAGTCTAATCAAGTGCTCCGACCTTATTCATTTGCACTATTTTGGAGCCAGTTCATAATCCTCGAGAAAAGGATTGATGACGTCTCTCTGGTGTATACATTGCACGACCCTAAAACTGTCTGTCCGTCGAACCGGATTCGAGCCTGTAACCTACCAATGACAGCTATCTTTTGTAGCTTGGGCTACACTGGCCAAGGTTGAGCAGTTTCACGTGGCTCCAATAATGAGCTGTGCTCCGTGCTGCGCATGCGCGGAGAGCAGTGACGTCACACGGTGCACAGCTGGCGCCCCAGAGCCGCCACCGTCGCGCGCTTTATAAACATTGGAATGGAGCATGGGAGGTGTTGACCGTAGTCGACGCTTTATTGTGCTGGCACACGTGCGCCACTATCCGAGCAGACAAACTTGTACACCGTACGGCTAGACCTTAACAAGTTTTTAGTGTGCCCAAAGAACATGAATTTTAGTTGCGGCGTGCCGCGGAGGCCCGTTGTAGATGGAGTAAGGATTAGGCACGGGAGCAGAATTGAGAGCGGAAGCGAAAATAGCGTGAAAACGATCAGAATCATGCTCACCTCGGTAGCGCAGTTCTTTGGGCCAAAGTTTTGTTTTTGTCTGGGAATTTAGGACCTTGAAAGGCCCCTCAGATGCCAAGGTGGAGCCATACTTGACCTTCTTTGGCCTGAATCTGGGTTATCTTGGCCCTGAGTCGCCAAACAAGTGCCAAAGTTAGGCTTCACTGCCAGGTAGGTTCGCCGTCGTCTGGCAACTTTGTGCCCTAGCTCACCAAACGGGCGCCAAAGTTAGGCTCCACTGCCAGGTAGGTTGGCTGTTATCTGGCAACTTTGTGCCAAGATTGCCTAGCAAGTGCCAGAATTAGTAGTCTTCACTGCTGGTTGTTCGGTTGATTCGTGGCAGTACGGCACTTCGGCATCTGCGTGATGAACCAGAGAAAAGCCAAAGAAAAGTACAGTGCTTAACGAAACGAAAAAGACCAGTGGAGCGCTTGGTCTCTTTAGAGTAACTGCATATGCTCCACTTGAGGAGCATATACATTTGCTCTAGTGGAGAGTAACCATATGACGCTGCCTTTTAAATACTCTAAGCATCATTAGAGTAACTGTACATGCGCGAGGTCCTGTGCTTTGCTGGTCCGTTTCGTTTTGCCTCACGCAGGCCTCACGCATAAGAAGTGTGATATCTAGAGGAAAATGTGGTCACTGGCACTCAAAAGAAATTTTGACAGAATCATGCGTGTTTTTCGTGTGATTGGTTTGAGGCCAGCTGTTGTCTCTGTTCTGCATGTGAGGAGGATTTGTAAGTGAGGACCGCCTTTGCACCTTGCAGGCTTTACTCGGGACCAAGTGACGAGGACTGCAAGATGGAGAAGCTCAAGTGCATAATCAATTATTTTAGGAGGATTACGAGTGATGGTTAGTGAATTCCAATTGTGTGCATACTGGACTGAGCTGTGTTGGGGGTGTGACGGAGTTGGCAACAATGGCGCTGCTTGCATGCGGTGTCGACCCATGAACTCAGAAATGTCGCCGTTGATGAACACGTTAAGTGACTGCTGTGGTCCTCTTCAGTATCTCATGCCTTTTTCCTTTAGTGCACTGCAGTACTTCCCATGTGCTCCAAATCTTTCTAGAATTTACTGACCTAGTAATTTTAGGTGATAGTACTCAGTAATTTTCTAATTGAAACCATATATTTCTCTTTCTATTGATGGCAATTATATTGTTCTATGAGTGTTGCATGCCCTGTACACAAGAATAGATGCATGTTCGGCAAGATGTGGTACTTTGTTTAACGAGCCTTTGGGCTGTTGATGTTTCCCAAGTGCCAGGTCTGTTGCTTTAGTTAGCTTGTTCCTTCTTTGGCAATTTGTGCAGAACCGAAGGGCATGCTAACATTCCATAGGAAAGGCTTGAGTGAATCCATCGAGTGGTCCAGGTCAAAGGACAGCCTGACTGACCTCCACGTCTCTGAGAAAGGATTCATTGAGAGAGAGGGCAGAGGAATGCTTCAGGTGAGCTTTAGCAAAGTACACATTCCTCATTTCTAATTTGCCGCAACTTAATTTGTCCAAAGGATATTGTGCCGACAAGTCCTCATCAAATTCTATACGTATTTTGTTTTCTCCTGCTGCTGCTTATATGTATGGAGCAGGGTACACTTGAAAAAATTCACCATATTTTATAATAATAATAATCATGATGATGAGGGTGATAGACTGTAGTCCTTGCTCAGTCCAATGCAGTGTAGTTCATAGCGTCAAATTTGTTCAGAAAAGGGAAATATTTTTTTATTATTTTATATATCCTAGAAATATTGCAACTTGATGCAGAACTGTAATTTAAGGTTTTGCTATATTCCATTTCAGCATAACTTGGCAGACAGGATAGGCTGCTGTGTTGCACTACCACGACAGCAGCAAATACTGTCCGCTTTAAAAGTAGTCCCGATGGTTCAACATAAGTGGGTGATCTTTTTTTTTCTTCTTTTTTTTTTTATCTTTTATTAAAAGTAATGTTTAAAAGTTCACATAATTTTATGTTTAAATTTAAAGTAAATTCAAATAATGACACCACATCTGCATTTGCCTCTCCTGCTCTTCTGCAAGCTGTGGCGCCTTCTGTTTTGCCTGTATTTGATGTTTTCTGTTTGTCCTAGCCTGTTTAGCAAGAACTTTCCCAAATGCAGCTTTATGCAATGCTGCGAAAGGACACACGGGTGTTTTCTTTTGTACATGTTTCCGTCCCATTCAGGCCTACTCCGAGAGTGAGATCCCTAACCTCAGCTAACTTATGCCAAGACTTGAAAAAGGCAGGTGGACGTTACGCGTGTCAGACCAACGCTGTGTTACAGTCCTATCAAGCGAGTCAAGATATTTTTGCAGTCAACCAAATGGACTGATTAACACAGATGAATTAGCTAAGTCCTTAAATACTAATTAGTGCACAAACCTTTCAATACAAAAGTTCTAGAGCATATTGAGAAACTTCCCATCATGTTGTTTCTATCAAGGCAGCCTCATGTGTCTAATCTTTTTTAAGCTTTAAGAAAACACTAACCCCCGGAAAAAAATATTCTTTTTTTTTCTACCTGGTTAGGACAGGCACATCTCACAATAAATGAACGTAAAAACAAAAAAGAAAAAAAAATTGCCCAATAACTATGTTACAATAAAAAACATATTTTTGATTTGTGGGCAAAACCGAAATTGTACCCTTGTGGGATGACGATGATAGCATTTGTACAAGCACACACTACCATAAAATACCGCAGAAGCACCGACTTCGTCCAAGAGCCCACTATTAACATTTCCCAAACCTAGGAATTCTGAAAATATACGTTGAGCACCCGATTTGACCGGACATGTGCCCATGTTTAGATTAATCCAGTTTTCAGTAAAAATGAAGTGGGCACTCCCTTGGTATTTTACGGTACTATTTGGGTACAAACGCTATCATCATCCCGCAGGGTTACAATTTCGGTTTCACCCGTAAATCGAAAAATTTGTATTGTAGCATAAATATTGGGCCAAACAAGTTTTTTTTCAACAAACAATTATTTTGAAACCTTCCTGTCCCATACCCTGCCAAGTCTCCCGTATTACCCGGGATACTCCCGAATTTTGACCAATTTGTACACTTGTACTATTGACATAAGAATCTTCCGGGAAATGCAAATTACCTCCCCCCCCCCCCCCCCCCACACTCCCTTACCGCACTTAAATAAGGAGTTTTTGCCATTGTAACAAATAGCTGTGATAATAACGAGGCCAAGCTGTTCCTTGCTAGTTTGAGCAGTGCAAGGTAATAAAGTTGTCTTTATGTACATTTGTTATCAATACTTTCTTTTTAATCCCCCCCCCCCCCCCTCCCTCTTAGAATTTCTTCCGGATGTGGTTTTTCCGAACTTGGCAGGTATGCTATCCTAACCTGTTTAGAAAACTTTTGTTTCCTAGGCTCTGCGTTTTTTTCGCCATGCAAGATTACAAAAAAATTTACACCACTGGGGACACTAACATCGATTGCAGTTCTCTAGTGGGTAGTCCTGTCAGATTTCTTAAATCTTACTCGGTGGTTTTTTAAGTTCTTTTTAAAGCTAGAGACAATAATACTGAAAGGTTACCTTAATGGAAAAGGCACGATAGGAAGTTTGAACTCGCTCTCCACAACTTTTGTGCTGGAGGGTATGTGCACAAACTAATATTTAAAAAGTTAGCTTATCAATCTGCATTTATTAGCCAGTTTGACGCATTACAAAAAAATACTTAGACTTGCTCAATAGTTCTGTCGATATTTAGCCAGAAAGACTGGTATGGGCGATCTCTTGGGAGAGGACGTTCGTACAAGATTTTAAGGTCGTCGTTACGCATGCTTAACTCTGGGCTGTGCTAATTGCTTTCCAGGTGGACTTTGCCAACAAGTTTGTGGGAGGAGGGGTGCTGGGCGGTGGATGCGTCCAGGAAGAGATCCGGTTTCTCGTTTGCCCAGAGCTTCTCGTCTCCCGGCTGTTTACGGAGGCCCTCGGCCCCAAGGAGGTCCTAGTCATCACAGGTGGGCTGCCTTCGTGGCTCCCATGGACAGTCGTGGACGACACAGAAAGACCCAGGCAAGCGTGTGGCTTCAAAGGTCTGCAGCGCTATCAGAAGAAAGCTCAACCATTATCGAGGCTTCAGCGGCTGTCCAATTGTTGTCATCACTCTCCGCTTACCAGCTGTCACTGAGCTAGTGCTGATTTCAGCGCCAAATGCAGAGCTGTTCCGCGACAAAAGCCAAAATCAAGTGTGTCTGAAACATCCGGGTGGGCAGGTTGAGCAATCAATTTTCGGGCTTTGGATAATAAATTTTTGGGATAAGTGACGACAAGCGGATTTTATTTCACCGAGCTGTCGGTGTTGACTCAACACTCAATTACCGGTGAAGTGGGGAGTGGCGACAAAATTCGAGCTGTCACTGGAATGCTGCGCTCGTTCACACAAGAGCCGCAACGATAACTCGGCTTTCTTCCGTTGGATAGCACTGGAGGTCTTCGAAGCCACGTGCTCGCCTGGGCGTTTGCATATTGTCCGCGACTGTATGTATGCATTCGTCCGCTTGCGTTCGCTAGTGTTGCTTTTATTAAGGGGGGACATGGGTCTTTGGAGTCAAAAACTTTCTAAAACTGCATTCTTTTGAAAACGGCGATGGCTGTTGTTCTTTTAAATCTACCAAGCTTCTAATTTCGTGCATGAATATTCAAGCTATAAATCAATTTATAATGTCTATGCGGGCTGAATGTGCATTAAAGTTGACTCTAAAACATTGTTTTCACATAACACAATTTTTGGACGTGTTGAAAACTTGCAGGAGGGATATCTCAGCATCTACAGCAGTCAGAAATATAACCTTTCTTGAAATGTGTTGCGAAATGTGTGAAGCATACAATGTTGAGAGCAGATTTTTTCATGTAAGTCTAGAAAATTTTTTATTTGATTTTTGTGTTATTATTTGTTAGCCATGCATTGAGCACTGAACTTCAGTATGTTGTAAAATCACTAATGATGGGTTTATCTTGAAAGTATTTTCAACATTGTATTCTTCACACGTCGTAGTATCTGGCCATGTGTTAAAAAAGGATATTTTGTTGAGCAGTTATTTTCCCTATCATACCTCCAAACAAAGGCAGGCAAGTTTTAATTATCTTCAGGACAATTCTCCTGACTGAAGCAATTACCAGATATATGAAATCAGCACAAAAAGCTGAACAAGCTTGTGCAGTTTCATTGAGTTTGGTCATCAAATAAGAAAAAAAGCTCCAAGACCAGTGTTCCCCCTTAATGGGGATGAGTATTACCCTGCTAACAAACTTGCTTAAAATGAAAAAGATCCAAGGTGTCTAAAGTGCTGAGAAAGGCTGGTTCTGTCGGAGTGCTAGTGTCTGGAGAAGTTATGGAACTGTTTACTAGGTGTGTCCGGGCAACATTTCTGCAGACAGGCTCACCATCATCGTTGTTACAGTGAGACCCGTCTAGAACGAACCCACGTACAGCGAATTATTGTCGATATCGAACTCACAGAAAATTTAAATAAAAATGCATGTAAAAGGTATGTTTGTAATGAACAACATATTGGCTATTTCAAACTTTTCCCCCCAGGAAGGCTTCCAAAAGCATGCAAACAATCGTCTTCTAGCCTGTCCCTTCCCCTAAAAAAGAAGTAGAAAAGGAAGAAAATTCCAAAAGCTCAAGTTGCGAACAAGATTGAGTGAAGAGGGAGAAAGGGGTGGGGGGCTAAAAAATACACTCTGCACAAATGCACAGAAAAAAAGAAAAGGCTTTTCATCCCGAAGCATTTGCCCATTAAGAGAAGCGATTCAGAAGGGGATATAAGCTAAAAAAACAAACCCTGCACGCATGCAAAACAAAAAAACCTTTCTAGCGTGTTGTTGCAAGGCGGAAGTGAAGAGATGAGAAAGAAAGTGAAGCTCTCACCTTACAACCAACTCATCGTGGAAGTTTGTTGTAAATGGTTTTTGCTATATCGAACTGCTTGCTATGTCAAACTGATCGTAGCGTCCCCTGCTGTTCGTTATAAACGGGTTTGACTGTACTCACGTGTCCTGTAACCCCATTCCTATTTGCTTACTACTCGCGTCGTCCGTCCATTTAGTTGGCACCATCAGTCTCGGGTACCGATCACAGTCACATATATCGAGTCTTAACGGCACTTGACAGGTAAACCGATGGACTGCGAAGGCTGGTCGAAAATATTTTGCTCGTGTTGTCAGTGAGCAACCTTGTATCTGTCCAAATTCAAGGGACGAACTCATCCGAATATTTGCTCGTGAATTCGCTTCTTTTTTTTGGACCATTGCATCCATGTTTTACCTACCCACAAATTTTCTTTCGCAGGCGTGGAGCAGTTTAATGACACCGCTGGCTATGCTGACACCTTTTCATGGGAAAGCGACTTTTTAGATGACACTCCAAGGTGAATGCACATTTCTATTATGTTACTTACAGTTGCTCGAATGGTTTGGAACTGTGTGGATACACAACAGGAGACTTGGGGGATAGGTGTGGCCAAGTGTGTTCGTGCACCGCAGCTGGGACCATGTGGAGTGAAAGCTCGCGCCGCAGAACCCAGCAATACTTGATTTGAACCCCACCCCTGCCCGTTTTGATCTGGAGGAGCATTGCACCAACGTGTGGTCTTGTATCACTACTGTGATGCACTTTAAAGACCCCAGGCTATCAGTGGGGCTGCACTGGCTAACTTTCTTGTCTACGTTGGAGGCACCAAACGCTCATTAAACTGGCTACCTTCCTGCTGCTTAAACATGCATGTGGGGCACTTGCTTTTTATTGGAATTTGATTGTCAATTGGCTACATCAGGACACAGAGGCTATCCCAAAATATGTTTGCTTGGTAGGGTTGTGTGAATATTCAAAATTTTGACTAGTAGTTTCGAATAATACACTATTCAATATTTGCTTTGAGAAGGGCTGCACTATTCGCGTTTTTCTATGTGTTGATTGCGGCGAGTTAGTTCTGTTGAGTGCGCTTCTTACCGAGCACCGGTGTACTGCGGAGAAGCAATACCCGCGGAAGCGAGCTTCGTGGGTGTTGCTTCTCTGCATTACATTGGTGTTCGGTAAGAAGCGCACTCAACAAGGTAACCCGCTGCGATAAACTCGGAAAAGTATGAATATCGCAATTGCGTGCTTGGAAGAAAAGCATACTTTCAAAGCGGGATGGTGCACGTGTGCTGATTGTATTTGAAAATAAATGTAAACTTTGTAAATGTATATATGTACATTGTAGTAAAAGTTTCAAAATAAACTGGCTGTTATTCAAGAGTATACTATTGTAGCCTTCGAGCTACAAGGACCACAGGAACCACAGCAAGAGTGGTGTGTTTCAATGCCGCGCGATCCGTGACGCGTGCCACAAGACACTGAGATTCGGGGTGACGTGGTGCTTGGACGTTCTATGATGGCCAGCTTCTGCATTGAAACTAATAACCATTTGTAAATATTGTAAATATAAATATAGTTACATAAACCAAGCTCACTACACTATGTTAGGCAGAGATGCCCTTACAACCTTTTGTTCATCATGCACGATTCATTCTTTTTTAACTCGAGATTAAAGAAAATTTTATATTGGAAGATTTGTTAATTCACTCAATTGGGTAAAGTTTGCAATCTCTATAGGATTGATTTTATGTCAAATCCGTCGTTTACTTGCCATCCCAGGACATCAGACCTTCTGAGGTCACAGTTCATAAATATAGATAGATCAAACTTAGCTTCTAAATGAACTAGTGGAACAACCTTTGCTAGTTTAGCTGTGTTTTCGTCTAAACATTTGCAATGGTAGTGAAAGGCGTGGAAAAATTATTCAATATTTGACTATATAGTCAAATATTGAATAGCCGACCTCTTTTTGTTTCCTTTATAATGCCCTGGGATAATGAAACTTCAGCTTATTATCATGTTTTGTCTTCTCTTTTCAAAACAATAATTAGTTTTAATGTAGCTTCTATAGTTTTGTATTCATAGACAAACAATTACATACAGATTTTGTATGCACAAACAGAGGCACACTCATTTTTTTTATTTTTTTATAAAGTGTATGGTGCAATACTTTTGAGACCAGTTATAACGTAGTCGGTTATAACGAAACAGCGGCTACAGCAAAGCAATCACAATTTCCCATTCTCTTTTGCACTTTGTTATAACCGAAGTTGGTTATAACGAAATAGGGATATAGCAAAGTGATTTCCGATTCCCGTTGACTTCGTTATAATCGGTATCAACAGTAGCTCATTTTGCTCCTTATTAAGAGTAGTGGCAGTAACTAGTCAAAATGGGTGTACAATGTTTTTAATCGAATAGAAAACTAAAGAATGCCTTCATCTTAAAAGCCATCTAGAAGTTAGTTAGATGCTGGAAATTTGTATATCTTCGAGAGTAACAGAATTTTTTTTAAAATTGTGATTGGAATATTACAGTTTGGCGTAGAATGTTTGGAGCGTAGAACATTCGGACCTCGAACCAGCAACAGGGCTCTCGATGTACAGGGTAAACAACGCACCTCCGAAAAAGTTACTCCAGTCCACACACACAAAAGAAAGACACACTTATGCAACACTGGCTTACAACTCTTCGGTATATTTACACTTCTGTCTTCGTCTTCTTTTGATATCATGGGCTGGCCCCATGGAGAATAACGGGTCTTTTTCTTCAATAGGAAGCTAAACCAAAAGCTAAAATTGAAATTAATGTAAGGCTAGGTAGTCTAGTTCTTTTTGTAATAAGGCTAAAGACAGAGTACTAACGCTTCTATCGTCATGTTTTGCAATATTCTCTGCCTCAATGACTACCTAGCCTTACATTAATCTCATTTTTTGTTTTTGGTTTACAGTTTAGCTTCCTATAGAAGAAAAAGACCAATTATTCTTCATTCGCCTAGTCCATAATACCAAAAGAAGACGAAGATGAAAGTATAAATATACCAAAGAGTTGTTAATCAGTGCTGCATCTGTCTTTCTTTTATGTCCGTGGACTTGAGTAACTGTTTTGCGGGTGCGCTGTCTCCCTGTACATCATGAGCAACCAACTCGGCCGAACCTCTGTTTTAACAAAGGTTCTCGAATTTACCAGAGCGTGACATTTACAAAAATAACAAAAAAGGTGCATCCACTACCAGGCATTGAACCTCGGCCCATTTGCCCGGGAGCCAAATGCGCTACTGACTTGGCTAGCTGCGAACACAGCATTACCCTCTTTTTCAAAGTGCATCGCCCTGATGCAACACAAAACAAAACAAAAGAACAGTAAGCTAAAACGTCACTGGAACACGAAAAGTCCACAATCACTACAGTCCCATAGAGCATAGAATGGCTTGAGTTGAACGACGTGAACCACTTCGGATCGTGATTGGTGTCGTGACGGTGTTTGCATTCCGTTGGGCACCACTTCGCAGTTGAGCTCCCGAGGCAATGAAGTACCTTGTATGGCACGAATTATCATTTCAACAGTTTTTCGCTCAGGCCGCGGTGACGGATGGGTCTCCACATCACACCCTATCCCTGGGCTGGAAGTGAACATCCCGACAACAAATTTTGTTTTGGCCAGCGTCGACATTTGCTGGTCTTGGATCTGGAGTCGGCACACTGGCGGACTTCTTAGGCCCGGTGCACAACCACCTGAGCGTCGTCGCTCCCATCACCAGCCGGCTCAAGGGGCAGCATTGCGTCGAGCATGGTAGTTACCATCCGACTGTGTACCAATTGGGAAGGTGTAACTCTGGTGCTCTCTTGAACCGCAGTGTTTTAGGCAAACGTGACGTAGGGCAACACCTCGTCTCACGTCTTGCGCTCTACGTCGACGTACATGGAGATCATGTCAGCGATTGTCTTGTTAAGCCACTCTGTCAGCTCCTTGGTCTTTGGGTGGTATGCCGTGGTGCGACGATGTCCGATACGACGACCCACGATCTGTAACTAGCACCTCGGGAGTTCCGTGCCCGAGGATGATGGGCGACTTCAACCGCAGTTACTGACAGAAGGCCTTCGTCTCGACCTACCGCAATAGCTAATTGGTGGCAACGATTATCCAGCAATTCCTTAAAGTTGACGGTGGAAAGGGACCAAGCAAATCCATTCCAATTTGCTGGAACGGCATTGATGGGGGAGCGATTGGCTAGAGGAGTTCTGCTAGCTTCGTCGATGGTTTCTTCCGTCATTGGCACTCATGGCACAATCGGGTGTAGATGTAAATGGTCTTCAGAAGCTTAAGCCAGTAGTACCTCTCGCGGATCCTGGCGAGTTTCCGGGTGTAGCCAAGGTGTCCCACCATTGGGTCATCGTGGTAGACTTGGAACATCTCTCTGCGAAGGCCGCTGGGGACCACCAAAAGCCATGTCGTGTTGTTGTCGCCAAAATTCTTCTTTTGAAGTACACCCCGTCAGATGGCGAAGGATGGCAGAGCTTGCAAAAAGACTCGGGATACCGTAGTATGCCAGCCTTCCGAGTGCTCGATAAGTGCGTGCTGCACAGGGTCATCCTGTTGAAGTTCTTTCACTGCACCGACAAAAACATTGTCCTCGTCTTCGTCGCTAGTGCGCTCGGACGCCATCTCGACAGGGGCCCTCAAAAGACAATCGGTGTCACTGTGCTCGCTGCCAGACTTGCAGGCCACAGTCATGTCAAATTCCTGCAGTTGGAGACTCCAGCGGGCAAAACGTCCGAAGGGTCCTTTGAGTTTGCGAGCCAGCAGAGTGAGTGGTGGTCCATTACCACGTAGAAAGGACTTTCATACAGATAGGGTCTGAATTTCATTATCACCCTGACGACAGCAAGGCACTCTTTTTTTTGTCGTTGAGTATTTGCTCTTTGCCTTACGGAGTGTTCGACTTGCGTATGCAATGACTCACTCTGTGCCTTCCTGTGGCCGAGGACAGGAGGAGTTTGAAGGCGTTTGAGTTCATCGAACGCCTGCTGTTGCTCTTTTGTCCTCTCAAATTTTACGCCGTCCTTTGTGAGGTGCATCAGTGGTGCAGAGAGCTTGGCAGAATCCTGGACAGAGCGCCTATAGTAGGCACAAAGGCCCAGAATCTTTTTAAGCCTTCTTGTTTGACAGCGGTGAAAATGCGGCTACTTAGGGTCAGGACGAACACCTTCGCTGCCCACAACGTGGCCCAAGAACTTCAGTTCCTTGTAAGCAAATCAACATTTTGTCAGCTTGAGGGTGAGTCCTGCATTCTTGATAGCTTGGAGCACGGCTCGGAGTCGTCTCAAGTGCTCGTCGAAGTTGCTAGCTAACACCGCAACGTCGTCAAGGTAAACCAAACAGCTCTGCTATTTCAGGCCGGCAAGCACGGTGTCCATTACATGCTGGAAGGTCGCGGGCGCCGTGCAAAGCCCGGAGCGCATCACTTTAAATGCGTACAGCCCATCCGGTGTGACGAAGGCCGTCGTCTCG